CCCTCTTTTTCTTGGCGAGCACATCTTTTTTTCTTCTGGACCCGCCGCTGCTTCTCATTATTTAGCCAGGAACCCCCCCCCCCTCCCCCCACGTGCGGAAAACCAAACGATTTCGAACAGGGGAATCTCCATTTTCTACCACCACCAATAGCAATCAGTCAAGTTAAAGCCGCTTGGCAGTCTCAAGTCAAAGCCTGTTTTTAACAACGCAAGAGCTGCTTATTCTCGAAGTACCAAATCATGGGCCTTATTTTGCTGCCTCTCTTTACTTTCCTGTTTTTTAAAAGCGTCGATGGCTACTGCAGTGGTGGTACTAAGACAGCATCTACTTACTCAAACACATTGTCGCACTTATATTACTCAAATAACGAGGACTGCACTTTCTACATAAATCCTCAGCATTCAACCGGATACTACCTTGAAATTAAATGGGTTTCCTTCAGCGTTGAAGGAAGCTTGCCGTCATGCTCGAACGATTCAGTGGAAGTGTATCTTACAAGGTATGAAATTTTGTCGTCCATTAGAGCGCCTGTGATTTGCGGAAGGTTTGAGTTGATGGGAAATTTTACTGTGTCAGATTCTGTTTTGAAGTTTATGACAAATTTTAGCATTTTAACCACTCCTCGTTTAAAAAGCCCGGTGTTAAATTTGCTAGCATATTTTGGTTTTTTTCGACTAAACTACTCTTGAATCTTATATCTAAAAATCTACCGCGAACATTTGCTCAAACTTTCTCGGTTGAAGAAATATCGCTATTCAATTACAGTGCAAGTTGTACTTACCACTCTCTCGACATTATCTGCCCTCTTTATTGAAATTTCGGTTTTCTTGCCAATATAACCACAAATTATACCAACTTTTTGAAATTAAGATGCTTTTTCATTTGCCACTGGACTAGAGTTTAATCAATGGCGACAGCACGTAACTCTTCAACGGAAAGTGGCGGGAAAATATCACGTGCTATCGCCTCTTTTTATACTGGTTGCCTTCTTTGACCTCATGGCGTGGCCCTCATGGTACGGTTTATGAAGAAGAAAAAGAATTGGTTTTAAAACGAAGTCCGCTTAAGGGTTTGCAGTGCAACAACAATCAACATTCTCATTTTGATTTGATGTCCTAGCATTTGCAGGATTGGTGCTGGTGGTCAATTCGCATATACCATCATGTCTTGTTTCGTACCGCATGTGCAGTCTTGTAAATGTTCCAAGGTAAAATTTGTCCTGCTGAAATTGCCCAGCTATTGAACTAAATTCACATTCGTTTATGCTATCTAATTTTTTACTTTTGTTGCCTATAATTAGCGCATCGACCTAATCAATTACTTTTACAAATATCATGTAACCTTTTGAATTCAAACAAATCAATTTTGTTGGACTTGTGTGCACCAGACAAATATCTTACGCGACGTATATATGGTTCAATAAACTGATCCCCGTTCATTATCCATTCATTGCTGATTACTATATAGCGATGTATCAGGCATCGACCTAATTTATCATTATTTTAATTTTACAAGTTTATTTGAATCTTTTTACTTCTAACCGATTAACTTATTTCGCATCGTCATGCATGTTCCAAGCAAAAACCTTACTTCATTAAACTTTTTTGACAGAATTCAAGAAAGCTCATCGGAAACAGATGTCCAATATTTATCACAACAGTTGAAGTTCATAATTCCGTATTTCCTTGAAAGAACACAAAATAAAAATTAAAAACAAACGATTGTGTAGAAGTTGCACCACAAACATAGATTTTTGGAATAAGTTTTTGAAAGTGCTCAAAATGGAGATCTTGAAATTATTTGCCTTGAGAAAAGATAGTTTATCATTTAGGGTAGGTGTTTTTGGAGTTTTGTGTTCTCCAGAGGAAATGTAGTGATTTTTTAGGTTCGATATAGGATTTATGGCCCAGGAATCAGACCCCAGCTGCATATTTTTTGCTGTAGTTGCAGGCATGATTAATTGATGGCTGTAAAGCCATTAAAGCTCACTTTGCTGTTTTTATCCTCACATCCATTGTCATCGGCAGATTCTTCTGAAGCTTTTTTGTCTCGAACATTGAAAATTGACGTAGCTGCTGCATTAGACAGTGATTTGATGGCACTTTCGATTTCAGCTGTGCAAAGTAGGCATTTATTTTCGTTTCCATCACCCATTTGTGACAGCCTCATTAATGTATTCAAAAACAGCATTGTTGTGTCTCTCCATATTTTTATGAACACTTCGTCTTTGTGTTTTCTTAGAGACTGCAACCCAACATTGATTGTGGATTGAAAGACCTGTTTCACTGATTCCTTTGTTGTAGATAGATATATTCCATTGCAGTGTTTTAACCTTTCATGTAAAACAATAGCAATTCAGCAGAAATCCAACTGTGATAGAAAGTGCAATTCCCAGAATGTTTCCATGCAATTATATGTTCTATGCAAAAAAGGTTCGCAAAAATTTGTAAGAAGAAACTTGATATTAATTTTGGCAATTTTATTTTGGCAAAATTAAATTTCCATTAAAGGTGGAGGGGGGGCACATACCACTTTTGTTCTCATTGTAAAAATTATTGTAAAAATTAAAGGTCATGTGTGTCATATATGTTTCTTTAATACTTACAGTTTGATAAGACGGCAAGCTTTGATAATTGCCTGGACGTTTGCAGGTATACGACCTCTTCTTGAAACAGCTCTTCAGGCAGTCCGTACAAAACGAATCTTTTATCTTTCTTTCGCCTCTTTGCGGAAATGCCTTGTAAAAGACATTGCTACGGCCTACTTTTCCGTGCAGATTGATAAGATACGCACTTGTACTTATTTGCAATATTTTACAATACAATGAAGTTTTAGAAAAAATTCTATATTTGTTTGCTTCTTCTCTAAAAGATATGATTGCAAGGTTTTGATTACTTTCAATATTTCTTTACAGCAAAGCATATTTACTATTTTTCTTTGCACAGCTCTTATAACTCTATCGGAAAGTTTTGCTCATCTAACATGCGGTCAATCAAGCCATTCACTATGTATTCAAATGACGGATATGCAAAGATCCGATTCAAGTCTGATGGCTCAAACACACGAACTGGATTTTCATTGACGTACCAGCTGAAAAGCAAGTCCTCCTACCCACTGGGTGGATCATTAAGCTCGACATGCTAGTAAGTCTTTCATGTTGTTTGCATCTGTAATTCTTTAGTCAAAAGAAATTGTCTAAGCTTAAAATCACCTATTTAATCGTTTAAACATATGTGATCATATGATAAGCCTATACCTGCACCCTTTTTTAGTGCATTGCAGTGGCAGATTAATAAAAGATTCAAAGGTTGGCGTTATTATTGATTTTCCCATGTGTTAAAAATCCTAGATTCATCCCAGGGGGCTTGTAATTGTGGCCATTCCAGAATGGGGGATCTTTTTTTCAAAATCTGTAAAAAAGAAAAAAAATCTGATTTTTCATTGACAACTGCCATGTGTTTTGTTCTGTGGTAATTCGATTAAGCCGTCTTCAAGGCGTCTCAATATAATAACTAGTATAGTGGGTTGGGAGCTTTTTCAATGGTGGGGGGGAGCGTTTGCTCTTATTGCCACTCGACCTAAAATAGGCAGAGCTGTACATGTTATTGACAGTTGAAAGGTGTTACTCAAAGTTTCGCACCCAATTTAGTTATCAAGCATCTGTTCTCATAGGCATAATAAACCTTTTATTATGCTTTTGAGAGCAGACGTGCCTATAAGGTTGCCTATCGGGATTCAACGGTATTATGATTTCGCATCAGGTATCAATTTTTCGGGCAACTCGGGAAGAGTATTCACAACCCAAGTTGTAACATGCCATGGACAAAAGCAAGCCAGTCTACGTTTCCACATCATGGGCAGCGAGTTGGGCCATTGGTCTATCGGTGCAAATCACTGAACTCACAATAAACCTCTAAGTTTTGTTGTATGCCATTTAAAGATGCCATTCCTGTCAGTCAACTTCTCAGAGTTAGGATTGAGAAAACAGGAATAAGCCTTACGTTCCAGATTGGATACGTTACGATATGTTTGTCTTATGTGTTGTCCAACCAATGGGAAATTTAGATTGCCAATGGGAAGTGTCTGTAATAGCAGATATATTTACAGTAGACTGGAGAAAGATTGCAACATATCAGCATCATTAACCCTAAATTGTTGTTTCCATTTGTATTCTATTTCATTTAATTTCTGTTGCATGTGTTTTCAAATCGACTTTAACTCTTCTATTGTAATAAAACATTAGTTTATCAAGTATCTTCTTTGTAGATTATCGTGTGTGACAGAGACTGTAGAATGACAACAAATTGTTTTTCAGCGACACATCTGGTCGGGCAGGAGTGTTCTATACCGCTGGCTGGCCAATCAGATATTTTTCCGGAGGGTCAAATCACTGTTACATGAGGTATTACGTCGGTAGAAACAGCTTGAAAGTTGTTGTCATGGACTTGGACATTTTTTCACCTTCCTACTGCTATTCATATTCGCCATACTTCCAAGTGAAAGGTATGCATTCGCGCTATTCTTTCCATATATGATAGCATTCATATTTGCCCCTAGGATCTTTCAGCTGGCATTATCAAAAAATTACCCTGCTATCTCGTATCAGAATTAACGCATTTGAATTCAAAACGTAAAATAGTCCATAAAAATACGTTCAGTGCAGATTTTAAAAATTGTTTTAAAGACGTAGTAGAGGGTCCCTTTCATTTGGGTCCTCCTTTATCGTTTTTGTTGTCGGAATATTATCTAGATCAATGTAATACTTCATTACAAAGTCCGTCATTTTGTCGACGCCCCCATACCTTGCCTCCTTTGGTTCCACAGGCAAGGAAACAGAGTTTTGAGGCTTTTGTAGCAAAGAAGATCAACTAAGCTTTCTCTCACGAGCAATGCTGAGAAATCTCCTTTCTAAGTAAAAAAAAACCTCCCCAACGTATTATCCGGCTATTGGTAAAGAAGAGAGTAGCCCAATAAAGATTTGAACAGTTCAGGGGCGGACTGGCTGGTCGGGCTATTCGGGCGATTGCCCGAAGGGCCGGTCGGTTTAAGGGCGCAGCTGATAAAATTGCAAAAAAAATAAATTAGCTTAAAAAGTGAATGCGAGGCAAAAAAGTATACCCGCGTGTTGATCTGTTTGCCTTGAATTTTCAGAGACTTTGACCCCGTTTACACTGTCCCGTGCAAGTTTGGAACCGTGACAAAACTGTCGCGGTTCGCCCTTGCGTTTACACTAGCACTGTGGAACCGTGACGATTTTGCTCTGCTATCCGGAACAGTTTTGACCCTGCTTTGAAAGCGAACGAATTTTGTACCGTCACGGTTCCGTTTTTGAACGGGGCAGTGTAAACACCTATCCGAGACGATTTTGTCACGGATTCACAAAGAGGCCTTTTGTATGGCTGTTTCAGGTAATCGAGGCTTTGATTGTGGCGTAACTACGTTCTCAAATTCTGAAGAAAAGGAAATTCTGAAGAAAAGACGACCACAGAAAAGGCTTGTAGTGTTTCCCAGTCCAAGCCTTGATTGGACTTTGCAGTTTTGTAGTCTAAATAACACTGAAAATTAAAGCCACCTTGTCGTTCGTCCAAGTAAAGTTTTTATCGGCCTTCCACTCCATTTTAACTCTCAATAAAAATTCGATTGTTGACTTCGGCGGCAAAATAAAAGCCTTGGTTGACTAAATACAGCTTCTTTTAAACAATGTTCTGCCATTAAATTCTGAAGCCATTACACTGTACCGGTACAGTGTAAACGGAACGGCTAAACGGAACAATTTGGAACCGCGACAGTGTAAACACTTGCGAACCGTAACGGTACAAAATTGTCCCGGGACAGTGTAAACGGGGTCTTTGTGGGAACAAATACACGCGAGTACTCCAAAACAATCAAAATTATGAATTCATAATTGTCACCGCAGCCCGAACACACTTCTTCAGGAAACATATTATTGACATCTTGTAATAATTTCTCTTGACGGTATTTCCTTTTTGGCGACATATTATACTGTAACACCCCTGTTTCAATGCGATACATAAGATTTTAACCTGCCCTGATGTCTTTTTACTTAGCTTTTGCTTGATGCTGGTCATGTTTTTGCCTAAGCACAAGCTATTGCTAAATGTAATAAATCTAAAAGTCCAAAAATTAGAGTTCACTAGGCGATTTGCTCTGTGATGTGAAGCAATGAAGAGGGCATACGTACAACAAGGGAAGAGCAAGAAGACTTCGACCAAAGGCATACCTGTCAACCTTAAATTTTCAAAACCTGAAGATTTTGGATTTTTTCTAAAGAAAAACAGGGAGATCACAGTAATTCGTTAAGGGAATAAATATACCTGACAAAATTTTGTGCTCGGCAAACAGTTTATGACAAAACTGATCATGAGAAGTATCTTTATAGTAACTTGTGGAAGTATCTTCATAATAACAAAAAACTGTTCTCATGTGGAAGTCAATGTGGCCATGATATCTTAATTATGCATCTGTAAAAAGAAAGCATACACAATCTTTGAAGGATAAGATGCGCAGTTCAATGGAACATTCGGTGAAGAATCTTCCTAGGCGTTCTGCTAAACATCTTTGAAATCGGGAGAAAAATTTTAAAAACCGGGAGACCGGGAGAAAGCAGTCAAAAACGGGAGTCTCCCGGCTGAACCGGGAGGATTGACAGGTCTGCAAAGGTGGTGCACAGAAATATCACGATAGAAGCTTTTCCACTTTAAACATATAAAGAACAGATTACAAAGTAATTTTTCGCAGCCAAACCTGGAGTCCTTCATGTTATTGTTTTTAGAAAAACACCTGTTAGATGACATCCAGAACGGTCACATTATCAACATATAAGTTCCTGTATTTAGAAACAGAGTCAAACCAATGAGGTAAAATTTTTGTTTATTTACTATTTAGTCAGCAAATGACACATTTAACATATTCTGTTAACCAGAATTCGTCCATGCACAAAATTACTTAATTTAAAAACTTGTTTCCCTTACAGACTAACATTATTGTGGGTCGGTTTGATCAAAATTTGCCCGGGCCAAAAAAATTAGCCAATCCGCCCCTGGAACAGTTCAACCAAGTTCCTCTTTAAATATCATCAACATTCGCATTATACTTCAACAGACCATTTCCCTTATTTGGCTGTACTTCAGTGAGCGTCCAGTGCATTCTGTTACTTGTAGTTAAACCTGCGAACATTTCTTTATTTTCGCTACGGCGATTGAATGAAGTTCTGTAATTGTTCCTCCCTCTTTGCTCGAATTATCGTGCCACTCCACCGGGTGAATAAGTAGAAGAGTTTTCAGGATTACTTGAGAAGTTTGGATTGGCCAACAAGGATGAACAATGTTTTTGAGCCAATCAGACTGTTTGTTTACAATTTGAACCAGCCGATGGTATAGCGTCAAAGACAATAGAAATCTGAAGAGAAAATAGCATCGAATCAGCCGCAACAGTAACGCTCGCACCTCCTATCCAAAGCTGTGGGGAAAAACCGGCGCCACAAAAGTTAACGCTGAACGCGAAAATGGTCATTATTGAAGTGCTTCATACAATTATGCATAGCAAAGGAGTATATCTTAAACTTTGTCGCCCCCATTTTTAAAATTTGGTCGTTAACCAGAGATAAGCGATGAAAGTTTAAAATATACGACGTACATACTTTGTAAGTGACCTGTTTTTCAATAAAATGACATGATGCCGTTTTCTTGGAGTACAACCAACCATAACCAACGTAAGCAGATTCAATCAGGGCAATAATGGGCTAAACGTTTCATAAATATGGTTGGTTGTACTCCAAGAAAACGGCATGATGTAATTTTATTGAAAAACAGGTCACTTACAAAGTATGTACGTCGTATATTTTAAAGTAAGACAGAGAGATAATTATCAAACTCGGGTTTTTTCCCTAAGACAGTCCGTCAACTTTCTTTCATAGAGTGCGTTCTCGAGTGTTGCGTACTGAAGAAATGCATATCTTGAGAAAATAGGGGCATTGTTGCAAATATTTATTCCAAAATCATATGCCTATACCTGATTTTGGTATTTTTGTAGGTGCAAGCAATGGTTCTTCTCATGGCAAAGCTTTGTAGGACTATTTGTCAACAAATTTTGTGGAAACGAACTGATTATCGTGGCTTCAAAACGTTAGAAAGTAAACGATAAAATGTTTTCTCTAGGCACGCAACGGCTCACGCTATCTGTCTCCACCGAAATAAATCCCCTGGTTTATTAGTGACTTAAGTACCGATTCATTTAAGAAAAAACTCAGAAGTACTTACTTAGTGCTTGTACTTCATTCTTGTTGGAAAGAAAGATTATTTCATGTTTCTTTGCGATCAAACCAGTAACTGATTTGCAGTTTTATGACATTTTTTGCTCCAGAGCTATCGAGCAGTTCAAGGCTCCCAGCCTAGAGGCCAGTAATAAATGAAAATTTGCAATTTATTTTAGAGGTTTGACTGCGGATAGCTTTTGCATGAATTCACTGATTGGTAGAATTCTGTTCGTGTAAGTGTTTGGTGTGGTTCTGTCACAATCGAGGAATCTATTGGGTATTTAAAACCATCGTACAAAGCGATGAGCCAATCTTGAAAAAAACAGCATCTCTTTTAAATAAGAAAACAGGGCCACTTAGAGCCACGCTCGGCCCTGGGACCGGCACAATGCTTGAGCCTCGCATTTTTTATTGATTTTCACCTCTTTAATTATATTCGTCAAATTTTCCAAATACAGATATGATTTGTAATTACCATGTTTTTTGGCGTCATATTTTAAAGAGAGACTACTCTGCTTTTAGGCCCATAGGCTATTGCCCACCCCCCTCTCCCCTCTTGTCCGCCCTCTCGTTGCCATTAAATTGAAATATTTTTCAGAAAAAATTAATTTGCATTGGCAGTGAAGGAGTTTGTCTTGTATCTTTTTGAAATTATTATTAAGAATGACATTGCAGTTGGATGTATTCAAAGAGGTTCATGACCTTCAATTAGGCCTGTATAACTGACGAAAATTTTCAAGATTTGATATAGATCTCGTGCCAATTGATAGAAAAGACTAACACATTTGGTAAAACATTTTCATTTTCAAAACCTCTATCAGGCAGGTCTCCATTATCAAGTCAAACCAGTGCAACATTTCGTCAAACAAGTCCCAACATGTTGGCGACTTTTTAGACGTTGTTGGATATTGTTGGGTGTAGTGGTCTAACGGATTTCTTCCTCGTCTAACGGAAGCCCGCTTTTTTCATAAATTCCAATTTTTGTTGAAGTTGAGGTTTCTTATCCGCAGCTTCCTGAACAAGTCAAAATGTGGCGAGGTTATCGTCACTTCACTTGCGCCAAGGTAATTTTGTTGGACAGGGTGGCTAAACCAGCTCTACACCTCTTATTCAATCTTTTGCTCAAGATTTGAGACTTTTGATAAAGCTTTTTAGAGCGACTCCGTGTGAAGCACTCTTATAGCTTGTTGCTGAGGTTATGACGTAATGTCTAAAATGCGATTGGTTGAGAAGGCAATGCCGTTTGACTTCTGAGCCAATCGCATTTCAGACATTACGTCATAACAATCGCATTTTAGACATTACGTCAAGCTATAAGAGTGCTTCACACGGAGTCGCACAGAAAGACTTCTATCAAAAGTCTCAAATTTTGGAAGATTGGTACTGCCTTGGAAAGATTTCTCTGGGAAAGAGCTGCCTTGGTCTTGATTTTCAACAACAACATGGAAAGTGGTTCTGTAAGCAATTTTAAAGGCTTGCACCATTTTCAGTTTTCCGTCGACACCTTAGAAAGAGAAAGCTACCTTAACCTTGCACACTTTTTGAAAGAATAACCCTGATAAGACACATCAGGCTGAGATTTACGCGAACGATGAGAACAACATACAAAATAGGCAGGCTGAAATTCAATAAAAACCAAGAAATATATTACCAGAAAAATGTGTAACACGAAAGAATAGCAACAGAAAAACAAAAAAGCGATAAGCAAATAGCATTAATTACTTTATCAAGCACATGTATGCCTGGACGCTAGTATGCACAGAAAATTGAATTAAAAATAAGAAAGCAACTAAGAAACACATTAGGCTGAATTTATGCGAAAAGAAGTGAGGAGCGCCAGGCTGAAACTGGAGCCTTAGCACAGCAAAATCTTGCTCCAAAAAATTTTAAAAGTTTGTTTGATTACCTCCTGACTAGGGGGGGAGGCTAACCAACTCTCACAGAGGGACTGTAGCCCCCCTCCCCCTCTTAGCGCTACTACTGCGTATTTTAACAAATGCGGCTACAACTGACATGTTTACTGCTGCTTTCAAATTCGAATTTCTTTTAATTTAGGCTCAAACAGTCGTCATTTCGGAAAAAACCCCATCACAATCTTAACGACGGCAGTGAGTACCAAACTGTGTGGAACTCAGTCTCCTCGATCGTATACCACTGATTACAACTACGTGTATTTGTTCTTTAATAAACCAACCGCCACGACAGTTGGAAGAGGTTTTGTGGTTGGCTACGTCGAATATGGTGAGTGTATCATTGAATTTCAAATGCTTACTGCTAGTAAACATAAACTAATCGAAGTCACAGAGTTTGAAGTCAGTTATTGCTATTTCTACGGATTATATCCCCTTCCCTTTTTCCTTCATTGGTCCAAACCTATTTACCAGGAGCCCTCGAATTGCCCCCCTTGGGGCTTATTAGGTTAGGCAATTTTTGATAACGACTCATTCGAGGTGGGTCTTATTCTAGGAGGGTTGCCTTAATCATCTACAGGTGGTGATACAAATTTCTCTTTAATAACCTTTTCTAAACTATCAAATCAAAGATAAATAAAGCACAAAAGGACGTTTTAGTCAAAAATTTTGACATTTTCATTGTTATTGGCAATCTCTTCATAAATTCGTCAATTCTTTTAGCTATCTTCATTCGCTGCTGAATGTCATGGACTGTAATGGCGTATTTCTTTGTTGTATCCTCGTTTAAGCCCTCTAGGGTTACATCAAAATGCAAAAGTAATCTTGGCGTTTTATTGTAAAGTTCTCAATAGATTTAATGTGACGCCCTTAGGTTGGTAAAAAACTCCAAATACAGCTATCATGCTGCCTTCATCTTATGTAAACCATTTAAGGGTATTTTGCTCTGTGAAACTAGATAGAATCATCACAACAACGCGATAAATGCAAATAATCTGACAATGAATGTCATAGAATCATTTTAGCATTGAAGACGCTGGCAATCGCAGGTTGTATTGCTGCAAGCAATCTTTTGAGTCGTTTTCATTTTTAATCTTTCCAACTGCAAGGCAAATGAGCTATTTCGAGAATGTATAAAAGCTCTGTTCAAATGGACATAACGCAACAGGTGAAAATTCTGAATTTCCTCTCTTAAACCATTGATAACTTACATGTTGTGTGCACAATTTCATTCAGGATACTCAAGTTGGTCAAGTTGGTCAAATTGTTTGGTCAGGTTCCGCAAGTTGGTCGAATTGGTCGCGTTGGTCAAGTTCAAAAAGTTCAGGTTCAGGCACTGCTATTGGCGCATCAATCGGGAGTATCGTTTTTGTTGCGATCATAATAGGATTTATCTATGGATGTTGCAGAGCATCTTGCAGGGCCAATCGAGGAGCCGTCATTGTAGCACAGCAAGGACAGACCGCACAAGCCGCCCCCATTGTAAATGCCAATGTCTCTAACAATGTAGCAACATCCCAGGCAACTACTCTAGCACCTACAACTACTGCAGGTTACATGCCACCACCGCAGGGTGCACCTGCATATATGCCACCGCAGGGTGCCCCTGGCTATATGTACCCACCGAAGGGTGCCCCTGGATATATGCCACCACCACAGGGTGCCCCAGGATATATGCCACCACCACAGGATGCCCCAGGATATATGCCACCACCACAGGGTGCCCCAGGATATATGCCATCGCCAGATGGTTAAGGCTATATGGCGGCGCCACCGCCATACTCGACCAGTGGTCCTTATCCAACTGCACAATATCCTGATGGAATGCAAAAACAATAAAGATTTGCAAAGTATTTTAATTTCAACTGATTCGTGTCGTTATTCTAAGATTTCAAAATCTTGCAGCCGTATTGCTGACAAGCCATTTTTCTTTAATTTCTAAGTATAGTTCAGGTTTTCATCTTATAACTTTATGTAGTGCTAGATTCAATTTGCAATATATTTGTTGCATTATAGCTGCATTGTCAGAACTATATAGATTTAATGTGTGGTGAATGCCTAAGCAACCTGCAAGGTTATTCACCTTCTTAATTTTTTGCCGAATGTTGAATGAGCACCTGATTGACAGAAGATGATTACAAGGGAAAAAGCCCGATTATCAAACTTTTCGAATTTGCCACCCACTCCAGTTTTGATCCATAACAACATACTATATTAATCTCAATGTTAATCCAACATAATGTTGCTGGAACCATGCACCTCAGCCAGTTCAAATGGTCATTAATTATATTAATAACAATATAGTGTTGTGACAACCGGCCCGTTGTCAGGGTGTGTATTGTTATCAACAGGTGTTAGCGCTTTGCCCGCTCGATTCAAATTGTTGTGCTGTTGCGGTATCGCATGGTCGCTATCGCCGCCATTTTACTTTCGTTCGCTGTTCGTGATGATTTGTCGGTCTGCATTGTTTTGCGTATCTTGACAATTATATTTTATTGTTAATATTACGATAACTTGTTGATTTATAAATGATTGATTAAGTATTTAGCTTCATGTTATGTTTATTGAATTGTGTATTACTTTTAATAATTGATTTAGCTTATTTCATTTGGTCCGTTGGTCTGATTCTTGAATCTATTTTTTTGGACTGTATTGTTTCGTCCCTTTTATTGATTTTAGTTATCTCAAATATATGTACAACAGCCTGTCTTCTAAAGTCTTGGTAATTTTTAGGAATGATGTATGTTATGACAATACACTCGTGTAAGCCTAAGCACTAAGAAAAAGTTGATTAAACATCGTTGATGGAGAATTATCCCCATTGTTTATCACTGCTTGTCTTGTTTATCGCCAATTTTTCTACTCTACTTCAAGTGAAGCATTGGCTAAATATATTGAACCTACGACTGGGCAGCCCCTAATCTGTTTAGTGACTTTATCTAGTCTTGTTGCCGCGAAAAATGTTCAGGGACGCCGGAACGACCACGGGGCAAGGGGGGCAGGCTTGAGTAAAAGGGCATTTGAGAAGTAATTCCCAGCTAACCGACGTACGTTAGGAACGTGTGTCGCTTCCTAGCAAGAAGAGTCTCTGTGAGTACAAGTAGACGGATGGGCCTAGGGTGACATCAAGTCCCAGCATCCCTTGCGAATAGATTACTGCTGATGTAACATCCAAAAGGAATAGAACACATACATTTGAATTATATGGAGTACTATTTTGCAGAATTATAATGTTACAACATTTAAGACTGTTTTTATGTAATTGAAGTTGGCCTACCCCTACCCATATTTTTATCTAAATCGGAAACATAAGGTATTAAACTTGCATACGTCTCAGGTACATTCCTTTCGTTTCTAATGGTATCGAGAATGCTATGGTATGAATAAAATATGATATGATAAAATATTATATACACGAAAATACGTCGATTATATACAATGTAATAAAAAACAAGGTAAAATCAAAGGCAAGATTTTGAATAAATTTTTTATATTGTGCTTTTCCAGCGTTCGTGTTTTGAAGTTAATCTCTTTGATTAGCCAGTTGGTTTGCTTTCATTTTTTTCAATTAACTAACAGTTGGGGTCTCTCGTATGTCAACAGACGTTTCATCAAATGGTTCACTACTTCTCTTTGAGCCCAAATGGAATACAAGTCTTCGACCGGCACAACAATGCCCCGCTTATCGGTTTGAAAGATGGTTTTCGTGACGTATACTAGGACCCAAGCTTTGTCTACTATAAGCAGACTTCAGCGGACTCGTACTTGTGTTTCATAATTATTAATAAAAGCACCAGCAAAGATGCTGAAGCAATGCTGGTGCAAATACAATCACCCGTTATAAATGAAAAGGTATCATGGAGTTAGAAACAAATTAATTAAAAAGAATAATGACTCTTGATTACATGACTTGTATCAAAACCGCAAAACGCTTTCTTCAATGCAAATTTTTATTATAAAAAAATCGAGGTTAAATAATTCATACTTTGCAGCAAAAAGACTCAACAATCTCTATCTGCCTCAGTGTTTTTAGCCGGCTTTGATATGGATCCAATGAATCAAATCCCAAGTTAGTCAAAGCTCCAAGTATTCAGTATGGTGTTACTTCAACTGACAATCGTCCTTTGGTAAGTCAGAATTCTTTTCCCTTGTTGCTTTTGTCATAGAAGCTATGAATGCCCCTAGATAAGTAGCATTTTGCTTTCGAACATATGTTTCACCATGACCAAATAGGCATTTATTTTTCATGCCAATGTGTACTCTCAGGCGGCTGGAAATGTTTGCTGATTTATTTTGTTTACCTTCTTATTATCTCGTATAGAATGTACGAAAATCTATGCCGGCTGTCACTTGACCAATTTAGGTAAAGTGGGAGAGGTAACATGCAAAGATTAAGTTTTGTGGTTGCGAGAAGTTGAAAATTCTTCAAGGATCGCCAGCTTACAGTGGCTTTTCTCCTCATTTCGTCCATATGTCATTTTCAGATTTACAAGGTCACAACTTATTCAAAAAGATTATTCTCTATTTGTGGACTTAAAAGGATACTTTTGCATGTATTCCAAGAAGTGGGATGAATGTGCCATCATTAATTTTTCTGATCCCCAATTCCTTGCTTTTTAATAGCCTTGAAGAATTCGAATGCGTTTGGGCTTCTGTAAATTAGTCATTTTTTCTCTCTTAGCATCTCATCACTAGCTGCATCCAAAGGGCCTCAGGTTATGCATTCGGTCTTCATTCCCGTGCCAAATACAACTTTCCAGCTTGATTATCTAATACCGGAAGATACATTTTTTGACCCTGATCACGGTAACACAAGAAATCTACGACTGTTTTTGTACAATGAAGACGGCACTGAGCTGGCCAAAAGCTCTTGGATTGATTTGGCCGGACAAACGGTCAGGCTGTTTTCATCAAAGGAGATCGTCAGTAGGCAACCGGCAGGCGGTTACAAGTTTAGACTCAGCGCTATTGATCCGGAACCACTAGAAAACCATACAACGCTGACGGTGATGTTCCAAGGGTCCTTTCCACGGCCTAACTACTTGCGGATATTTGTGAGTAAATTTTCTGCAAGTCTTCACTCTTCCTACCTTCATAATATAGTATTTTTTTAAAAAACTTAATGCTAGGCAAATAATAATAATGTTGACTTAACTTCACAAATCATTCTCGCTGGGCTGTGTGAAACAACACATGTTGCACAAAACTACATTACATCTTGATAAATCTATGTTACATTTCAAAGACCCTAAGCAGAAGCTTGAATAGCTAATTGACGCCTCAGTAGTACGGCCTTTCTGCGATAAAGCTTCCCTTCCTCTCTTTTTCAACGACCGAAACTTTTGAATTGGTAGAAGTAAGTCGTTACATTATACAATATCAATTCATTTATGCAATGCATTTTGCAGAACCTGACTTCAACCACCAATGTTGTCGTGGCTACATTTACTGATGTGCAAATTCTTTACAATCTGAAGACCAAGATAGCCCCATTTCTCGGAATTCAGCCAGAAGACATGTTCAATGGGGATGTTATCATTAAGAGGAGTGGAACTACATCTCTTTCATTTGACTATGTCTTCAGCACGAAATACCTCCTTGAAAAAGACTGCAATGTTTCTTCGATAATCAACCTGAAAAGCAAGCTTGATAGCTCGGGAGCAGAACAAAGCTTGAAACAACTGCTTTTGCCACAGTTTAGTGTTGTCACCATGTCCGTTGAGAGATACCAGAGGCAGTGTAGCACCTATTCCAGTGATGCACCTGTTATTGGCACCTCCTTTGGAACGATGACAATCAGGCTTGGTCAGTATTTCTCTTTCCAAGTCTCCCAGTCTCTTTTCACGCCTCCAGCTGGAACAAACATGAAATTAAAGATATATTTGCGATTCATCAACAATACTGCCACGCCAGCTAACTACTGGATTGGCCTATCTGGCAACGATCTTGATCAAAACATCCAAATTCATGGACTCCCAGTTCTTAATACATACAGCAAGCAAATCTCATATAACTTTAAACTTGTTGCTGTGACTCCGATTCTAATAGAAAATTCACAAAATTTTGCTCTCAGCATTGAAAAGAGCTTTGCAAGTGTCCTTATTACATACACCCTTAAACAGAATTCGTTGCTTGTTAGCAGCACAGCAACTTTTGCTCGGCTTTTTTCAACTTTCATGAGCTCATACCTGGGAGTTAACTCGTCGACGATCGTTATTTTAGATATTCAAGAAGGGTCATCGTTCTCTGTCGTATGGACATTGTCTTCTCTTTCTCAGGAGCCTTGCAAATTCGCTGAAATAAAGAACGTAAATGAAAAGATCCTTGCAAGTGATGGTAGTGTTAACCCTTCTCTTAGAAATGGACTTTACGGAGCAGCTAGCTTCTCTCCTTCTTCTGTCTCCATAAATTTGTTTGGCAGTTGCAATCCACCAAAAGTCAACAAAACGATTCCACAACTCTTCGTGCCAAAATATGGGTCTTTGGTATACTTGGTTCCTAATGATGCTTTTTCGATAGCAAATAGTGCAGATACGCTTAAAATTTCACTGCTCGACAGTACTGGAAATGCACTATCAGTTGATTCGTGGATTTGGTACAACAACAACACTAGATATATATCTGGAACGCCTACTTCCGTATCACAGAAGCAACAATATTCCTATATCTTACGAGCAGAGAATGTATACGGTAGTTTTGCTGATCAAAATATCTCCGTCATTCTCAACTGGACGGCGCCTGCATTCACTCTAAAATACAGAATAACTTTCACTCACCTTTTATCGACATTGCCATATGCTAATTTGTTAACATTTTTCCTCCAAAAGTTAAAGACATACTTTGCACAGCCAAATAAACAGAACATCGTTCTTTCGCAAGTTGCTTACCTTTCAAACGCCAAAATAATCCTTATTTATCAAAACACCTCGCTTCGGACTGACGTTTGTGATGTCATCGGAAATAACGCCATCCTGGGGAAACTCCAAGCCTCGATAATAGATAAGACTCCGAATAGAGCATTTGTAGCTGCAATGAATCCAGAATTTTCAGTCACTGGTGTCGAGGTATTCCTTTACGGAAACTGTCAGATTTTACAGAGGAAACCACCATATTTCAATTTTTTTAACCCGATTGCATACGACTTTGGGGCTTCGATTAAAACTGTCTCATACTGCTCTGCGAGTAGCTATATAGTCCCTGAAGTCATGTTTCACGACGAAGAAGAGGGTGGCACTAGGAACTTGAAACTAGACCTTCTCAATCTAAGCAAGCAAGCTTTGCCTCTCAACAACTGGGTGAATATTAATAGTACATCCCAAACAATTTATGCGGTTGCAGATGATGAGCCATTTTCTAAGATAACTGAAGCGTACCAAATGTTTCGGCTATTTGCTTATGACAGCGATGGGAAATACGACAATGTTCGGCTGAAATTCAATGTTTCTGGTCCACCACCACCTGGGCACTATAATGTTACAATGCAATTACGCGTATCTGAGATCTTTCAACAGCCATATGTACTCCAGTTAGCGCATCTATACGGTTTCTTCAAGCAGCTTTTCCCGAATGGACCAGCAATTCATGTTCGATCCTACAAATTCGAAGACCCTGCACATCCGTCAATTGCAAAGTTCGTTTGGAGTCCCTGTGGCATGGAGAGAAAATTCTGTAATCTCTCAGTTATTGATCTGGTGAGATCAAAAGTATTTGCCCCTGGTACTAGAAGTATGAATACAAACTTAAACAGCATTTTTCAAGGAACTTTCACCGTATTGAGTGTATTTGAGTCAGCTGCAGACAGTTGTCAGCAAAGTCCCCCCGTCTTATCAGCAAGTCTCCCTACCCTTTACATTGAATTCTGCGGGCAGCTGACGTACAGAATCCCATCAAATACCTTTACTGACAAACAAGACGGGAACACATTAAATCTTAAACTGCGTTTGCTTAACGCTGACGCCACCGTTATTCCAGAAGGCAACTGGTTACATTTCGATCAAGCAAAACAAGAAGTGAGAGCGGTTCTTACTGAAGATCAAACAGCATCAAGCTTTTCAAGGCAGCATGTGTTTATTCTTGTAGCAACTGACTCAAATGGAAACTCGGCCAATACCACCTTAAGTGTCAGTATTAATGGCTCACAACCTCCATATAGTCACTCTTTTACGATTCAGGCAAAGTATACTTCTGCATCAGTCAATGGTTTGCTATATAAATTCTCAAAGAGAGTTCAAGAATTTTTCGGGGACACAATACCAACTTTTCAGGCATTGAGAATGACTGAAGCTATTGGGAAGAAAATTATAGTCACTTGGTCTAATTGTAGTTTACGGTATGATCCTTGTGATGTCCTCGGAATAAAGCAAATCCAGACGAGGCTACTGTCTTCCTCCGGTCTTCTGAAAAATGAGTTTTCTCTTGCAATGCAGCCTGATTTTACAGAACTATTTATTTCCGAGACAAACAGTGGTCCATGTTCTTTGGATGAGCCTCCTAAGCTTGCTGTGCCATTTGGTCCAATAACTGTCACATCATGTGAGACATATAGAGCAATTATTCCTGTCGGTACCTTTACTGATAAAGAGCAAGATAACACCCGCAATTTGGACCTGAAACTTGCAGGCAACAGTTACCAATGGGTTCGTTTCGATACAAGAAAACAAGAGCTTGCAGTGCTTGTTACTAACCAAATAGCCTCTGCTTTTCCTACTAGCTCAGTAAAGGTCACTCTTATGGCAACCGACTTGAATTTGCAGTCTGCAGAACAGGAGATTGTCATAAATATTGTGAAGGAAACAAAAGCTGCAACACATAAAATCACAATGCAATATAGTATTACTTCACTCCAACAGGATTTTATCACATTATATGACGTAATGAGACAAAATATTACAAAGTACTTTAGTAAACATAGTAATTTGTTATCTTCGGTGGAATTCAATTCTTTACCTTCGAGTTTGACCACTGGCACAGTTATGAATACTGAATGGAGCAGTTGTTCTTTGCAACGAGCAACTTGTGATCAGTCTGGGATAAACGCCATAATCAATATGATAACACCAGGTGGTGTTATAAACGAGACGTTTAGATTAGCCCTTAGACCTTATTTGGATGTGACGACAGCGACAGTTGCATTGCAAGGAACTTGCAAAGCAATAAATGCTGCGCCGGTTGTACAAAACCCACTGCCAGTTATAAATATAAGCTACTGTGGCTATACAGAGTATCAAGTTCCTGAAAACACTTTCCACGATTCAATCGACGGATCAACCAGGGCATTGACCTTGATGTTTTTAAACTCTTCAAATCAACCAGCAACTGAGAAGTGGATAGAGTTTGACTCAAAAACACAGAAATTTCTCCTTCTTCTTGATGATAATGCTATTCCTGGGAAGATATTTCCAAGAACGTTTGATTTTGTTCTCAAGGCCACAACCAAAAGAGGATTGAGTGTGACTGACAAAGTTCGTCTCCATTTATCGAGCATTTACCCAAACGCTAGCTTCTTGATAAAGATAAATTTTGCATGGGTAGCACCAAGTCCCCCGTCAAGAAACAACATATTGAAAACAATAATCAACAGATTTACAAATTATCTAGGGGGGACACCAAATGATATACACATAGCCGAACTTAAGCAAGAGCCTCAAAGCTCATATCCGTACTTTGTATTAAAGATTGCAAACTGCACAGTACGATATTCACCCTGTGATCGAGAAACTCTCAATGCAATTGCGCCTAAAATACATGATAAGCATGGCACAGTTGCTGCGTTTGAATCGGCAGTTGGTGCTTCTGATATCTACATTACCTATGTGCAAATTGCTGAACTTGGTCCGTGCCTTAGAAGAAATACACCTCCAGCCGTTTTGAATAAGCTTAGCAAGATTCAGGTTGGTACTTGCTCGGATTTTAATTACACATTGCCCGAGAATACATTTCATGACGAGGAGGACAGAGTACTTCAGCTTTCAGTAACTAAAGTAAATGGAATTCCAGTGAGTGGGAATTACAGGTGGTTGCGAATTGTGTCAGCTGGCCGCATGCTGTTTGGGGTAATCACAAACAGGGTCCTTGTGGAACAACCTACCAACGGCTACAATGTGACAATCCGGGCAACTGATAGTGGTGGGCTATTTGTGGAGACATCTCTAAATGTGCAGATTTTCGGCCAGCTACCTCAGGACTACTACCAGTTTACTCTTGAACTTAGTGCTGTAAGAATTGGCGAACAGTTTATGGAAGAGCGCGAGGTGATAAGAGTACTTAATTGGTACTTTAAAAAGAACTTTACGAATATTATGGTTTACACACATTCTCCAACGACAAACCGTATCACAATAAAGAGCAGTATTTGCGTGTTACCGAAGAAATGCGACGAAATTGCAGCATCAACCTATTTTCAGAAAATCAAAACAATTCAAGGCAGTGTTCCAGCAGAGCTACAGGCCACATTATCGTATAGATATACAATAATTTCAACGTCTGTTTATAGAGCAGCAGTGTGCCAGCAGCCTATCAACGCACCTGTTCCATCTTTGAGCACTTGGACTATCCCGTCTACCTACTGTAGTGGATTTAGAAGTATTGTCCCAGACAGTTTATTCCAGGATCCTGAGGACGGAAGCACTAGAAACTTGCTTTTGGAACTCTATATAGAAAATCGTAAACAGCTTCCTGCAGATTATTGGGTTCAACTCAACAAGACATCACAAACAATCTACGGTAGACCAACTCGAGCCATTGCATTGAATTATTCCACATCAAGCATCTTGACATTAGTAGCAACGGACAAAACAGGTCAGGAGGCCTCGGTCTCCATTAGATTTTCGTTTACTCACCACGAGGAACCAAAGTATATATATAAGCTCGTTTATCAAACAAGCAGAAAGTACTCTAAAGCAATTGATGAAATAGTCGATTTTTCTCAGCAATTGCAGAATTACCTCAATGATTATTCTCAATCGACTTTGGTCTCATTCTACACTCAGAGCCTTTTTCTGGTTCCCATTCTATTCATTACGCAAATTGCTCTATTTCGTACAACCCCTGTGACAAGGCGCGTTTGAACAGTATCAAAAGCCTTTTACTGACATCGACAAATATTCCAACGCAGCAGTTCCAAAACGCGATGCATGGGTTCTCTATCCAGTACGGAACAGTGCAGGTCTTGAGCCCGTGCAGTGAAAGTAGTGTCCACCCTCCTTCTGTAACATCAAGAATTGCGTTTTTGAATATCACCATTTGTGGTTTCTTCTCTTTCGCAATTCCTGTTAACACGTTCTATGATACAGAAGATGGGAATACTAGAAAACTAAGTCTATTGTTGACAGACGCTAGCCATCAAGCTTTGTCAAAGAATAACTGGCTGCAGTTCAACACAAGCACGCAAACTATAGAAGCTTTTGCTACAGCAAATCATGCGTTAGCCCAGTCCTCCAGTGGATATTCGTTTCTTTTGACCGCTACAGATAGCTCTAGCCTCTCTGCATCTAACAGTTTCCATACCAAAATTGTCGGTCCTGCACAAATACTTAAAGATTGTCAAATACAAATTGTCTTCAAAGTCGATGCCTCTTTAAGCAGCAGCAGCAACAACATTTTGATACAGAAAGTCGTGAAAGGTCTTCGAACGTATTTTGCTCTGACTGCAACGGAAATTGGCCTGGTTGATTTCATACGCCATTCAAATTTCCAATTCACGTTTTCTTGGAGTTATTGCTCAGCAAGTTATAGTCACTTTTCAACTACTTTTTCAAGCGAATCACAAGTTGACTACCATGGTTTGGTGACCAAAATTTTGGTTTTGATGTTTGGCGCAGATAGGAAATCTATACAAACTGCTTTTCTGTCAGCATTCGAACAACTTACCGTAGTCTCAGCAAAAACGTCATTCTCCGGTGTTTGCAAGAATCTTCCCCCTATTCTGACGTCAACCACGAAATTGAGAATCCAAGTGGAAAATTGTGGCTACAAAATGGAAGAACTTCAACAAAGTTGGTTTTACGATTATGAAGATGGAAATGCCTTTGACTTAAATCTAAATTTGCTTGATAACAAAAATAAAACTGTCAGTATAAACAACTGGGTCCATATTGACCTGAAAGCAAGAAAAGTACTCGTGAGTTTAAGAGATTCACAAAGAGACCAATTGCAAAAGGACTATACTTTCTACCTTAAAGCAACCGATAAAAGTGGTAAAAGTGCCTTTCTTCCGATAACTGTAGCGAAATTAACACCGACAACAACGAGATCGCCGTTCAGTATCACATTTGAATTCACGTTGCCAACATCATCTTCCCGAAACTCATATGTAAATGAAAGCATTATGTTAAGTGATACTACAGCAAGACTCTATAGCCTGATCAACGGCAAAAGCGTAATAACGAGTCAGTTTACTTCACAAGAAGCACCCGTGGAAACCCGCAGTTTTACGTGGTTGCCGTGTAACTTCCAGTCATGCAGTGGCTCTTCAGCACTTCAGCTAACAAAACAGCTCTTTGATGCAACGAAGTCGACGGTACAGTCGTTTAAAGAATCATTTCTACCGTCTTTCTCTTTTAAAAGGGCGTACTTTATATCATCGTGTTATACTCCTGGCCTACCTCCGGCAATTCTTGGTAGCAATATTGAATTAAACATATCAACGTGCAGTCCGTTTAAGTTTAAGCTACCCGACTCTACCTTTGTAGACAGCAGCGATGGAGAAATGCCCAATATGAAGATAAGACTACTTGACCAGAACAAGAATCCAATTTCTCCAAGCTCTTGGATTCAGCTGAACACTGCAACTTTAGAGCTGTATGCAATCTTTCAGAGCTCTGCACTAGCAACCAGCAGCCATATTGTATCTTCCTCGACCGCTACATCAATTCCGATTTCAAAAACATTCATTTTCAACTTAGAAGCAAGAAACAGCCGTGGTGTTAGCGCATATAGACAATTCAAAATGAATGTTCTTGACTATCCATACACGAGTGACTGCTATGCTACGATAAATGTTACGAGAACGTTCGGCGATGAAAGTACATATGATCTTGATGTTTTGTTTCGCCTTGTTAATGCAATAAGCAGTTTCTTTAAAGAGAAAACTGCAAGTGTAAAAGTTTACAAATTTAAAAAATTGTCAGCATTTTCTTACACGCTGGTGTTTAGCAACTGTTCGTTTGTTTTCTCGACAATGAAAGAAGCGAAGTGGGGATTGAGTGAATCACACAGAGCTGCGATTACCATGATTTTTTCGCAAATGATGCAGAGCAATGGAGTAGCATCTAATGCCTTTGCTACATCACTTGCATCAAATGGCTTTTCCCTGACAGGGATAAATACAAGCTACAGCTGTATCGAATCAGCGCCATTTTCGAAAGTTGGAAGGCTTAGGCCATACGCATTTTTATGCCAGACATTCAGTGATCCACTATCAGTAGATCTATTCAACGATGCGCGCGATGGAACGAATCTTCAGCTATCACTCCATTACCTTAATGGTAACGCTGTCTCACCAGATGAATGGGTTCAGCTTGATCCTCTCAACAAAGTAATTTACGGTGCAGTTACTCAAATGGTCAAGGCAAATATTCCATCATTTGAAGGCTACACTTACATATTAACAGCTACTGACTCATCAGGTCGCACAGCAAACATTTCGTATATTATCAAGATAGCAAGCGCTGCCCCGATCCAGGATGTTAGATTTTTTCTAGGTTTCGAAAGCACTTTCACAATCTACAGTAGAACAACTGATATACTGCTCAACGTAACAAACAAGATTGCGAAATATTTGGACAACAACAACCATGGGACAAATGTTGTTATTTACTCATACGACGCCATTAGTCTTATTTCTTTTGAAATGTGCAATTTCAAATGCACTCCTTCTATGATGACCACAGCACTGCAAAAGCTCCAAAAACAGATGTTCAAACCTTTACCTAGTGATGCATTCAAAGCAGCCATGGGACCGGATATAGTTCCTCGCTATATTTTCGTGAACGGGCCTAAATGCGTCGAGACGACAACTGTAACTATACACGTGAACCACTTGCTTATTTCGAACCAGCCAATCTGTGGGTTCTTGAACTATAGCATCCCTGAAAATGCTTTTGGGACTTCTCTTGGCGAAACTACAAAGGACTTGATCTTAACAATGTTTACGAGTGATAATAAAGTGATACCACAAGATTCCGTGATTCACTTCCATCAGGATCTTCAGGCCATTCACGGCGTCGCAATATTCTCGCACCTTTCATCGACTTTGACCTATGTACTGACAGCTTCAAGTGCTCGCTCAACCTCTGTGGTAACGACCAATGTACGTCTAAACTTCCCTGACTATGTCACATTTAGACAGACAGAAGCTAGACTCTGCACTTTTTCGATTAAACTAACAACAAATTTCAACCCTGCCGTATCTGACGTCTTCATTCTTCGTACGTTCATGATAAAGATTGCAACATTTTTTAAAAGCAATGTGCAGCAAATTCAGATCGTGTCGTATAGCAGAAGCATTACATACCCTATTAGTTTGACCATCAAGTTTTCCAATTGCTCCTGGTTATACCTTCTTCAGAGTGTAACTACACTTGGCACGTACTACCAACGAGTTGAGACTGCTTTACGCCTAGTATTTCAGTACAGTGGTTCAACATTAGTCGGTACTTCCAGTACCTTCAAGAGTGCTTTATTTCCAGAATTCACCATAAATAGTGTCACGATTAACAAAACAACATGTGTTGCACCACCCGACCGACCTCCAAGTTCTAGAAACCTGAATCCAATAGAAATTGCTCCGTGCGGTGAATTTAATTATGTCATTCCAGCTGATCTATTTAGCGATGAAGATGGAAACACAAGAGGCCTAAGGGTCGAAGTTCTGATGCAAGATGGATCACAGCTTCCGACAAACAGTTGGATCATATTTGATAACGTGACACAAACAATAGCGGGTCTGCCTTTGAACCAGACGCTTGTGGAACAACCGAATGGAGGCTTCAAATATAGAATCAAGGCAAGTGACAAATTAGGCCAATCTACTTACGTTACCATGACAATAAAAATCAATGGGGCACCATATCAAAGATACAATGATATTGGATTGCATTTATTCTATATGAGTACAGTAAAAAGCAAATACCAGATGTATCACATTTTAACATTTACGAGAAAGGTCTCCAGGTTCTTAGGTGATAGCAAGAATAGAGTGCGCGTTATGTCAGCGACTATAACTCCGACAACTATAGCAATGAGTTTAGTTAACTGTACTGCATGTGATCCAATGAATATCATCAAGTACCTGGTTTTGTTTGTGGCACAAGGAGTCTTCAATGCTTTTATGGCTCCAGAATTCCCCGTGTCATTCAGCTTGAATCCAGAAGGAAGATGTTCACCCGGGGATGATGGATACAATAATATCACAAATGGACAAACATACAATGTCAGTTTCTGTAAACGTAATCGAATAAGCTTCCTGCAGCAGCTTGGCGTAAACCAGCTGCCGGCAGACACTAAAGTCATCGTCAGGAATGCATCAACTGGTCCGCTGCCTCTCAACTCCTGGTTCTGGTTCAACGAAAGTTCGTCTGTCTTGGAAGCGTTTCCTAGTCAAATGACTCTGCTAAACCAAATGGCAAACGGGACCTACTTCACTTGGGCGACGAGCTCAATTTCCACAGACCAGAGAACTGGATCGTTCTATAAAGACGCGCTACGCATTGTGGGATCACCTCCACTGTCAGGCTTGCAATACACTGCAAAGTTTACCGCAACGTCCACGACCAGCTTCGTTGATGCATATTATGTTAGTCTTGTATTTGATTCATTGAGCCAATACTTGGACAGAAATGATTTGCAGCTTGTGTCCCTGTCACGTTTGCAAGCAACTATCTTAACGTTTGAGGTGAGGTTCCAGATTTGTGGCCTACCAGCTGATTGCAAAGACACTTCGGTAAAAATCTTGGATAACAAGGTTTTCGCATCACCTGGAAATCTGAGACCCGAGTTTAAAAAGATATTTCCAACAGGCATTGCGATAATATCGATGTCAGACAACTGCAAGGATCAACCTCCCGAAATTTTGATGCCCAACCTTAACTTGACCGTTCCAATATGTGGATTGTTTCGATTCAAAATCCCTCAGAGCTTTGCAAAGGATCCTGAGGATGGTGGTATTGAGAACTTGACGATTTATCTAAGAACGGTGGACAACAATATCTTACCTCGAGATTCTTGGATTCGATTTAACTCGACATCTAGAGAGATTTATGCACTTCCAACCGAAAGTGTCATAAGAACGCAACCATCGACTGGCTGGCCGTTCTTAATCGTCGTAGAAGACAAAATTGGCAAACAAGCAAATACGTTAGTGAATATATATGTGAAAGATGACAAGAAAGTTTACTATCAACTCACAATTTCCTTTCAAACGATTAATATTGACGTAAACTCGCCGTATCTCGATATCCAAGTAAAATTTCTTTCAATGCTCTCAGCCTTTCTAAATGATCGAGGACTATCAGATTACAGGGTATTGTCTTTCTCAAAAACTGTAACAAGTGGGCCTAAATCCGAGTTATTTTTCATTCGTTTTGGGAACTGCTCTGTGAGTAGAGAAATGTGTACCTATAGCCACCATAGTTTTGTGGCTTCGCAAGATCAAATTCTATCCGGCTTTGCAGACACAAACAGCATTTTCTTCAAGTTTATGGCAAGCTCGTTTAAAATAACGTCATTTAAAAATGAATCTCACTACAGCATTGACACGCCTCCAAAATTAATCAGCATAATGAATGTCATCAGACTGGATTCTTGTGGGATGTTCCTTGACAATATTCCATCTGGCACATTCTATGATCAAGAGCAGCAAAACAACCTCGCACTTAAACTGACTTATGAGAACAGGACCACCCCAGACAATAATTTCTGGATGCAGCTTGTTAATAATAAACTCTATGTTGTACCAAATGAAAATGAAAAAACTGATGTGTATCGCATGCTAATAACTGCCTCAGATAAATGCAACAACACAGCAAGTGCTACAGTTTCTGTAGATTACACAAGCAGAACACAACCTATTCATTACGAGATAGAAATAAGAGCCACAATAAATTCGTTGCTACCAGGTGTCATTTACACTTCGCAGTTGAAGCACGCCCTGAAAACGCATTTCGGCGACTCTGTTTGGAACACACGGTTTACCTATTACCTAACCGATAGAACAAATCTTGTCGTGCGGTGGATCAACTGCAGCTTTTTGTGTAACCAGACTGCGATTTTTAACGTTAGAAATAAACTTTTTCTCGCTTATAATAACATAAATCCGGCGTTTCTTGCGCTCTTGAACTTCACGGTAACCAATATGACAGACATTTGGTCAAACAACTGTACAAAACCAAAATCAACACCACCAGTTGCAAATAAAAGCATCTCAATTCAAGTTCCGTTATGTACTAAGCTGAATTTCACAGTCCCAGCTGATACATTTTACGATAGAGAGGATGGCAATACCAGAAATTTACAGGTTTCTCTGCTAACTGAGGCTGGGGATGCAGTTAGCCTTCAAAGTTGGGTGCAGTTGGACCAGAAAAGGCAACTTTTGTACGGTTATCCGAGATTCACTGGGAGTTTGCCTTTCCAAAAAGTGTACAATTATCGCTTGGCTGCAACTGATAAACATGGCTACTCAACGTGGACTCCACTTGTGATAACAATAACTGATAATCCCCCGGCTATTTCGTATAAACTTACTCTGAAAGGCATTACGACCGTTCCAACGTCAACACCGCTTGTTTACCAAGAAATACGACTTATAGAGGGTGTTGGGAAGCATTTTAATGATTATGCTATCAACGATATCTCTTATTCTCGAACAGGAAGTGAGTACCAATTTTCGTGGAGCTTCTGTGCCATGAAGACGGATTCTTGCGATTGCTTTCGTATTCAAAAGATTACTGAAGCCTTGTCCCAAATTCAAAATCTGCAGCAGCAAATTGGTCCAGAATTCACCATCACGGGTGAGGCTCAGAAAGAACTACATGGAGTTTGTCTGAATACACGTAAACCTGAGCTGCGAAGAGATATAAACGAGATATCTATATCATCGGGTCAATATTTTGCATATGGTATCAAGTATGATAAATTCTACGACTTTGAAGATGGCTATACCAAAAACCTGACTCTTTTCCTCTCCGATAACAATAACAGAAAACTCTCCGATTCCCACTGGTTAAAGATACAAAACTTTTCTTTTTGTGGCTTACTTACTCTATCTGAGGCACATCGATCAGGTTGGATGAAGTCATCGTCAGTTGAATACACAACATACGCAAGGGATAGCTGTGGAATGCAAACGGGGGATTCCTTCATAGTTAGAGTGAACACTGCTTTGTCATATTTGACCTACAAGATCACTATATTTCTCAAGAGATCACCCGGGAGCAATTGCACGAGGATGAATACATTTTTGCAGAAGATATCCACATTCATTAGCACTCCTGTTTCTTATATTTACGTTTTCAACTACTCCATGTATGACGGACCAAATAATTCTTCTTCTGTCGTATGGGGACTGCGCAACATAACAGAAACAAATTGCAACAACAAAACAGTTAAGCAATTGCAAGAGAAATTTTTATATGAAAATGGTACAGTGAAATCAGTGTTTAAAGACCGCATGAAACCGGAATTCGAGGTAATGCTCGCATTTTTGTTGTGAACCTTAAGAATGTTTCAACAAATGTTTTTTAAAACCAAAAACAGGTTAATGTATCAACTCCTCAAAAAAAGTTCATTTACTTTTAGCTAGAGTCTGGCTTTTATGATCTACACATTTTAGATGTTGTTAGAAATTGTTTTGTTTTTTACTACCAATCAGTCCATCATCCGATGAATCGATGAATCGATCCTTGCAATCAATCTATCCCTGTAAAGACATCAACCAATCATTGCAATAAAACAACCAATTATTTCAATCAATCAACAAATCATTTAAATCAATCAATCAATCATTTCAATCAATCAACCAATCATTACAACCAATCACTTTAATCAATTAATCAAGCTATGAATGGATAATGACAAAATCAAAATCTAGCTATGGTATACCAGGCGGACAAATTATACCCCAAAGGATAGAGAGAGACATATTTCATTAACAGTTAGATTATCATGATTTTATAACTGCAACTGTAATTTAAGGCAATCTATATCCCATGTCAATCTAGTTGAAATAAGAAAAATAAACTAAAGAAGAAAATGAAACTTAGGATTTAGGGTTTCGGGTTATGGATTAAAAATGAAAATAAATAACGAACCTAACTCTAGCTTAATCTAACTCTAACTCAAGTACGACCGCTTTCTCGGACATTCTCCACCACTGCCGCACTGATGTTTGAGGTGTTCATTAAAAAGAGGCTTTTATTTCAAAGGGGCATCTATTTCACTTTCGTAGACCCGATTGAATTTTTTTTACACAATTGAAATATATTCCATAAATTCATGCGAAATATCACTCATCTTATATTTTCAATAGGTTGTTGATGTCAGTGATCAGAGTTCAGAAGCCTGCGCCAATAACACAGTCATCATACCTCCAACGAGCGGCGGTGAATTTCCGTGGTGGATATTGATCTTAATTCTTATTCTGATACTGCTCTTACTACTTTGCTGGTTGTGTTGGATATGCGTCCCCCGTTTATGTCCAGCATGCTGCGTTAAATGCTGCGGTGGACTATGGGCTAAATGCTGTGGAAAATGTTGCCTACCAGGAGGTAAATACGCTTCCTTGGATGAAGAAGGCGTTGCAGGTAGTTTCATAATTACATATTTTGATAAATTGACATACATTTGTTAAAACTCACCTCGATTAGAATGAGAATCAAACTCCATAGCAAAGATCATTCTACAAAGCCAAACCACTCAGTTGTAAGAGCGGATGATTGAAGTCCCCATGAAAATCTTCACTTTTGTCTGTTCACGTACAAGTCTTTATTTTGATCCTCGCAAACTTTTCTCCTGTCCTCAAGCTTTCGGTTAATAAAAATTTTTTGATAATATTTTCGATAAAACTTTCAGGGATGCCGAAAGGTCCTGATGATATTCAAACAGATGGCAAGGACAACAATGGCGATGAAGATGAAACAATGTTGTTCCCTCCTCCGTACCGGGTTCCTGACGACCCTAAAGGACAAAATTTTGGCTTCGAACGAGATGGACCAGACGACGACGAACCCGGTGACGACGAACCAGTAGACGATAACGAAGAGAGTGATGTCCCAGGCGATGGTGGAGATTCCCCTGGAGTCAATGGCAATCCGGGGGGCGAAGGTGATAAAAACGGCGACGGTTCTGATGAATCTTCTGGCTTCCGCGAAGAAGCAGGAGATAGATCTGATTATGATGCCCAAGCAGAGTCTCTAGATTCGGGTGTCATTGAGCAAGAGATTCAACAAGAAGAACTTCAACTTGCTGAAAACGTCCCTTCTAACCCAGGCTTTCTTGACTTACCTTCTCTATATTCCACTAAAAAGAGAGACGACGGGCGAAATGAGGGCGAGGATTTTTTTGCAGATGTGCTAGCAGAAGCCAGACGTGGATCAGAAGATGCTGAAGGATTTCAGCAAAACATGGGAATGGAAAATTATGGAAATGACGTCATACGTTCGCAGAATGGTGCAGATAGCATTACGGGAAGTGACGACGGTTTTCTGTCGATGAAAAAAGAAAGCAGTGGAGATTATGAAAACATATTTGATTATGAGAAAGAGGAAGGCTTTGACGAATATCGCATTCTACCGAGTGCCGTCGGTGATAATCGTTTGATAGTGAGGGAACAGATGATATCCAACGAGGAAACAGAAGGACAATTTCAGATTGACAGTCTAGATAATGATGATTATGAAAGACGAAGATTTGATAGACAAAGTGGAGATCACAACAATTTAACCCATGAAATTGACGGTGTAAGCTTCAATTCAAGGGAAGGATTTGAATCATCAAGAATAGAAGAAAGTGTCTTACAAAGAAATGCATCCATGTATGAAGAAACCCTCGATAAAGAAGGCCTATCATTGCCAAATCTTCCACGTGATGACCAGGTGATGACATCTGGTGGTATTGATGGTAAAAACACAACAGAATACTACAACCAAAGTGAAATTCGAAGGTCTTCGACTTCGTTTACAAACTTAAGTAAGTACGCCATGTTTTCTGAGGCAAATGAGCGACAATTGCCAGCCTCGCCATCTCTTGTGCCAGTCAGCTTGACAAAGCCGGTAGAATTAACTCTGCCCAGGAAGACTTTCGAAGCTTTGCAAAGCCAAAGTGAAAGAGAAGGCATGTCCATGAATAAATATGACATGCGACGAGGAAGCATCCCCGTGATGGTTGATGGACCTTTTGGAAAACAAATGAAGGAAATCCGCCTAACGGGAGTAGATACAAATAGAAATGTTAGAACTATGAGAAGGTCAAGCTCTTCTTTTCACATTGACAAAACTACAGACCAACAGAATGCGATGATGTTACCTGCTGCACCGTCGTCAGTACGAAGAACTTTCAGTGAGTCTGATCTCTTGGAAACACGCGGGCAAAAAAATGATGGTCAGGATATTAGACTGAATCACAATTACGAGCAAAACAGCTTGTCAAACGAGAGATATCGAAGTGGAATTTCTGATACATTTGAAACAAGAAATTCAAAGCAAAAATATTTGTCTCCTACAGATTATTCTGTTCATACGGCTTTGAGCCTTGATACTTCAAATCCACTAGCAAAAGATCAGTTAAAAAAGCAGAGGGTAAGATGAGATTTTAATTTTAAGAAATGTATTTGCTTGTTGTCTGTCCGTTCTATTCTGATTTCCCTAACCTTTTATTGACAGCTTAATGTCGTGACTAATTTCGCTAACATGATTTGCCTTCACATCATTAAACTACGTGGTTTATTAGATAACCTTGGTGCTCATTCCGCCAAGGGAGAAGTTGTTTTCTGCTACTGTAGACAAATGATTTTGCCTTCAGTCCTAAAACGAGCCATTTTAAAAAATATATTACTAAGCAGATCTTTCATATATAAAAAAGATAATGCCCTTGAAGCAATGTAAAAAAAGCTTTTTAGATATATGCAAGGCGAAAAACCTTCAACTCCAAAAGCTGTTACAAACATATTCATTAGTTGTTTCAAGGCCCTATTCTGTTCCCCTTAAAGAAGAAAAAGGGAGACTGAGAAGAGAAAAGAGAAGGAAATTGATAGAAAGCAAGTACAATAGACGGTCCACCTTTGATATTACCAACCCTTAAGAGAACGTACCAGCAGAGATGGCAATGATCCCTACCAGCCATGATCGCATTTCTTTGCGGTCCAATCCTTCCAATCGTAGTTCTGAGTATATATGTATTTATATATATTGAAAATAGATTTTTATAAATAGAGGAAAAGTTATTCTGGATATAAATCTACATTCACTTTGTTGCTATTGTATAATGTTTGTTACGGGTTTTGGATGAAAGAATACTCCAGTGCTTGAGTGTAATGGTCTGCTTTTTTGCGCCACCTCTGGATTAAGTCTGGATTAAGTCTGGATTCTGGTCTGGATTAAAAAGATGTGCCAGAAAATACAGCAATTTTAGACAAAATATGCTCCAATAGTACAGACGTCTAATTGGTCACCTTCTTTTCAGATGGATGTAACCAAATACGAATATGCAGATAATTTTGATCACCCAAGGAGCTCTGTCACTTTACCAGAAAAGCAAAGATTTCAATCCACTGACGTTTACTCAAATGGCAGGTCTTTCAGGGAAAGTGAATTTGAGTCCTTCAGGTATGCGCCCTATTAATGTATTTAAAAGCAAAATAGGCAGGGGCATCGTCGCTTTAGTTTCGCAGAAGAGGCATTGGCAACTACACTTCAATTGAAATGATGTGGCCAATTCATGCTTAGCATATAGAAGATTTAGATGAGGCAATGTTTATTAGAGTCATTTTTCATGAAGCTAGATTGGCAGAGAGGGGTATGCAAAAAGGGCCACGGCGCTACATTTACAAGTATGACAGATTTTCAAGGGATGGTGGCCAAATAAATCTGCTATTTCAGAATATTATTATGTAGCGCAAGGCATAGCTCCAGGGCTGTACCCATGAAGCAACAGTTTCTAACTTATTCTAAATAGTTTATCAAAATTGCTGAAAATTGCAGTAAATCTGAAAATTGATACTAAGTTCAACTGTTTTCTATCTGTGTATATCTAGGGACCTATTTGCCATTAAAAATTAGTAACATAGCAGTTAATTGCAGGCGTATCTGTTTTGCGATAACAGGTCTGCAAAGCAGAAGAGGGATTTTCTGCAAATCCACAAGTGACAGAAGCTTGGTATGATTAATCCTCTTGTTTTACCTCTTGTTTTAGGGATGGTCCATCTACGATAACAAGTAAAAAAAGCAGAACAAAGGAAGTAGTATTTGAACCAAATAAAAATAAGATAAGTAGTTTTTCGTATACGGAGAAAGATGGAAGAATTAACTCGTCAAGCAGTTTGGGCGAGTGGCAGCGATTCGAAGATCAGGAAGTCCTAGATGAACACAGCAACCCTTTAGACGAATACGATGTTGGACGAAAATTTTCATCGGCGGGATCTAGCAGCAAAAGATACATGTATAGAACGAAAGGCGAAACAAAAGATATTAAAGGGAGAAGCATAAATGCTGTTCGTGATAGTCAGAGCATCCTGGGTAAGAACATTTCAGGAGGTAGACCAAGATTGGCAGGCGACGGCATGGAAATGGATTCAAGAAGAATTGAGGCTGCTTATATCAAAAATGTTTACGAAGAAGACACCTATATCTAAATCGAATAATTTGTCGTGTACTTAAGAGAGAGAAGTTGCTTCAGAAACGAAATTTTTTAGCAAAAGACATTTTTTAATTTTCAACATAACATTTTTAGAGCATATAGCACAGATGCTTCTGTTGTGTTGATTACATTATTTTGTTCGTACATACGGTGGTTGAAAGACCACAAATTGTAAAAGAGATGAAAAGGCATCAGTGCATAAAATTAAGTGTAATAATGGGTAAGATTAAGTTTTAACATGTATCTATTTCCTCAGCAGTCTTAAATATCACTAAATATTTTTAGCATTGACTTGTTATCTTATATATTATTTAATGTGTGCATTTGGTCTGTTCTATTAATATTCTATGTGTAGCAAACGTGCTTTGTATTTTGTTACGTCATTTCATTACATATCTTGTAACAGCAGAATCTCTGCGAGTGATGCTTTCCTCTATACCTGGTGCCTTAACATTAATAACTTCCCTTTTTACTAACTCCAGCAAGCCATTTTCAAGAAACCGAACAGCCTTCAATATATAAAAGGGATATGTAATAGGTTTGGATAAATTTACCCGCTTCTTCTTGAAGAGAAGAATTGAACAAAAATTTTTTTTAAAGAAGAAGTAGAAGAAAAAAGAAGAAGAAGAAGAAGAAGAAAATAAGAAGAAGAAGCAGAAGAAGAAGAAAAAGAAGCTAATCGGAAGTGGTTGCTATTAGATGTTCGACTTTATGTCCAAATTCTGTGGAGTCTCGTATTTGTCGAAATTTTCAGAGCATCGCATTAAATGGGGCGAGCCATAAGCTTTTCCTCGTCTCTTGAAATAAAAGTTATTGTTCTTCAATTTTTCTGGAAAAGTTTATCGTGAAAACATTATTACGATTATACATTTCATAAAAATATCCACTCCTCTTTGCTTCGGTCAAACAACAACCACAACAAAACAACAACAGCAATGTAGAATGGGCGCTCAATATGTTGGCCTAAATCTTCTCGAATGTAGATCAGAAGAAAGGGAGATTTACTTGAAAGCGGCATTGAAGACTTTGATTAGATCTGGACAATGAATTGGACAATGGATATTGATTTTCAAAATAAATCTGCTTTGACTTAAATAAATGTGAAATATGTATCAATAATCTCTGATGTTTAAAAACGGATTCAGATAACTTTTTGGAAACGTTTACAGCATTGTTTTTGAAAGATGAAAAGAGCAGAATGCCCAAAAGAATTCAAATTATAAGTATTCCTATTTTAATCTATATTTTATTTAGTGGTATTTAATCATAAACTTAACTTACAGCACGATAACTTTCTGTTTCAACCTTATCTATTCTAAACTACTTTCAAAATAATGTTATTTTTTATTGTTATAAAACATCGTCCTTAGTGTGATTCTACCTTTGCATTTTATTGTAATATTTTCATTTTTCATATGTTGTATAAAAATCCACCAAAAAGATTCGAAATTTGTTTGATATACTAGTCCTTTTCAAAATCAAAACATTTGACTCAACAACTTAGTACCTACTCATAGTCCAGTCTGCAAAGTTTTGCAGTTGTCAGTCAAATGTCATGAATGCCCATTTATCTAATTCATGTTTCCTGTATGCAAACCCTTTACCATTTATTTGGTAATTTTATTGCAATGATTAGAATTAATTTTCATGAAAATTTTGATTTTGTTAAGATATCTGCCACTGCAAATTGGCAGTTTTCAAGTTTTCTAATCGTGACTGGGTACTGAATGTTTCAGTAATTGTTTAAGTTATTTGTAATTCATATGCAGGCACAGGTTACTGTCATTGCAACATGAATGCTAATCCACTATAATAAGATCATCTATGTGCACTGTAAAAGTTTCTGTTTTGTTTTGAACACCTTATTTATTTTCTGCAACTATTTCTCATTAACTAAACTAGCTTTCAAGATTTTATTAAAATCTAGGGAATAAAATTCATGCGTATTGGTGCCCCGCAGCCACCAGATTTGCATTATATTTCTGGAATAGTATTCTATGGCCCCTGTAAAAATCATATTCCCTAGTCTGGAAGAGATGTCAAGCCAATGTCAAGAGTGAATAGATAAGCAAATTTCCAAAGTGTTAAATTTAATTGGTAAATTTTGATTTTCTTTAAGATGCACCAAGTGCTTTGTGTGACCTCTGTGGATTTGATGAGAAAAACTCTATATGTAAGTATACATGCTATTTAGTCTATAGAACAGGACAATCTAAATTGCTTCTTCAAGTTTCATGCTACATAGAATACATTAAACAAGCAACTGTTAGAACCCTCCTGTTATATGCACCAAATAGGATGTACAACTCTGCTTATATGGTATGTAAAACTTTATGACAGACTGATGAACAGCAATTTTCATTATGTAAACAATCAGGATGTGTCAGCTGTCCATAACTGCACTATTTCGGCACTCCTTCATCTTATTTGACTCTTCGCTTATAACTTTGGTTTGAAAAGTCCTTGCCAGGTAATTGTTGACATTATTGCAGAAGCCTTTGCACTACCATTTGAGGCTTTTCAGTTGATCCTTTTTAATCATATTCATGAATATTTCAAAAATAAATTTTGGGGACTTTCCATTTTAATATTTAATGGGAGCACCAAGAGTTTTCCATTTTTGAGAAGTAGCATTTATATTGTGATCCTGTAGTTTTGTTAAAAGTGTCAAATACCAAAGTTACATTTTTGGCAAAGGGAAACAATTTTTGACTTTATTTCCATGAAGTTTGTTTATTGAATTGTGATTGATGTAATCTGCAGGTATATGACTATTTACACTTTATTTAACCTCTGTTTTCACTTTTCTTTAGGGTTTTGTGGAACTTCACATATTACCACTAAATCCAAATATCTCAAAGGTTAAAATTAACAGCAGACAATGCCGTATCCTTTCTGTCAAGTGGCTGATTCAGTGTTTCCCTCAAGCCTGTAAATTCAAGCAATGGGGCAAAAACAAGCCTTGATCTTTGTTTTGTCTGTCATGGACACTCTTAAATTTCCCAACTGGGCAAAAGAGGTTGGTCTAGCATACAACTGACATTTCTTTGTATTTAGCCAGGACCATCAAGTTATTCCAGACCCCCAATCATTGAAGTTTCTGAAAAACATATTTTATTTACTTATTCAGCCATAGGATAATTTATTAGTGACAAATCAAATAGCAGATTAGTTTAATCATATGACCTGCTGCATTATCTTGTCAACAAACAAAATTTTCTTGTATTCTGATTTTTAATGCTATTTTTTTGTCTTTCTGATAATATGCAATGTACCATACCCTTTGTATTTGCCTGATAGTATATTCTGTTAAGGTATTTTTTTAAGGTAGAAAATCTTGAATTTTTCTACCTTGACAAGCTCTACAGAGGTGTACAGAGTTTGTGTCAAAGGACATGGATTTCCCAAATGGTTGGAAGCAAGTTTTCAGCTTTCGGATAATGCAAAAATGGTATGCCAGGAAGGGAAAAAGTATGAATAAATTTTACATGTCTTTTTATAAGTTCCTGTATTTGTCTCAAGTGATTAATTTTATCTTCTTAGCTATATGGTTAGCCTGAGTGTGTTAATTTTAATATTTTATGTTGTAAGTGATGAATATTATGGTTTCTCAAATTTGAATAGGCCAAAATACTTACTTCTTGCAAGGAGTTTTGTTTATTAAAGGACTTACTAATTTTAAAGTTGCTAAATTTATGAATTTCCAAATGAAAAAATTATAAATGTCAAGTTTACTTAGTGTTTCATTTAAAAAAACATTTGTAAGAAATAACTTTTAAAGGGGCTTTTTTAGAACTATTTAAGTCCCGATCTAAAAGTATCCAGATATTCTTTGAAAAAAAGATATATTTGTTGTGGTAAAAAGCTTAATGTAAGTGATCATAAGCAATAAATATTAAAGAATAAATTAACAACTTTCGAGGAATGGTACTGTGGTGATATTGTTGATTAATAATAGCTACGTAGGATGACAGTATACAGCATGATATAGCACAAATGGCAACAAATAGGCCTTTTATGTTCAACCGAGTCTCAGAAATTTTTTTACTTTAATGCCAAAAATAGAAGTCTGAACAAGCTGATTCTTTAAACAATCAACACTCCAGTGGCGGAAATTCATTTTTCAAGTGGGTGGCAATGCCTACAAAAGCAAGCAATTTTGCTGACAAATGACATAATTTTACTGACAAAACCGACAACTTAGCAAAACTTGGGGGCGGTTGTCCCCCCCCCCCCACACCCCTGCAATTTGCGCCACTGCAATACTCAATTTTTTGTCTAGGATGATTGTTGACTTGCTTTTTTATGTTCAAGGCGCAATCTTGAATATTTTTATACAAACTGGCAAAACATAGTGTCATCTTCAGAGACAAATGAGGGTGGTGGAGAGCTCACAGTGAAACTTCCAAAGGAAACGGCATCATTGGCTGCAGGTATGATTCAACAGATTTTTACTCCTTGGGGAAGAAGATGCTTCTTAAAAAGAGGTCAACTTTCATGACTACAGGGATACCAATGAACAGGTTGTCAGCATTTTGAGATGAGTCTGAACTCTAAGACTGATGTAAACATTCGAAAAGTCAAGCTCCTTAGTAAAAAACCATTTCCGTCAAGATCAAGTTGCCTGCTAAGCTAGATACCTCTTAAGGACGTCAGTTTAGCAGATACAAGAAGGTTGTGTGCTCTGTTGTACGTCGATTTTTATTGAATGAAAACAATCTAGGACATTATTTTCTTTACTCATTTTAACTTCAATCTTTATTAAAATGTATTTTTTCTGATTATTCATCCAGCTTTTTTATATTAAAGCTCGATTTGAATGCTCTTCAATGTAAAAGAACTGTATTTAGCATCTCTTAACCCTTTTTCTTTGGTCTTAACTGCTAACAATCTCGACATCATGAAGCTTGGCTCATTAGGGCTGTTTCCTTTTACATCTGATTTAATGGGCTGACTGGAGTTAGGCTGGTTTTGAATTTGATTATTCTCTGATAAGTTTTCTTTTTCCAGCTGGTAGATTTATTCGAATCAGCATCGAGTTTGTCCTTGCAAATCCAAAAGGTGGCATTCAGTTTGTTGTTCCTAGTGGAGAAGGAACCTTAGCTGAGGTAACGGTTATTCAACCGCAGTTGTATCTAAACCCAAAAGCAGTTATACTCCATGAGAATGCTTTTTAGAATGATTTCATGTTAAATCCTGTACATACAGTTTATTATACAGCTTGAAGAAGCTATACTATGATTTTGTTAATGAGTAGAACATGTTAACATATTCTATCGAAATTAAGATATTTCTTCAATGGATGTTGAAGATTCCAATCAAAATTAATTTTTTTGTTTCTGTTCACCTCAGAATGCATAAGTGCCTTGTCATAATCTGTATGAGTGCCTTAGTTGGAAGGTTAAATATATAGAGGAATAAAGTAATGGTTACGCGTGCAGGCTAGATACCTAATCTTGCTAAACGTACAATTAAACATTTGAAATATCATGCTTTTTTACTATGTTTTTACTATGTTTTTTACTCTGATGAAGCCCTGTATGCCGGGGCGAAATATTTGTATATTTCTTAAATTTAATTTATTTTAAAAAATTTTATCTCGTGACATTGGGTTCCCGTCGTCGCATTGCTTTGTTCCTGTATATCTTTCGTAACAACACTCATTGCAAGATTCACAGAATCCGGCGGACAGCCTATCCTGCGGTTCTTCCTTCTTACACATTACTTTTTTGCTATACCGTGGTTTAAGGCTTAGTTGATATTGATTATTTCATTTTAGAGAGGAGCTCATGTCTATAGCTATAAATACGGAAATTCTGCCAGGTATTTATCAGATATTTACTGGTGAAACAACACCTTTTTAATGCCATCCTAGAGTTCTAAGAAAATCGGTTATTGTCCTAGTAACGTATAGTACAGTTCTTTAGGGGTTAGAACAATGCTATCTTTTTATTTGTAGTATATTGTAGTCGCTTCGACGTATAAATAGGAATTATTTCCCCTGCTAATTTGCTGCACTTTAAAGCATGAATGTAATGTGATTTCATACTTATTGTTGTGCAGGATCTGAACCCTGATTGGCTCTTTCTGTCAAATGGTCTTTGTGCATAGTATTTGTGGTCGTGAAAAAGTTTAGACCTTTTTGCTTAGTCATAATTTGTTCAATAGTCTTGGAAAAACTAGCCTTAGATCGGGGTCGTACGGAGGCCTCCTCCACCCCGAGAGCGTGTTCTCATGCTATGAAAAAAGATGTTTGGTAGGACACTGCGCCAGATGTTGTGGCTCCTGGGCCTTGATATTGGCAACCCAGGTCTACTTTGACAATTTCCTCATCGGCATCTTGTTTTACACTACTAATCCAGTTTTTTTAACTTGGAACAACATGAGTGATATTTTCTTCGCTGCTTCATCGCTCGCTGCTTAGTTGCAAGATGATTGCAAAAATGCAAAATTTTTATTGGACTCACCACCTCTTCCAGTGTGATTGACTGGTTTGGCATCCTTTCCTTGCGTATTTCAAAATATTTCTTTTGCATTTTAGGTTGTGGTTTCCATGCATCGACTCCTATAACGATGTTTGTACTTGGAAAATCGACTTTACAGTTGACAAGGATTTCACCGCGGTTTCTGCTGGGGAACTTCAAGATAAAGTAAGCTGCTGTGTTACTATAATCTGAGCCGTGTAATTAATTAAGAGGCATTTGAAAACACTATTGAGGCTTAAAAATGACTGGCCTTCTTAAGCTGTTTTCGTATTAATTAAAGTTCTATAAAACCCAGTGAAAAACAGGTACAGAAAATTTTAACCGAGTTTAATGCTTATGTGATTATCATGTAGCTGTTCCCAAGGAAATTTTTTATCAAGGGGTATTTGAAGACATCATGGACAGTGGCATAGATTGACCTTCCAGACACGGGGATGTGGAGATTCATCGATAGTTAAGTTTACCAACTAAGACATAGGTGATGATAAATTCAGGTACGGTACCGACAAAGTACGGATTTTATGGACTAACTGAAGATTTAATGACAAACTCATAACAAATTGGAGGGGGTGTCACAGCTCCTAAATTCTCCGCTAGCTACGTCCCTGATTATGAAATCTCGAGAACTACAAGATCATTGCAAACGAATTCTTATATGAGTTTATATCTCAGCCTTGGATCAAATTCTTGCTCTCTTTGATTATTACATTTTTATCTCTACTTTAGGTTCTCTCGCCAGACGAGAAGAAAGTTACATTTAGATATATCATCACTACACCGACATCAGCTCCCAATATTGGTTTCGCCATTGGGTGAGTTTTAGTTTTTTATTTATCTGATATAAGAGGAAGCTTCTTCATCAAAAAAGATTCGATGTAACCCGACATGAGATTTGAGATGCAATTTTTGAATCTAAGTGATTTGTTGTAGTAGTAGCAGTGTATATGACGTATTTTTGTCATTTTGTGTCAGTGTGGAACAAACACCACGATTGGCTATAAGTGTTTCATTAAATTTGAGTATTTCTCTAATTAGCGGATATTTCATCTGAGAAATGTCTTTTTTTAAAAAATTTTCCAAAACGGTTATCACGATTGTCTTTGTGGCGCGCATGTGCAAGCACATCACAAACATCCGCACTTCTTTTGAATCCGTGACGTACGCAGCTTTCAGGTAACAGATAGGAACTCTTAAATAATTTCTTGAATTTAAATAATTTATTTGTGTTTCTTCCACTAGTCTATTATATATTTAAAATCCTTCCCCTAAATTCTTCTGTTTATTTTCTTCTAGGCCTTTCGAGACCTATATTGACCCGAACATGACTGAAGTCACAAATTTCTGCCTACCTGGTCTTCTACCCTTGTTGAGGAACTCTGTTTCATTTCTATCTGAGGTAAGTTTTTCACAAGTGAGTTGCAGTTCTAAAAATTTTCAATTAGAAACTCGATACATACGAACGAAGTTTATTTGCACCAAAGGCTACAGCAAAATCTTGCCCAAATTTCATCTTCTCTTCAAGTTGTAGCCTCTTTGTCTTTTGGTCAAACCAGCTATCTGCACGGACTAAACAAGATTTTGGTATAGCCTTTGGTGTTACTGTATCGTTTTTTGTTAAGGTCAATGGGTACCCATGCCTATCATGCTCCCATTTGGCATCGTCTTTGTAATCTTTTTCTTGTAAAATGTACTTTTCTAGACTGTGTATAGAAAATGTTTATTTGCAACAAATATTTCTGATTAATTGTTTCACCATCACCTTCATGAATTTGAATTTTGAGCTTGAAATTGGAACGTTGACAATTCAATAACAGATTTCGTTTCTCCGTTCAATCAGTGACCAAATATGTGATATAGGTTTCTGAAGATCTGTTTATGCTTTGAAACGATGTCCTCCCTCCCGGGGGGTCTCATATTAACACTTTCCTTTTGTCCTTGAAACAGAAAAGTAATCTTGTTCTAAAGACTCCTGATAGTTTGTAGTTTTATGGGCATTCAAAGAATCTGTAGATAGCTGTTAGTTCTAATACTCTGTTACAGACCCTGTAAGGGTTTATCTTGAAGTTTATCCTGAAAGAAAAATGGTGACATGACCAGGGCAGGACTGTGCCGTGACCAGCTATGCTGTACATCGTTGCTTTACAACTAAACACCCCGATCACGATTTCAAATACAAACCCAAACTATGCCAACCCACCCACTCCGGCCGTCTCTTTCCTTTTTTTCCGTGGGTTACATCCTGCCCCGGCCGTTTCACTAGCGCTCACATTCATTTTCAGTTTATTTTTACAAACCTTGCTTTACTGTCATCAAAGTTTGTTGCGTTTAGCGCTAGAATGGCTCAGTTGTTAGATGCGCTGACTACAGACCCAAGGGTCCGTGGTTCGAGTCCCTTACATGACCAAGCTTTCACCAAGAGTGAGGAGAGTCGCCAGCTCTCTGTAATTCCAGGCATAGGAATCACGAGGTGTGGTCACATCGAGAGGAAGGACCAGGAAACTGCTCGATAAGCATAGCTTTTCAGTGTCCTAAAAACTACCTTGGGGTGCTAGGAAGCAACAAGCACAAATACAAACGTTTGTTGCGCTATTAGAATTCTAGTTCTTTATATATAAGTTTATTGTCTCTACTCTTGTTCTGTTTAAGAACGGGATGTTTATAATTGTGATGTCGTTCCGGAATTTCTAATCGCTGTAGTCCGGTTCTTACTTATCCTCTTACTCTGTTATTTGACCTTTTTAAACACACTAACAACTCTTTCCTTTCAGATATTCTACTTCTTTGAAGAGAATCTCAACTCTCGATACCCTTATAATTCTTATAAACAAGTCTTCGTGGATGAAACACCCCATGAAGTGCAATCGTATGCCTCAATGTCGGTTTTAAGGTAAACTTCCGTCACAAGAAGCTTTATCTACTTCGAAAAAATTCTTTCGACATTTTATTTTAGTTTACTTATTTTAATAACCATATTTCATGTTTTTTTGTTTTTGATTAACTGGTTTTTCTCTCATTTTACAGCACTAATCTACTTCACTCAAACCGAATCATAGATCAGACAATTCTCACGAGAATTGCCCTGGCCCAAGCGCTTTCCGAGCAGTTTTTTGGCTGCTTTGTTGTCATGGGATCATGGTAATAGTTGTTTAGTAATTTGCTCTTTTATAATATCATTCTGAAAAGTATGCAACCAACCATATGTATAGCATATTATGTACCTTACGATATATCAACAACATAATATTCAATTGCCAGTACACTCAACCAATACTGTAACGCGGGTGTTACTAAGGGGGGGGGAGGGGGTGGCAGTGGACTGTTTCATAATTTTTATTTAGGAACTTTGACTGTTAATTACATTGAGAAACCCGCGTCAAAAGTGTACTGATTTTCCTAGCATACTCTGAGAATCACGTGGCAGGCGTCTATCACGTGACATTATCTAGAAGTGTCATTTGCTTGCAATTATATATTCCTATTTTATGTTATTATTTTCAGTTCATGCTTTGCAATAAAAGTTTTTTGTTTTTTAAGGGTGGATTACTGGCTGCCATTAGGAATATCTCGCTACTTGTGTGGCCTGTTCATTAAAAAAGTGTTTGGAAACAACGAGTATCGTTATTATATTTCGAAGGTGAGATTTATTCTGGTTTCTTTGACCTCAAATGTATGCACAGTGAATTAGGCTTGGAATTCAGGCCACTCAGCAATTAAAGACTCATTGCTAACAATGAGCCATTGCGCTACGTAAGCATCCCATAATGCATTTTTAGACTGTCTAAAATCAATTTTGGCTAATCCGTAGAAAATTACTGCCATTGTTTGGACCGTCGCCACGCTCGCAAAGGTCCATTGTTAGCAACGAGTCTTTAAGGATAGCAATCTTTTAAGGCCATGGCCTTTATTGTTTCTATTGTTTAAATAACCAATGAAAATGAATTTGGCTCAAACGATTGCAAAGGTAAAGAATCCTTGGTAAAGAACTCTGAAAGTCTCTTGCGCAACCGGCATGCTTTGCGTCTATAATTCAAAAAACCGGCCTAATATCGTACTTCATGAAAATACAAAACACATTCAATTTCTTAAGACAACTACCGCTAAGCATGCCGGTTGCACAAGAGCCTGTAAATGGTCTCTTCTAAGGTTTGTATAGAATAAAACTCTCTTCAACTTTCAGCGATTTCATAATCTGGAAGCTTTCCTTACTCAGATATGCGATACTGCTTAAGGACCTTGGACAATCCTTAACTGTAGGTCGTAATTGAAATGTTTGTAACTCATAATTTTTATCGTTCATTTTTCGGCAAATCTTGCTGATTTATTTCTCTAAACCTCACGGTTTCCAGTCTATGCCTATTTCCCTTTTCCAGGAAATGGAATCCCTATGCGCTTTCGAGGTTGAAGGTCCTGGACTTCCCCCTATATACCCTGTGCCACTAGCAGCTGATCCACGCCAGACTGCCGGAGATGTAAAGCAGAATCTACCAGAAGCAAATGCAACTACTGGAATAACCAAACATCATCCTCATTTGGTGTCACCGAGGCAGAATGAAATGCTGAAGACCAAGGCACATTTGGTCATTAGAATGATCGATGGGAGAATTGGGCAAGAGCTGCTTTTGCAGGTAAGGCCACTGACTTAGCGGCTTTGTATTTCTTCACGATGTTTTGATAGTATGGTTCTACTGACACTCGCTGCCTCAGGGACTTATTTTTTTATCAAAACTTTAAGAACCGATCAATCGCATTTTCTCCCTCTTACGTAAGGATCGAGCCACATCAGATATCATCTTTCTGCTTGCATTTAGTCATTATCTCGTGTTTATAGCCTGAAGAGTTTAGGGCAAAACGTACTTCATTGGGCTGTTTCCGCCATTTCGTGCCAACTTCCAATTTTTCGGTAAAAAAGTTTATTTAGAATTGAATTTCATAATAATAAGAATAAATTGTTAATCACTGAAGCTCTAAAAATTCTATAATATAATTTTTTTTTGAAAGAAACAGGGAATGCAAAAATGATTTAAATGCTTGACAATACGTAAACATTCTAGTTTATTTGTTCTTGTTTCTAAGTAGCTTCGAAAGGCAGCTTTAGAGCAATGAAAAGCTATGTTTATTCAGCAATTCCCTGGCTTTTCCTCTCGATTTAGCCGTATCTTGTGATTCCTCTACCTGGAATTACAGAGTGCCGGTGACTCTCTTCACTTCGAATGAACGATAGGGACTCGAACCTCAGACCCTTGGATCTGTGATCTTTGACCCTAGCCACTGAGCAGTCTTCGCAGAATTTTCCATTGCCAAATGCTTTAGACATCTGGCTGTCGTTGATCTTCTTTTCAAGAGAGCAGCAAGTTACTAAAACAATTACTCATATATAAAATTTCACATTGTCTACCTTAAATAACTTCACGGTCGTCTCCATTTTAGTATGAAATGATGAGCTTCATGTGGCTTTGAGTTTCATGTGGCTTTGTTTCGCAAAATGAAATTACTTTGGCTAATAGCATGCATTTCCTTTCTTGGTGACCACGACCAGCTAATCCGTTTGCAATTCTTGATTTTTTTAGGCTTTGAACAAAGCTTTGTCACTCGCAAGTACTGCTGCATCTGCTAATCACTCGGAGCACATGACATGGAACAATTTGCTTATATCCACCACAGGGGTATGACAGTCGTATGACAATCTTGTTATCAATCTAGCTTTCCACAAAGGCACTGTGTCACAAATATGCACCTTTTCTGATATTGTCTCCTGGCATCTTTAGAATTCTTCAATCTTCAAACTTGAGAATAGGCTGTTTCGTTCTCTTACAGGGCCAGATCGTAAATATGACTTTGTTGAAAAATGTATCGATAGGCAGAATAATTAGTGTTTGGAATACGTGAGTGCCACGTACAGCACTGTTTGTATTCATAATACAACCATAATATATTGGTTGCATCCATTAAGCAGTTCGGGTTGATTATATTTCATTAAACTACACATGTTACTGACTTGTGGAAGTATTTTTGACATCAGCATTTTTTAACAGAAGCATTACTAAAACTTTCCAATTTATTGTTTATGAGAAAATATGATTACGACTGGCAACCTATTTATTTCGACATATCAGCTTTGATTTGTAGAAAAGGATGGTTCTAAATTGAGACTCATACTTTAATCTTTTGAGACCGCTCCAAAACGTGTCCAAATACTGCTGTTAAGTAAACGCATTTTTTTTCCGACCATAGTTTTTGAAGACAATTTCTTCAGTTTCTGGCAAAGACATCAACAATATAATGGACCAGTGGATGTATCCTTTGAAATATTTTACTTTCGATATTGACTTTGTAATGATTACTAATTTGTAGCTACAAAACATCATATTTGACTGGTCAATGCAACATCAATGCTGTACCATGCAATGATATCCCAAGCAATGTCCATTCTATTTATAAGAAATAATTTCAATATATATTTACTGTTTTTAGTAGAAATTTCAAACGCTTCGCAAACCACATTGCTGCATATTGCTCGTTGCTTATTTGTTCACATTGTTAATTGAATTGCGTTCAGGTAATAGCAATATATTTCTGTTTCATAATTTGTGTCAAAGGTCAGGGTTGGATGTCAAGGGTCGGATTTCATTGGCTTTAAGTCACCAGCTATGGGTCATCATTTTGAAAGAAACTTCAACAATCTTCTCCAGTGATTTCTCACATTATACTTTCACCGTGAAATTCCTATCTAATAAAATATGAATCATCAATGTCCTATATGAAATTTGAAATTAGAGTCAGGAGCTGCATCTGTTTGTATACCTTTGAATTGTTCTTTGACTTGATGCTAATAGCAAAAGTTGATATTTCATAGTTTATGTGTCAAAGATCAGGGGTCAGATACACGGTCTGGTTTCATTGGACGTGTGTCAAAGGTCATACTTGTGAAAGAAACTACGACAAAGTGTTTCTACGCATTTCTATTGTTTTCAAGGGTTTTATAAGCAACTGATTTGCTAATGATATGTTGTTAATCGAATTTTTAGCCATTTACCTTAAAGGTGTTTGCTTAACTACGAAAAAGCTGTCATTGTGGCATCACCAAATTCATGGGTAGCTTCACATTTAATAGAAAGCGAAACATAGTTGAACTGGATATCACTCAAGAAATGGGGAAAGGATTTCAGAAATATGTTGTAAGTGATATAAATTGTTTATTACTTGAATTTCAGGACAATTTCCAGAAATTTTAGCAGAAATAAACTTTCAACTTTCTTTGGAATCTAAAACCAGAATAAAATGATGACCAGAGTCATTCTGCCAATGAACATAGACAAGCTTTCTCGAGAAAAATAAACCTGCTATGCCACATCCATTCGGGTTGAGAAGATTTCATCGAATATGCAATTTTTCTAGCTTGAAAAATTTTGTAGCAATTGCGATTGGCAATTGCAACCATTCTGTAGCGAGAGGTTTTATAGCGTATCATAAGGATGAAATCGCTCCTTTTTGAGAGAAATTGTAATAGCTTCTTTTTTAAAGTATTGTCGATGACATAAAATCCGATTAGAGTAGAGCAAAACTTTCCGGCGACTGCAAGGGGTTTTTAAATACTTGAGAGATACTTACTTGTATTACATCAAATAAACCTCTGTGGGTAAAGAGGTGTTTCTCGTTGCTGGCCAGGGAAAGCTCGCAATGGTGGCATTATTTAGTAGGCGATGCCTATTTCATCTTTCCTTGAAACCCTTATATATAGCTATATTGTTTCTCATTTCTTTGCAAGGGTCCACTTGTAGTGTCAATACAAGAACTCGACGGTTCATTTACGCATACAGTACAAGTTGAAGACATTGTGAGTCATCATGAGCTTCCTTGTCACTCGAAAAGTCGAAGGTAAATTCTAATTCTTATAAACGCATTTGTGTCATTCAAATTGCACTAAAGCAGCTCCTCCAAATAGACTCCTCCCAATAAAGTGAATCTCTACAACGGAGAACCTAAATTTTCAAGATGCAGACTGTATAGGAATTGTGGTGTCAACGGCTCTTATATTAGGCTCTTATCTAATGCTTATATTTTGATGTTAAACTTGAGAAGTGATACCTATCATTAGTCTCATCTCGTGGCAATAGATGGTTCAAGGGATGGTGCTTTTCAATGAATCGTTTTGTAACCATGCATGGTACATGCAACCAAAGATAATTCCGATCCAATAATGTCCATTCCTCTATGTACTAATGTAGACTAATTGAGATATCAGAACCATTGAAAGGGCCTGTCCTGTCGAAAACGTGATATACTTAACACAGTGGAGGATATTCATGTAGTTGTTTAGAATGTTGTAACTCAGTACAATTATGTTTAAAAACACAAGACAGATATAAAAATGCCTTGAACCATGGGTCTAAGGGGGTCTAAGAATTGAGAGCCAATGAGAATGGTAGTGGAACTTGGGTGTGTTTACTTTTGCATCTTTTCTGCTATATTGTTAAATATTGTTATATTTCTGTTAAATAACTCAACACCTTAATTAACTCATGATCATGTTTTTAAAATAAATCAAAGCTATTTTTATTTTATTCTATTTTAAATGCAGAAACAAGAAAAAGAAGATTCCACTTGTAACCGGAGAAGAAGTTGACATGGACCTCAGCCAGACCATCGAGTGAGCTTTGTTAGAAGTTCGAATGCAATATAACTCAATAGCCATTCTAGTAATCTTATCTTGAGACTCTGACTTAGCATCTTCAAGAAACAGCCTTTGTATCAAGTCGAGGCTGACTTGAAATAAATGCTCTTCTTATATTTTCTCTCCATGAGCCTCTGTTTCGCTACTGCCTCACTTGTCTGACGCTACAACAGAGACTCATAATCCAAAGTACTCAAAACTGGCGCTCAGGACAACTTTTTGTTCTACCAATCACAGAGCAGCTTTTTAAAATACGGCTTTCTGATTGGCTGGAACATCAATTTCTTTCATAACGAAGTATCTTTTTAAAGAGATCATAACCCCCGTGTTGTTAGCGTTACAAAATATCACTACCGAGCATTGGCAGGCTGTTTTCAGAGATTTTGAAAGTGAATTCTATCGCAAAGCGTACAATGAAAAACACCATTAGGCCATTAGGCGCTAGTTTATAGTAAAGAACCAAGTTTAAACAAAACTTTAAACACTCTTTATCTATTATTTGATAAATTACTTTTAAAAAATCAAATTGTCAACTTTTTTATTGGGAAGCCTTGAAACGATAGTGAGACCTGCTAAGATTTAACCAAAAACGATGATAACCAGTTTTGTTAAACAGGATAAGATAAATTTGTATTTCAGCTCTGATTCCCCTGTGCTCTGGCTACGTATCGACCCGGACATGGCTTGGGTACGTCAGGTTGCATTGGAGCAACCAGATTACATGTGGCAGTACGAACTAAGACATGAAAGAGATGTGACATCACAAATCGAAGTAAGTTGTCAGTAGGCACTTTGGGATAGCAGGTTGTATTTGACTGCATCAGTGGTACATAACACGATATGCTTTTGTCTTTATTTTTCAAGCAAAATGGAAGGCAGTTTCCTGGTTTAAAACAGATTTTTACCCCTTACGTACTCTCACGTGGTTCAGACCTTGTCTTTGATGAGAATGTGACATGTTTTGCTAAAACCTATTGAGTGAGCCATCAGCGTTTGTTTATACATGCATATTGTCATAATAGGGTTAAAAAAGTTACAAAAATATTATAAACTAAAAGTGTTTTCTCGTTGCGTGTGCAGACTGAGCATCTGTTGCTTTTTCATTGTTGTTTTATCTTAACTTTGTGATTAAAAGTTCTAACAGTGCATTTCTGTTCAATTATTTTCATGTTTCCTGTTTTCAACAGGCAGTAAAAGCCTTGCAAAAATTTCCAAGCTCCCATGCGAAGGCTGCTCTCCTTGATATAGTTAACCAACAGGAATGCTTTCACAGAGTCAGAGCAATGGCTTCAAGTAGCCTAGTCAAGGTATGTTGTAGGACACTTAAGCATCTCATATATTAGTCTTTGAAGTAGCACGACCTTTTTCTAAAGGTGTTTATATTTTTTGTGGTTGTGATTAGCTCAACGGCGAGAGAGGTCATGTGCCTTAGAGCAAACCTCCATCTGAGCCCTGAACTTTCAGTCCGGATCTGAACCCTGAGCGTTCTTTCCTTAGATTGACAATGTCTTTACCATATGTATCAAAGTAGTATTGGTACAGTGCAAGCATTAGGGCCTTCAGCATTCTCTTTGATGGTTATCGCCTGTAGCATTTAGTGATTGTCGGGTTTTTAAAAGACTGCAAATGGGATAAATATATTGATATGTTTTGCTTACAATTTAGAAAACTATTTTGTCATCAAAAGTCTAGATTTTGTAAAACTGTAACTCTCCAAGCAAATGCTGCTATTTATCTCGCATTAATTTCCTTTAGATTCTCTCAGATGAGCCTGAAGTTTGGGAAGGCGAGGATACTCTCATTACTTGCTATCAGAAGTTGTATGGTTCTCAGAGCTGTCCCTCTCTTCCAAGATTCAATGATTTTTCAAGTCTGATCTCATATTTTGTGCAAAAGGTATGCTGTTTCTGTTCTGAGACTTAATCCCAGTTATATATGTCATGGTTTTTAAGATCCTTTGAAACTTTTAGGAGCTTGTGGTATTTGTTCATCATAGATAATCGATATGTAGAAAGAAATCCAAAACCTTTGAATGAAGCAAAGAATATTTATTAAAACTATTACCTTACGTCATTTTTCCTGATTTGTTTGATGACTGCTAAAATGACTGATTTTTCCCCTTAGGAACTGTCTGTCAACATTTCAAAATATCGAAATTCGCATTTCCAGTGCCCGATGAAGATACTCCAGTTTGTGTTAGATCTTATTAAATACAACGACAATCGATATAATAAGGTATGGTGATGGTTAGAGTTTATCGTTTCATATTTAAAGGTAATGTGTCCAGCTAAAGCACACGACTCTGCGGGGGTTTTCAAAAACATGTGATTTCTCATGTCATCGGCCCAGCCATTACGGTCGTTCTGTTTATCTGTTTATTTATCCTGTTTATCTATCTGCGAGGCTAGCTTTTCACGTGGGCAGTTTTGCGTCGCAAGAATACTAACCAATAGCAAGCCGTTATTCTGATGGGTGGCTTGACAAGTTTGGTATACGCAGTCCTTTAAATGGACACATAACCTTTAAAAGTAATATTATAGAGGCACGGAGGTGTTGTAAATGATGTTCCTGTTTCATAATTTATCTTTATATTACGTCAGATAGACAACTTTCTGAAGGATTGTTGAAATGTTCGAGTTACAAATTGTTCGATTTATGCGACTTTTTCAAAAGTTCTTGAATTATGCCTCTGTTATCCCTCGATCTTCTTATTAACTGTACGGCATGTGGAAGTTCAACATTCCATGAACTTATTCGTCTAATATCCCCAACAAATATTGTTGGAAATGTTAGAAGTAACTGCCAAAAAATTACAATAACATCCATTTTTGCATAATTAAAAACATTAAGTACTTGTTTCACCAGCTAATTTCTTGAATTTCGAAAGTTCTAACTAGAAGGGTTGTTTTCCTGGGAGAACTGACACTGTTGGTTGAATTAGGAAAAGTTCAGAGACTCAGATCAAAAGCGTTTTTTTCTAAGGGTTTGTTAGATGATTTAAAGGGAATTGAGATTTTGCACGAATAAAAAAGTTCTATTTACCTGATTTCAATTTAGACAGAGTTGATCGTTCTATAAATTGTTTTTTCGCTAGCCAATAGTTTTTCATTACTTTGGCTGATAAAATCTGTTGTGTTTTGTAAACAAGAGATAACATTTTTAAAAGCACACTGTTTTCTGTTTTTATTTTTTTGCAAATCGACCGTCAGTGTACTTATAAAACATTTTCTCATAAAAAGCATTTAATGTGTAATTATGACAACAAGATAAAAAACGGGGGGCTAGTAGGGAGCATTCGTTACCATCATTTTTGCTTTCGCCGTTTTCCTGAGCTATTAAATTGTTTGTAGTTCCAAAGGTTTGTTTGATCCTATAGTTTTTATGTTTTTAGAGAATATTTTCTACTTCTTGAGAATATAATATAATTAAACTTGAGAGAACTCTTCAAAAGTTTCAGTTTTCTCTTTCTTGATGAGTCTTTGTATTCTACATATATTATAATTAATTCCTTACTTTAATATGTTATTCGCCATATATCCCTTTAGTCATTAATTTTATTTTTGTTTCTTGCTTCTTATACCACGCTGTTATTCATTTCATCTGCAAATCAAACCTATTTCCACTGGGCCTCGTTCTGAATTTTGGCCTCCTTTCTATTAGTTTTCAGATGGGTTCTACCGAAGTTGTTTGATTGATGCTCTTACTAATGCAGTCACGTCAGCTGTAACCATGGTAGCCACTGATAAGTATGTTCACCTTGCACAAGCTTGGGTTGATCAAAACCTGTCTTTTTTTCTCACAATTAACAATTGAGTTGTTTGTTTTTTAGTTACCCTCTAGGTTCTTTTAAAGTTTCCTCTTCAAGTTTTTTCCTGAAACCTTTTTATCCTTTCATGACATAAATTTATACTTGTTAGAATATACTTTCCAGAAGTAGGTTACTGTTCAAAAAAATACTGTGCAAGGGTTTTGTTGATTGCCTTTTGAAATCTGTTTAAATTAAAACCAAAAATCCCGACTTATCTACAAAGAAAGAGTTTAAGTTTTCTCTGTTGGGTTCTTAAACCATATAAGGGTTTAGCGGTCACTGATTGGTGAAAAACGAACCAATCAAACACGCCATTCTTGTACACCCATTACTTCTATTCGCACCTAGTCTTTTGCGTATGTCTTGGTCATTATCCGAATTATCCGAGTTTTTATGCTCTAAAGCCAAAAATATTTCAATATTCAATGTGTCTGCATTTCTAGGCCTTTTTCAATTTTGCATTTCCTTTTTTGACATATTTATTTTCTTAGTGATGGCAAACAATTGATCCCTGCTCAAGAAGATGCACAGGTGAATATTTTCGTTAAGCAATGATGCTATATTGCTTCTTTGAATTTCTCTTTTTTGTAAAGTAGTTGTCTCAACTTGAGGCAGATTTCCCAATAACTACCCTGCGTCGAATCTCAATAACAAGTCTCACATACTATAAACTGCTATGAAATGCAGTATTTCTTTTACCCGATTATGTTTGTACCTTCAAATCGGCTTTCAACACTAATACTTTCCCTACACAATCAACGTTTATCTGGAAAATAAAAATTTGTTTCGCTTCCCAGATCGGCTAATCGGGAAGCAAAATAATTTATTTTATTTCACCATTTATTGCATTATCGCTTATATTTTGTCGTAATCCATTACCCTCTCCAATAAACATCCTCTAAGAACTTAAAAACGCATCAACCTTGGTGCTGTTTCAATTTCAAATTGCAATTTTTTACTCTTTAAGTCGGGATTTCTCTTTGGCCCTTTCATATCAACCCCTGTTTCTTTTAACCTATCACTTACTGCAGCCAAGTACCAACAGATCTTTGTTGTTTTTAAAGCATCATAATTTTTTCAATTTTTTTTTTCGATAGATTAGAATTATATCTATTTTTGCAGCTCATACTTTCTGAAATCGTCAAAAGTCTGAATCTTGAGAAACTTTTGCCAACATATCGATACGCTGTCACACAAAGGTTTGTTTTCAAGTTATTTAAATAGAAAGGTTTACTGTAATTCTTCAGTTCCTTTTCCTTCATTTCCTGTTATTTTCCAGGTATCTTACTCACCTGTTCGAATGCTGCTTGAGTTGAGAAATGTTTAAAGGAATCGATGCAATTTTGTGACTAATTATTCCTTGTCTTCAAAGGGAAAGTTTCGATGAGTGTAATTAGATTTTACCATATTTTGCATTTGTGTTGTTTGTACATTCATCATAAACCCCAAAATGTTTTAACTGACTCTTTTCCTTTTGAAGCGTTTTCCATTGCCTTTCCCTCAGTGCTCCACGTTTTTTTTCAGCTGCTTGAAAACAATAAGATCCCTGCAAGTGAATGGCCACATTCCTGCTGAATCAGCTATTTTTACAGTTTATGCAGAGTAAGTCAATAATAAGTTATTTTGCATACTTGATGTGATCATACCATTCAGTGCCTAACAGAATCAATAATCATATCAAGATCTTTGGACATCTTATTCCTGCCGTCAGAAGTCAATTATTCTCTTTTTTGCTACACAAATCACTTTCACGAAGCGGTAAAACCTCATACTATCATGATGAAACTTGTAGCTGAATTGTTTCGCTAAATTCTCAAACAATTGAAAAATTTGAACAAGTCTATCTAAGACCACTTTTTCAGATGTGCCTGCAGAAGTAATTGGATCGACATGGTTTGCCTGCAAGCGCTGCTGTCATTTTCCTCCTTTTTGTCACACTTCAGTCTTTTCTCCTTTCTTTTCCTCTTTATTTTTCTTCGTCCTTTTCCTCTTTCTTATTCTTCGTCCTTTTCTTCTTCCTTTTCTTCTTCCTCTTCTTCTTCCTCTTCTCCCTCTTCTTCTTCCTCTTCTTCTTCCTCTTCTTCTCCCTCTTCTTCTTCCTCTTCTTCTCCTTCTTCTTCTTCCTCTTCTTCTTCCTCTTCTTCTCCCTCTTCTTCTTCCTCTTATTCTTCCTCCTTTTCTCCTTCTTCTTCTTCCTCTTCTTCTTCCTCTTCTTCTCCCTCTTCTTCTTCCTCTTCTTATTCCTCTTCTTCTTCCTCTTCTTCTTCCTCTTCTTCTTCCTCTTCTTCTTCCTCTTCTTCCTCTTCTTCTTCCTCTTCTTCTTCCTCTTCTTCTTCCTCTTCTTCTTCCTTTTCTGCTTCCTTTTCTGCTTCCTTTTCTGCTTCCTTTTCTTCTTCCTTTTTTTCTTCTTTTTCTTCGTCCTTTTCGTCTTCCTTTTGTCTTCCTTTTTTCTTCATTTCCTTCTTCCTTTTCTCCCTTTCTTCAGTCTACCTTGCGCTTTTGATGAAAAATGACTGATTATAAACAGTGAAATTTCATTTTTGGTCATTTTGAAACGCAGGTATGGCCAGTTCATAGATGTAAGGAAAGTTGCCATTGAATGCTTGGTTGATTTCGTCAGAGGTATGAACAATTGAAATTCAAACTGCTGGTTGCATTCTCAATGTTATTCCATATCCTGTCTGATCTTAAAGATGAATTGATCAATAAATCAGAAAGACTGTTTATTGGTCAAGTTACTATTCTGCCCAACGCAACTTCTCGCTCCACACTACCCAGTTAATTAACTTCTACTTTTCAATTACAAAGTTGTGTACCAAAATCGAATTTTCATGCAGTTAACACTTCACGTGATTATGATGTGCTCCTGTTTATTGTGTGATATTCTATATAATAACTTCTAAACAAGTGAGGTATATGGCAACCTCTTTATAACACAGTGTTAATCTGTAAAATAGATTTGTATCATAACCATATATCATATTTAAGCAACATTACAAACAAAACGCCATTGTTTACACTAGATGCTTGTCTCAGAAAAGAAGCCTTTTAGATGCCTATTTAAACGAAACTACCATAGGTGGTGCCAAGTTTTTGTTTGCATCGATTGTTTCAAGCTATTAAAATTCCTATCATTTGTTACACGATTTTTGGTTGCTCTTTATATATATTTACTTTATGTATGTTTTACTAAGGAACAAGGGAGTTTTGTTCTTTTCCAAACAAACCATGAATTGTTTACCAGCTTTCCATTCTGATCTCGGCACTATTTGCCAATAAAGTTGTAAGCTATGACGTAATATTTGTATACAGAATGAATTTTTCGTGTATCGTTATCCCATTGCCACTTTCGATCAGCTTACATGAAGGTTTGACTTTGTGTTACTATTCTGATTTAATGTAAACAATTTATTGATTTACAGTTGAATCGAGTGACCGAGATCTCAAATGGCTTCTTGACCTCGTATCGAGAGATAAAGTTCCTGAAGCAAAGTAGGTACAGCTTTCTTAAAAGTTCCAAATATGGAAGCTTTGTCAAATCATAAATGCTATACCCGTCCAGCAGATAAAATCTCTCTGCGATCAAATCCCCAAATAGCTCGTTTTGCCAAAAACAAAATTTTGTGACCTTCTCGATTGGTCACATTTTCTAATTCAAGAGTTAAGGACCCCATTATTTTGAGTTTCAATCAAAATGGGCAAAAACAATCATTATTTTCGTTTATTACTAACTTATAGGCATCATTTTATCATCCATTTTTGTATTCTTTCAGATATCACGTGCTGCGGTCGCTGCACCAAAATCCACCATTCACAAGGAAGTCAGATTCACATTTAAACTCTCTGTGGCTTGTTGAGCGTTTGTGGGAAATTCTCAAGTATGCATAATCGTATTTTATTGCTTCATTAGATGTTTTTATATTTTTAGAATTTAAGTTTTCAAAGGTTTCTCTCGCAGAAACACAACCAAGTATTGTGTACAGCCTACAAATGCAATGACTTGTCATTTTTCTGAAATAGGAATCTTATTTCTAAGATTAAAGGCTCTTTCGTAACCAGCATGCTTTGCAACTATAATTCAAAGAACCGGCCTAATATCGTACTGCATTAAAATAAAAAACACAGTCAATTTCTCAAGACAGCTGCCGCTAAGCATGCCGGTTGCGCAACAGCCTTTAATTAGGAGTTTCGTTTACTTTCCTACATTCATTGATTCATTGACATAGAATCAGATATTTTATTGATTTGCCTCGCAGAGGGCTATTGAGTTACGTTTTCTTGATTTTCAGATATATCTATCCATGATGACCACAATTTTTCACCGTCTTTTTTGTTGCCACCTTGAACCCAATGCCTAAATGAGAAAATGTTTTAACCATTCTTTGAATTTCCATCGAATCATGGTTAAACCACAGAGTAACGCATGATAGAAGTTACTTCTCAAAATGATCTGCTATAAAATCAAGAAAAAGGACTATATAAAGCGAAATTAGAATGATGCTGACTCCTTCTATACTTTTTTATATCGAAATTTTCGATGTTACCCTACATCTGCTCGAGACCTTCATATATTTTTTGTGCCACAAGTAGAGAACAAATATTTTGTTATTGACTATGCATGTTTACTGGATAGCATTTACTCCAAAGTGCACTAAGACCTGTTGACAGTTTTAGAATATCTACTAAGGCAAGGAATATACAATTAAATATGTACAGTGCGTGCGGTACTTTATCAAAAAACGATAATATAGTAAGCGAATAAATTTAGTACCAGAATGAAATTGTTGATAGTTAAAACACGACGTTTCGGGCATTTGTCTTGGTAACGAGTACATGCTCGAAACATCGTGTTTTTAACCATCAACACTTATTTTTTTTTCATTCTGGTAGTCGATGTATTCGCTCACTATATTATTCATAAAGCAAGGAATACCTGCTACAGCTATAGACAGCTGGAAGCAGTTGCTCTATTTAATTCTTCAAAAGTGATAGAATAAAAAGTCTGAGCAAAAAGCATTATATCGCTGTAAAGGAAACCACTTTTCTGTATGAACTTGATGCTTTGAAATACAAAAGGTTTATGTTATCTGCGTTGAAAAGTTTACTAAGATGGTCCAAGTTTATACCCAGATGTTGATCCAGATCACACAGAAACAAATTGAAACGCGATTGACTTTGTATTGACCTATCGCTGTACTTTAAAAGCTATTGTGCTTGGGTAGCCCATAAAAGGAAAAACCTCCCATTCACAAAACATGATGTAGCCTCTTACCCATATTTCAAAGATTTGAAGCTTTGGCATTTATATAAACTCTTCTCGTTAAACATATTCTTCAAGGATCAATGGATTTTCTCGGCAATTCTTTTCGAAAAAAGTAAAGCGATTTAATGGCAGTGTATGGATAGACTTGTTTGATTGGTATGGTTTTCAAGTCCTTTTCGTTAGTAGTATAAATCTTCTGGTTGCCAAAGATGCATCATCTCTAGTATAAATCTTCTGTTCAAGAAATCATCAAGTGATGAACTCGACGTGAAGTATCAATAATCTGTCAATTTTCCAAAAATCTGCTAGAGGTAGCCCCCCTCTCCTTTTAAGTAATTACATATTCCTTATTCTCATTCAGTTGAATTTCTCCCTAGCATCGATAGTACCTTTGACTATCAGCTCAGATGTGAAACCATGGAGCTCTACAGCTGTCTTTATGGACGTGTCACCCCGCCGTGTGTACCATCTCAGGGGGTATGAGGTTTTCTTTATACAAATATACCGTCTCTTGTAATCCACAGGTATCTTTGAATAATTTTCTTGTGTTTCTCCCGAACACAAATATGGTTCACGGGGTATGAGATGGTATTAGTAGGGAGTCTATTTTGTTGATTGGATCTGATACTTGCCTTTTTCATACATTATGTCTGTTGATATTTTTGTCCGCCATGGGGGATATATTAAACATGTTTCTTTCAAGACAGAAATTATCCTGTAATGAATTATTCAATATAGAAATCATTCTGTTCCTTGTATACTTCAGTTGACTGACCCTCGATGAGACGATGTTTCCAGTATTAATCAATTTGCTTCGATCGGAATGTGCCTTGTTGACAATGTTAAAAATTGTCTTATTTATTTATCGTTCCCTTTGCTGGCAGACTACAGAAATTTGGCCTAGCAATTACCGAAGCATTTTCAAAAATACCTATGACAAACCTATGTTTTAATCTAGTAACCCGCGTCACAATTGGTATTTTCAGCTAGTAACCCGCGTCACAATTGGTGTTTTCATCTAGTAACCCGCGTCACAATTGGTGTTTTCGTCTAGTAACAGTCGTCACAAAGTAACCCGCTTCACTATTGGTACGGCTGTGGTGCGTTTTCAAATAAATGTCACAGCTTTATTTAACATCGTTTTAGAGTGGAAGCAACGTAGAAACGAGCTAGAGAATGCTTTGCTATTGCATGTTTAATTGGAAGTAACGAATCAAATGTTATATGAAAGAAAAAACCATTCGAAAGCTTTCATTTGTAATTTAAAACCGTCTTTACAGAAATAGGACAAGGAATACTTCGCAATTTTTTATTATGTATACCACTGCCTACCCAACTTCTACGGGTTCTTCTCTAATTTCAGTTTGGAGTCGTGATCGACCTTAAAGAGAGAACAGCTACATCTAATATGTCGCCGAAGCCACGTCCACATTCACCAGTAAGTGCTAACCTGATTTTTGGATGCAGTCCAAATAATATTGTTATTGAACCATATCTTTTATGATATGTAAGGGATAAATTACATGTGGAATTTATAACATGTCTAGCAACCTTGTTATCAATAGTTGGAGTGCCTTCCTCTGACAGTTTGAAACCACTTCTCGACATACAATTGTTGCTTCCAAAATTCGGACACATTTCCCCAGTACAGTGTTAATTTGCGTTCTTGATACCTTCGAACAGCTTTCAGTGACTAAATTTTAACAAGCATCAAACAGCGAATTTGAACAGCATTGTAATTGTGGGCAGAAGGGGGGGCTACAAAAGTCCTTAGCTTTCTGCAAGTTCTCCAAGTTTTGTATTGGCAAGGATTGTGGTTATACTTGGATCTTTATATTAACCCTCTACCCTCTTTCAGTTTTTTAATTTTTCTTATATTGGTCCAGTGAAATCAGGGTATATTGACAGTGTTTAAGCACCTAGGCGCCCAGAGATATTTCGTCCCTCAAAATATAAAAAAGTTATCTTATAAAATAATCTGCCCTATAGTTTACTCACTGCAAATCTTCGAATGAAATTTTCAACTCATAAGGGGGGCAGTCATTTGAAGGAGGCGCTGATTAGTTTTTAATTGCTTCACCAGATTGCGTCTAACAAGAATAAAACTAGATTGGTGGAAAATTGGTTCAATCTAAGCTTTATAAAAGCAAATCGTTAGGCTTCCATTCAAGATCAATATAAATCTCAACTCCTTCATCATTATTATAACCATTTTATCACCATCCTCTCCACAAATAAAGAATTTACATTTGAGGGTAGAGGCGATCTTTTGAATGATGCCACATTTTATGTTTAACTACTTCAAGAGGTATTTATTTGAACATGCCGCACATTTGAAGGGGTTTTTCGTTCGTGTAACTGAGATTTGATATGTTGATCCGCATGTAAATGCAGTGGGAAAATTAAAAAACTTCTAAATTATGAACTGGAGATTGCAACGAATAATTACATAGTGCGGGGCTGCCCCGTCATATAACCCAAACTGAACCGGATTCGTTTCAAGACGCTTAAGTCCACTATAAGCAATAAATTCCTTTTTATTTTGCTGATAGGATGCCGTGAGTAGGTAGTATTAAAAGGAAGTAAAATTCGTCTCATATTATCGTTCTTTCTGGGACCATATCAGGATTCAAGTCTTTTGGATACAAGTAAACCTTTTATTTGCATTAATCTGAGCAGAAATTTTGTGTCAAATGTATTGCAGCGATAACTAACTCCATTCCCGTTTATGTAGTCTGCTTGATTTGTGAATGTCGCATTAATAGCCTCGAGCTAACTGAGTCAGTAGAGCTTTCAAAAGTCTAACAAATAATGCTTGAAAAGTCCCAATAATTTCTGTGTATCTTACATTTATTTTTTATTGTTTCAATTTCTTGCCCAATTTTAATTAATGCATCAAAACTGCGCGTAACATAACTCAACTACCGATCCACTCCCTGTGTTTCTATTTATTCAAACCAAAAACAAACAAGCTTGGTCTCTCCCCCTTATCTGCCAAGTTCCTCCCCCCTTTCCCCTATCAGGGCTTAGCTATAGACCACTTAGCCTTTCCCTTGCATCACCAACTAAAATAGGATGCATTTGGTGTGCAGTATACCATAAATTTACTCCGCAAATTCGTCGACGCCCCACTTGCTACACTTGACGCCCCATTTCCTCGATGCCCCTCTTGCAACACTTGACGCTCTGGAACCCAGGAAAATCGTGCATGTATGTCTTCAACGCAGGACATTTATCACTCGTAGCCTTGCATGCGTCAGGTCGTTAAATTGGCCCCTTTTTGTTGAAAGCATAATTTCTTCTTCAAACCTTACCAGAGATCTGAAATTGTCGTTATTGACTTTGAATCCAGCACATGAGGTCTCTAACGCAAGAAGCTTGTGCGTATTGTTTAGGCCACATGAAGATGGATTGTTAATTTTACAATGCTCTTCTGTGTAATCTTTTGCTGTGAATTTAATGGTATTATTGTTTTTTAGGCCGTGCATTATGGTTATGACGAAGAAAATATTGCCAAAAAGACACTAAAACGAAAGTTTCCTTCAACGACATCATCTCCATTGCCAGGTAAAGCATATCTTTGCTTATTTATTTTTGGCCAAACTAATTTTTTGTTTACAGTGTGGCTCTTGCAATGGAATAAAGATGTATGACGTGACTTCAGAGCTGTTTTAGACACACTTTCTCGGTAAAAACCAAGCTTAATTTTGTCCGTTTACATGCTATTCAATATATTGATGCGTTTTCATTGCATTAAATGTTTTTCGTCTTAAGAGTTTTGCCGTCTTGTTTTACACACCAAAACAATGTTTGTACTTGTACCGTCCTACTTTTAACTTGTGAGTTGGTACTATGGACAGCTCTGCTTATACGACATAGAGCTCTCTTTGACAGACTGTGAAAAATGATCTTTAAAGACTCATTTCTAACAATGAGCCTTTGCGCGCTTGGCCAGTTGTCCAGGCGACGATACAGATAATGGCGGTAAACTTCTACGGATCAACCAAAATTGTCTTTCTGAAAATGCATCATGGGATGCCTACAGTGCATAATGGCTCATTGTTGGCAATGAGTCTTTAACAGTTGTTTATAATATAATTGCCCGCAACTCGCGCGCGATAGCGCGCGAGTGAAGGGCTTATAGTCTGCCCCGCGTATAAGTAGCATATGGAAGCTTCAGTTCATGTTGTCAGCACTTTTTCAGCAGATTTTGTCACTTTTCTGCTGCCATGACAACTGTCAATCAATTTCATTGTCAATCAATCGGCTTTGTCGAGGAGGTCGTTAACCGCCACCTCTTTGTGCGGAAGGGAATTATCTTCGGAGCGTTGCTCTGCCAAGACTTTGTTAAAGGCCTTCGGTTTTTTTGGCACGAAAACGGTGCTGCATCACAGCTCTGTTCTCCGCAATGGATGGAAGTTTTGATTCGAAGTTTTGGGAATCAAAACCAGTCGAATGCCACACTTTTCTCCCAAAAACTCTGGACCGTACGAGCAAAAGTTATGATTATCGTGATTATCGAAAAATAAATGTCAAACCCTCGAAAAACTTCATGATTTTCAAAAGGGCGTTGGACTTAAATCAAAGGCAAACTGAACACCAAAAATTCTTGATAAAAAGAATAGTTTAGCATCAACTAGAGCAGCTGTTTTTATAGAATTGTGAAAACCCAAGATGGTGTCTTCTTCGAATATCCTGACCTACATTTTCAAAACAATCATTATCAAGGAACTAATTGTTTGCGGGCAGTACTAGCAAGAGCTATTTCTAGTATAATAATATAATAATACATGTTTATACAGGATACGCCTTTTCAGTACAAGTAAAGTACTGCTATCAATAAGGGTCCTGTTTATATTCGCATTAACCTTAAGACTCAGAGTTGCGATTTAAACTGCCTTGCTCTATACATTTAACCTTGTATGCATTGTAAGATCTACTTGGTGAAAAAATAAACCATCATTTAGTATTTAGTAACAGTGACATAATTATGCTTTTTAATAGACTACGTTGACTCTAAACCAAACACGCCAATGAACTCAGAATTGAGTATGACTGCTGGAAACAAGCTTAAGCTGAAGATCAAGTTAGGGGGTGATGATGCAAGTGGGGCGGAAAGTGGTGCTGAAACACAGTCCCCGATGCCAAGCCATGAGCTGATTGGCGCAACAGGACTAACAGAAGAACAGCTTGCTAGGAAGTTCAAAAAGAAAAAGAAGAAGAAGCACAAGCACAAGGATAAAAAGGACAAAGATTTTGATTCGGATAGACTCGGTAGATTAAGTACGGATGGAAGTGTACCCCCGTCACCTTTTGATAACTTTATGTAAATGTCAACCTTAACACAATCAAAGAAACATCATATCTGAATTGAGAATCTGCCACCTTAAGGACCTGGAAAACCAATATTTGAAACGTTTTTCCTGCCTGTTGATAACATTAAACATGATTTTAATCATTTTGGCCCAAATAGCAATAGGTAGGCCTAACCTTGATTCTAGTAAAGATAGATAGTGAATATTTCGATAACCTGCTTTGTTTTTATCCAACATTTATTGCTCCAAAACCAGGTTTTTTGTATGAACAATATTTGAAGAGACTTGTCAATCTAAAGTTTTAAATTCTCTTATTATGAGTAAAATACATGGTCTTCTCAAAATAATCATTTTTGGTGGAACCTTTTTACTTCGACATCAAATTATGCTCTGCAACGCTAAGAACAACTAGCAAATAGTTTGTCTACCTTGGTCATAGCCGATTTCTGCGTTAAGCAGTTTCGCGACCTTGAGACTCTAGGGCAGGCTTTAGACATCCCAGAGTGTTTTATTTTTTGAAAGATCGCCATTTTGTGAAAACATGCAAGACGATATTATGCAATTGCACATTTATTATACAAAAGTTTTACCTTCTAAAACCAATACATTTTTTCTTTATGGGACCAGAAAAAACAATAGAGTGGACAAGATAAGTTTTTGGTGTTCCTAGAGTAGTGAATTTTGACTTTCGAGGCTTTTGAGATGTGAAAAAAAGCAAAACTACAGGCTTAAAAATACTGTTTTTTTAACTGGAAATTTTTATCACCAAACACACTTTTTCATATTTGAAGAAACCAGAAACAGCTATGGTAATCTACCAGACTTGTTATTGATGACCTTTGGATTGGGAATTTCACCTATAACGAGGTTGCCTAAATTGTGAAAAAATGCAAGACTAAAGGCTTGTCAAATAGGTCTTTTTTCGATTTGAAGTTTTCCTTCAAAAATTACATTTTTTATATTCTTTTAAAACCAAAAAGAACCAAATGAAGAAAAGACCAACTTGGTTTTTAGTGTTCTTTGTGTGAAGAATTCAAGCATTTTTCGCATAGAGAAAAGGCTTGCTTAAAAAGAAAACTTATAATTACGAACCAACTTGTTTGTAATTCATGGGACCAGAAAATAAATTAACAGTGGTCCAGACTGGTTAAGAAGCGACCTTTCAGTAGAGAATTAAGTCCTTTTGAGGTTTCTATTTTGATGCAAAAAGCAAACCTTAGGAATTATCAAATGTTTCATTTTTAAAATTGAGTATTTTTATTCCAAAACCATTTTTATTTTGATAATGAGGCGGAAAACAACCAAGGAATATACCAGATTGGTCATTGTTAATCGTTGTGTAGAAATGTTAAACTTTGTCATCAGTTTCGTTGTATAGAGATCATCATTTTTTTGCATTACAATGCTAAACCAATAGTAGTCAGGCCCTCCGACGAAAGGGGGCCGGGGGGCATGCAACCCCCCCCCCCCCTCCCCCCACTTTTTGCAAAACAATAGAGCTTTTTAACAATTATTTTGTATGATTGTTAAGATCTCCCTTGCCCCCCCCCACTTTTCAACCTGCGACGGAGCCCATTGTAACTTCTAGGGAAATATGCTTCTCTACAATGTCGAGACCTTGACTTTAAACAGACCATGGATCAAGATTGTTCAAGTACCAAAGATTAAGGCAAAATCACAGAAAATCTTTCGAACAATTTCCAAAATTATTAATGTATACAATAGCTGCATTCCTCAGCTAATAACTATTTGACTGGAATATGTTCTGATTATATGTACTACTTGTAAATATTTAGAGCTCCTGTAATTATAAAGCTTGATCTGTGTTTATAAACAACACCTTTAAAATACAAGTCAAATAATTCTAGCAACTGACGCTACAAAAGGGCAAAGGCAAACTTAAGAACAGAGTTTTCTTTGGTTGGTTGGGAAAAAAGTTAATTTTTTGGAAAACTCCTTTGATACATTATGAATTGTTTGTAACTTTTAACATCAAAATTCAATGAAGAGCCAGCTTTGGAAGTTTCCAAATGGACCTCCATGGCTAATGATAAAGAGTCTTAGAGCCATGTCTTTCGCCCAATTTTTTGCAAGGCAACCGCCCTTTAGGTACAAAATCTTTTCTTCAACAAATTAGTGTCCTTGCCCCTTCCCTACACTTGAGACTCCCTCTAAATAAAATGAATTTCTTACAGTGCTTGTTTAGAGATTTGTCAATACCACAAGCCTGGAGGTGGAGATGAAGCCATCATACCCCATTTTGACAAGGCCCAAGCTAAGAAGGGCGGCTATGACAATCTGCTTCAAAGACGGAAAGTTCTGCATCAAAAGAGCCGAATTTTTCTAACTTGTCAGAAAATAACTATTTCCTCATCCTCTTGTAGGCAAACAGGACCTGGCCACAGGATAGCTTGCAATTTTCTTGCCCTTGGATGTCATTTGGCAATCTCTATTTAGATGTTTCGCAAATGCACTAATTTAAACTGGCAAAGTCAATTGTTCATTAACAGGGTTCTGTAGTCAACAGAGAAAGGTGTTTTTTTGCATAAGACAAGCTGATGAAATATGTATGCATGGATTTCAAGGTTTATTAGTATCAAAGCTCTCATTTGCATTTCCCTATTACTTCTCTAGTGCTGCACAATAGAGCAAAGTGTTAACTAGGGAGGACACGTTTATTCTTTGGAGCTTTTTAAATAAATACTTTATCTTTAAACCTTACATCTTTAAACCAATGGTGTTAATTTTATAGGTGTTTTAGGGCCAGTCCCCTAATCAATATGGCTCCAAAGTTTTACCTCAGCATTTGATTTGTTGATATAGGACAAAGGAGTGAAAATGCTGCTCAACAACAATCTTATAAAACACACTGTGCATGCCCTACCACTCGATAATACAATGTCCACCATGAATATGATTCCTTGATTCCCCATTTGATGAAAAAGCTGTTTAAAAAGCTAAAGCTGATCAGCTATGATTTCTGTTCTGTCCCCAGCCTGGTGACAATTCTATGTATCTCTTCTAGCCTGTTTTCCATATCATCAATGCGATTTTCAATTCTCTGCTGTGTCATGGCCAAGTTTATTTTACCAAATGAATGCTCACTGTTTGAGCCTGTGACTCCTTTCAGCAATGAAACAATGTAAGACCAAAAACACCATGCAATTATGACTAGTGCTGACTGTAATGGGTAGGTTAAGACGATTTCAAATACATACCAGAATGCACCAGTCATGAGAACAAGCCTTGGATGAAAAATATTTAAATTATGGCAAGCTTGTAATGCTAAATTACACAACATTTTGTGGTTATGGAGTTTAAAAAGGTTCAGACTACAAACGTTTTCATTCACTATAATTTTAATATACTCCAGCAACAGCACAGTCAGTAACAGCTGCATGTCTTCAAAATTAAACAACAACCCCTGGCTCAGCATTACAAATTAAATTGAAGGAACAAAAAAACTGTCAAAACAATGTCACTAACACACTTATATGATATTAACATCAATATGGACCATGACATGGCCTTTCAATCCAATGTTCTCAAGCAATGAAAACTTGTGACTATGTCATTGTCCACTCACTTCGTACTCATTTATTGACCATGCTGTGACCATGACATTATTTGTGGTATTGCATACCACAAGACGCCCTTTACTATTGTTTTCAACTCTGCTCATTTGAGCCACACAGACTCAGCTTTCCCATTCTAAGCATAGATTTTTTACCACATTACAACATCCTTATGTTATCCTAACTCATCCTTTGTGTGCAAATTTTATTTTCTACATAAGTATTTCAATTTGTAAATCACTTCTGTTCAGAAAATAGTTATGCAGGCCACATACTGTCTCTCTCACTGGCTCTGTGTTCTCCATACATTAATAAGGACTGGTTGAGTTGGATATAACCCTTAAATCATTGGATAGCTACATCAATCATTGTTCTGATGTACACGAAATAGGACAATACATAACAACTATCACAATCCATCTTATTGAAACAATTTCAGCAGCCTAAAACTCCTGATTGTTTGCTATCATTATATCAACTCCCTATCATAAAATTGCAACTAACAATGTTCTCATGATAAAAAGAGATGTTAAGAGCTTGAACAATGGCAAAGGAAAGATGAACTGTTCAAAACAATTTGAAAAAACAAGGACTTGTTTATATGAGCCAGGGTATCCTCCCTAGGGCGTTTCTACATAAGAAAGAAAATAAAAATATATCCTGATCAGGTGGGAAAGAGATTTTCTAAAGATGGATGAGTAAGAACATCTGGGTTCTAAGTTTTCAGAAAAAGCAGCACATAATAGAATAACTACTAAAAGTTGAGAATATAAACCTTGACAAATTGCTAATGTTAGCTAACTACACAGGAGGATTTTCTTATGCAAATACAAAGATAAAATGTGAACGTAACTCCTGTAGGAGGAAACCCCAGCTCATGAACAGTAATAAGAAATTCTGACATGTGGGAAGTGATCAAGTCAGATGGATTGCTCTTATTTTTAGTTTGAGATGTCTTATTCGTTTAAAACAGGAATGAAAGACTCAATAGCACAGTGGGCCAAAAGCCAAAACACATTTTAACCCTGATTCACACCAGTGAGAAACGATATTCTCACTGACTTTTCAGTTAAATAAACTGTTATCTCACTGGTGTGAATGCCTGAATTTTTTCTCCCTGGAGCATTTTCAGTGAGATAGTGAGAATAATATCAAAAAGTTTTGATATTTATCTCGCTGACTTTCTCACTGAACAAAGGAAAAACGCTAATCTCTGTGGCGCCAACACATTTTATGCACTGCATCACTCTGAACAATGGAATTTTTCTCCTCGTTTTCAAACAATGCTACGTCACTACCCTTCCTATAAATTTCCAAGAGGATTTAATCCTGAACTAGTGAGCTAGCAGCTATGGGAAAACAAATAAATGCGACATTTGTCCTCAAAGCACATTCCTTGCAGTATCTTATGGAACTGGCCATGCTGCTTTCGAACACTAAAAATATCCCACACCCAAATCTTCCATTTTGTTTACGTAAATGAGATCTTCAAGATCTTTGAACTAAAACAAGAGCAAAGGCTGCAACTTCGAAATCGTTGTCAGAATCACTATCCATTTCACAAAATCTGAGTCATTTTCTCACTGTGTGAGATAACCCAATGTGGACTCTGTGTTCTAACTAGAACGATTTTGGGTTTGAAATAGTTTCACTGGAAAATTTATTTCACTCAGTGAGAATATCGTATTCTCACTGGTGTGAACCAGGCTTAAGGTTGCCGGCCAAACAGGATAAACATTTGATGAACACACTTTAAACACACAATAATGTAAAATGGTCTCGTGGGCAAGATAAAGTTACACGCCAGCCGGATGTACCCTGCAGGCCTTGATTTTGACACCTAAGATTTAAAACAATATTACATATTATGAATATAAAACAAACTAATTTTGTATCAGCTTCATACCATCTAAAGCAGAATTTTGGTCCTCCAAGGATATAAGAAGTGTATCCAACTGCTCCAAAGCTGACAAAGTTCCAAAAGCTGCAGAGCCGTATGAGAATCAGCGACAGAGCAACAGCATAAACAAAAATTACAAATGATATTGTTTCCTTGTCTTGCTTTATGATATTCCATGGGTGCCAGGGGGCTGAAAATATAGAAATATCACTCATTTCACTATAGTAATTATCACAATTACTAACGTAAGAGAACCAAATATATAATATACAATAAGAGCATTATAATAATTACTTTATACTTATTGCAATTTTGTCTAAAAGATGGTCAATATTTGAAATTCATCATTAAATTAATGTTGAAGTTCATCAGCAAGATTTAGACACAACAATCTCTAGAGGAATATTTAAAGCATTAAGGATTGATTATAAATAATTTTATGTTAAAAAGAACATTTTCAAGTTTTAGAATAAAATAAATCAGTTTTTAACCATATTTGAAAAGATTTGCAAGTGTGGTACATCAACTCAAGACTGAAGGATCACAAATGAAAATACACCATTAGTTGCACCAGTAATAATACAAGACTATTAAGTCATTGGCAACTTCGCCTGACTGCAGGGTATGTCATTTTCCAATGAGATTGCGGGTCTGCAACAGCAAAATTCTGAGTGTGCAAGTGTACATTTTTGTATGAGTGTGCACTTCAATTATGAACATTAGTGGGGAAGTGAAATGATAAAAAGGATATCAAACAAGAAGTGAATGTATATGAGATTATGCAAGATTCAGACCAATGCAAGATTATGTGGATCTTGAAGAAACTTAAATCTTCATTTGACCTCAGCAAAAGGACACACCAGTGTCATGCCCAGATCTCAAAATGCCACACCCTTTACCAGGTGCGCAGTGAAATTTTTGACAAAAATTCTTGGGTGTGCACTTGTCATACTTTGCAGTCTGGCTGGGGTGCCAAAGTGATGTTGAAATAAATAGATGCCTACAAGAAAGCATTACCTCCTTCACCCAGAAGATTGCCACATTTTTTTCTGGTGAATGCCATAATATGTCGGTCTATAATCAGCCAGCCTTCTTTAACGTGCAAGCTAGCTCTACATACAGCAGGCAATGTTGTGTTTTTAATAAAAGAAATTATGACAAATGGATTCAATGGCTGAGATTTCAAGTTTTTCCAATCTCGAGTAAATTCATCGTAACGAATTGCTCTCTGCCAGCTTTTCTGGATACTGGACCTCAAAAGATCTAGAGTTTCTTCTACACCGAGCTTCTTCAAAGCATCCTCCCATGGCCAAGATGGCTGCGGCCTACCATCTTCCCCTCCTCCATTTCTGAATGACTCTTGGCCACGTCCAGGGTGGCCATAGGTATCCCAGTCCTCTTGAGAGCATGATACATTTCTTTCCAATAAAATTCCTACATGAAAGAGAATAAGCAACGCATATTTCTGCATTTTAGAATGGGCGTCTGTGCTCTTCACGTACCTCAACAAACGGTTCGCTCGTTAGGCCGAAAGAATCACTAACAGTTCCCTGTGCGCAATAAACATCCAGGTTGTCCATTAGTAACAGAGAGTGGAAACGAGTTTATAGAGATATCATAAAATTATAAAATTAGCACTATTATTTGTTATTCAAAGTTGGTCAATTATTACTTTGTCAAATCTGAAAAGCCTTCAAACGGAAAATTTTTCAATCCAAAACTCAACCAAAATCGACACCAAAATTGATAAAACCAAGTTCTTAGCAGAATCGAATTAACATTACGTCTTAAGTCACCACTCCATTCATTCAATAATTTCATTTATTCATTTCCTTCACTTATAACAGTCCTGCTCTATAGCCAGCAGCGTGTACATCTCTCCCTATGCCGCATTCAGCACTTTTAGAGAGAATGGTAGACAGTAATTCTCATTTCGTCTAAATTCGGTGAGAAAACGTTGGGGAAAAGAGCACTATTCTGGAAAGGTCTTCTTTGTTTGCAACTGCTTTTACTTAACCAGAAGTTACTTAATAAGCGCTCCCTATCGGAAAATTTGGCGCTCCCTATCGGAAAGTTTGGCGTTACCTGTTGGTAAATATGGCGTTTTCTGGTAGTGACACAAGCCCGTAGGCAGGCCTGTGAAGTAGGGGTGGCAACTCCCCATTCTCAAAGGCAGCCGAAGATTAAAGTGAAATTATTTGTAGGTTTGGGGGAATTAATGGAAGCATCTTTAGCAATAAAACAACTTTCTCCCTTTAAATTTCTATTCAGATAGAAAACTTTCCAATCTTATGTCTTCCATCGAAATCTTATTATCAAACGCCAGGCATGGAAGATTGCACTCCCTCTCTGCTCGCAAAGAATTTTGTTTAGGGGAATCTACCCTTGTTAATGTAATGTTAATGTTAATGTAGAAATCAAGAACTCCTTACAGTCCTTATGTGTTGAAGTGAAGCCAGCAGTAAAAATTAATACGCTGCCCTTGTTAGTTTGAATCCCCCCTTTTCCGCCAAATCACTGTTGGACTTTTAGTTCTATCATTTTTGTTTCGAAATCATACACTCAACTTGAAGCTTTGAGCGTGAGCTCTTTCGACTTTAACCAATACACAATAAAAATTCAAAGCTTAAAACTTACGACCTTGATTGTGAGTCTTTGCTTTGCTTTGCTTTGCTTTGCTTTGCTTTGCTTTGCTTTGCTTTGCTTTGCTTTGCTTTGCTTTGCTTTGCTTTGCTTTGCTTTGCTTTGCTTTGCTTTGCTTTGCTTTGCTTTGCTTTGTTTTGCTTTGCTTTGCTTTTCTTTCTTTGCTTTGCTTGCTTTGCTTTGCTTTGCTTTGCTTTGTTTGCTTTGCTTTGCTTTGGCTTTGCTTTGTATTGCTTTGCGCTTTGCTTTGCTTTGCCTTTGCTTTGCTTTGGCTTTGCTTTGCTTGCTTTGCTTTGCTTTCTTTGCTTATGCTTTGCTTTGCGTTTGCTTTGCTTTGCTTTGTTTTGCTTTGTTTTGTTTTGCTTTGTTTTGCTTTGCTTTGCTTTGCTTTGCTTGGCTTTGCTTTGCTTTGCTTTGCTTTGCTTTGCTTTGCTTTGCTTTGCTTTGCTTTGCTTTGCTTTGCTTTGCTTTGCTTTGCTTTGCTTTGCTTTGCTTTGCTTTGCTTTGCTTTGCTTTGCATAAGCGGCGGCAGGAGAACATCAGAGAAAGAAACGGTCTGGTCTTTCTATCTTTATCGGCGTCAATCTAGCGACTAAATTACAACTTCTCTCAATCTCTAAACTAAAGGCTCAAATTTATATAAGATTAAACAAAAGATAGTGCAATAAATCTAAAAACCAAGTAAAAGTTGAAGCAAAACAAACGTCCAATAGGAAAAAGGGTTTTATTACTATTTGTCCAATCATTGGATTTTTTTCAGTCACATAAAGTTTATACTCAAATTCGCAAAACTAATCAATTTAGCTCCGTTTATCGTCACACTCCGTTTACAGTCTCAAGTTTTCAAGCAACATTTACGTGACTTTATCCGTAGTCTACTGTATTTCCAATCTCCGGTTGAAAGGAATAGGTGAAAAAAGCTTTTAAACAAATCACTTATTTCGATCAATCTTTACTGAAATAGCAACTTAATGACAAGGCTATAATTTTGAAATTATTCTAATTATCTATATCTAAGGGCATTAGGACATAAAGACTTTTCAAATTCCCGAATTTTTTATCCCCAAGAATTCGCCCTTATTTTACCACAGTTTGGAAAAATTGAGGAGGGGGGGGGGTGATACTATGAATGTGCTGTACACGATGAACTAGAAATATGTTCAAATTCTTGTCAGAAAATTTTCAATGGCTATAGAAAATGACATTATCCATAACGTCATCCCCACTGTACACTCATTTTTTTTAAGAAACTGGCTATAAGAAACGAGTACTGGACAGTCAGAAAATATTAAGAAACTTCAGTACTCGAAGCAAAAAAATTAAGAAACTATTAAATCGTGATAAAACTGAGAACAACGAAATTTTGTAAAATCCACTGACTGTATACTGTCATATTATGATCAGAAACAAAGAATAGATTATGTTCCTGATGTCAAACCATTGATGAGTTACTTTGCCAGGTTGTTGGGATTGAACCCTGTCTACTTGGTTTGGTCTGTATGTAAATCGAAGGATATCGTGACAAGTAATTTGATACCTTTAATTTGAAAATATCCTACATAAAAGTGGGATCTAGCTTTCTGAGCGTTTTGAAGTTCCACACAAAGGGCTTCCATATCCGGAAACATGCACTGTGCACCTATTTGATTTAACTCACTATATGAACTTGGGTGATTAGGGTGCAAAATTCTAAGAGCGTGTATCAAATTTCTGCAAGGTCTCAGATGATGTAAAATACCAAACTAAGTGACAGTAGTTGAAATTTCAATATACGAAGCATTCAACGAGCATTTTTGAAGCCAATGAATCTTTACAGTCGATTCAAAACATTTAGCAGCTTTTTGCAAACTCAGAAATGTGGTTAAAAATATAATCAAAAGTAAAGTTGGACACCTAGTAGCCAGGGCCATGGAGAGGATTTATGGATTTATAGACCCCTGGGTCAGTGACCCCCTACCCCCTGACCCCCCTGACCCCCGACCCCCTGACCCCCCTCCCCCTCTCCTCGGCAAATTTTTAAATTCAGAATGACACGAATAGAAGGTGCAGGAGGTGATAATTCATTTGATACAGAACGAAAAAGATATATTTTCAAACTGTAAGGAAATACCAGGAAACGCCAAAGAAGACGCATCTGAAGACTCTCGTTAGGAAATGAAGACAATGTGTAGAATTGATAGTCACCCTTCTAGTTTATTGTTCTTGACATCGTAATAGTTGGCTTCATCTTGTTTTAGCTTTGCTTAAACTCTATTTTAGCATTTTTTTGTTGTGGCGTTACCATGTCGAAAAAATTAGGATGTACAAAAAAAATTCTCGACCATGCCCTTCAGACTCTCTGAAAACGTGGGAAACGCCTTTTTCACTAACGGGGACTTTTTTTGCAAGAACAAAATTTCGAATTCAATCTTATTAACCCCCTTCACAAAGGTTTTTCAACTGACTTCAATAAGTTAGAAATCGACCTCTGGAAAAACGGGGGTGTGGCATCGCCACAGATTTCTTTCCACCCAATACATTTAAGACTGTACGTTTGTGGAGGTGAATCTTGGTATTTGCTCAAAAATATTCTTCGTGCTTTTCATTCTGTATGTCTGCTGCGATTCTGATGAAAAGTCAGTCCAATTTGTATGAGACTCGGTCCAACTTATTTTATCCCCCTTCCTCCCCTTCTTCCCCCCAACGATTTAATTTGCGCCCCTGCTTGCACTTACTTGAGTATGCATCTTCTACCGGAAGTCAGTGGTTACCTTTTTCAGCAGGTATCTTCAAATATTTCTTTTCGTATAACTTCTGAAATTTGAGCTGAATTGTTAAGCTGCAACTTTGACCAACGAATGTCGTATTGAAAAGCTTCAAGATGGGTTTAGCGACATTGGTCATTCTGTTCAGTTTGCTTTTGAGGGACTCGAGTTGTTACAGCAAAACAGAGCGCAGATATGCAACAAACGAAACTCAAACTCTCTCACACATCGACTACGCAAATGATGAGGACTACACCTTCATTATCGAGCCTGCAATGCATCTCAATGCGAGCCTTCACTATTTGGAGATAATTTGGACTTTGTTTGATGTCGAAGGAAGTATACCGTATTGCTCGAATGACTATGTGGAAGTTTTCCTGACTCGGTAAGTGAAAAACGAGGCAGACAAAATCGCTTACATTAGAAATAGTTTTCAAAGTCAAAGCTCCGAGAATCAGTTCAATTGAAAGTAACCGCAATAAATCACATGATTAGATTAGATGGCTCAGTTGCAGAAATAGACGGGGAAATCGTTTCTGCCAAACTAAGCCAGTGCGAAAAACCAAATCTTACTTCCGAATATTGTTGTTTCTCGGTTAACTGATTGGTTTTCCGAGATGGGCCCAGAAAATATCTTTCCAGGAAGTCACATGATCGATGACGTCAATACTTACATTGAAACGTTCATTCCTGTAAACGGTCATTACTTTTGAAATACTCTGCTTATGACAATTATATTAATTGTTAAATTTTAACCGGAAAGGGAGGAATTGAAAGAAGAAGAAAGTTGGTGATTAGAAATTACGCAAATTCTGCAAAATCAGCAAATTCAATAAATAATTTCATCTCATAGTGGGAATGACCATCAATTTTTTGGCGAGTGCATAAAATGATGACGTCATCAGAAATGCTGGTATCGACAAAACTTAAGAAAGAATTTTTATAACCAATTAAAGATGTCGGTGCTTGTAAGCTGAAGAGAAACTGACTATTTTGTTTTTATAAGCAGATTATTTCAAAAAATATGACCGTTTTATGAATTTTCAAGGTAATTATGTCGTCATCGATCATGTGACTTCTTGGAAAGACAAATGGGCCCATGCCATACAACAAATTTTCGGCTTTTTGGAAAATACTAAACGTTTTTGATTTCAAAATTGTGATAGATTTTACGGGGGTAGGGTTGTGACTCTGTCCCCGCAAAATTTGTATGTCCTTCAGTGAATTGTTCTTCAATTACGTCGAAGCATTTTTTCGTTTATAATAGTAATAAAATGATGCAAAAAATTTATTCATTGATTATCTTATCTTCTTTATCTTAAAGTTAAAAATTAAGTTTAAAAAACGGACGTTTCCATCGTTTGCAAGTCGCTTTAAGAGCATGGCACCAAAATCCAATCATTACCTTACACCCTGCAACCCCCCCCCCCCCCCCAAAAAAAATAATTGCTGCTTATGTCCGTCCCTGGGGAATTACACATACTTCTTTTAACAATCTGAAAACTTTGTTACCTTTTTAGGGCAAACCTCAGTATTGGTTACTACTGTTCGGACAATCTGGTTGGTGGGAAACCTTTTAACATGTACTCTCACGATGGATACATAATGTTACATTTTATCTCTGACCCATATGTGACAAGAAAAGGATTTTCCTTAAATTTCCAGTTGAAGAGCAGAGAAAAGTCACCATTAGGTGGCTCAGTGTCACCAAGATGCTAGTGAGTTTTCAAATATGGTTGATAAAAATTTCCTTCATTTGTTACCAATACACTCCTAAATAGAACATTACAAAGAATTGTCCTAAACTTCCATAAAGACTTTAAGATAACAGGGAAAATGCAGTTAAAAGACCAGGTAAAATACAGTTAATTGAACATAAATTAAAGCTTTTTATCGACTCTCTGTATCAAAACAATTTTTCTTGATTTGAATTTACTAATAACGATAATTTAATTAGTAAAATAAATTGAGTACCAGAATGAAATAAGTTATTTTGATTTGATAGTGAAAAACACGACGTTTCGAGCTTAATTATCGTTATTTTCGAAGAAGTTCCACACTCAACGTACATATTTAATTTGAATTCACAATTTGTCTATTGGATTTTGTTAAATCAAACAACAATAAATTGCAGGCCTGAGGAACGTACAGGTCTGAAATAGCCAGTAAAACAATCAACAGTTCTATTCAAGCCAATTAGATTGTAGCTTGACAGTAATCATGACAGATGAACCCACGAGAAAAGAATTAAAGGAGCAGTGAGGTCTAGTCAAATCAACTTAGTAATTCATAAAAATCAAGTATCACTGTCAGTATTTGCTTTACAAGTATTCAATCATTGCAAATCATCGAATCCTAAATTATTTTACAAACTTGATGCATATTCCTTGTTTGTTTTAAGTTCAAATGATAACGGGGGTTCAACTGGAAATTTCTATTCACTTGGCTGGCCCTACGGGTTTTACGGAAGCAACATTTCGCAACCTTGCTGGACAAAGAATTATATAGGGAACAAAAAGATGAGGATAGCAACAATGGATGTAAACCTGCAAACGACGTGGCCTGATCCTTATGCCTGCAAAGAATCAGATACTTTCTTTGAGATAAAAGGTCTGTCTATGGCTCTTTGAGATAAAAGATCTTTCTCTTTTCATATCTATGTTATTGTCTTTCTTTTTATACCATTATCAACTCCTTCTTTTTTCTACGCCCCTTAATCTTCTTCTTCTTCTTCTGAATATAAGGACCGATAGTGTTATTTATTCATCATTTTTTTCTTTGTAATAACCATCATTTTCTGCTTCCTTTTCCAATTCCTTTTCTTTCACTTCTTCTCTTGTTTTACTCCTTAATTATCTTCTTTTTACACAAAAGATTTGATAATAAGTCTTCCTCTTTAACATCATCGTAATTTTCTTTGCTGTCTTGTTCTTCACCAAAACCCTTCATCGTCTTTATTCTTACCACTTTCTATGCTTCCCTTTACTGTTCTGCTCAATCATTATAATTATAAAATGAAAATCGTACAAGTGTTCCTTGTTCACAGAAAGGGTGTTATCTTGTGTAGTACCTATGTTTTTGAGAAGCATAAAATTTACGTTTAAGACAGCAAGAATACTTGCCAGGACATAAACCGAAGAGCCATGTGTAAAATATGAATAATGTAGGGTTGGTCTACGAAGTTTACTTTCTAAATTACCTCAATAACATGTATGTATACGATATGTGCGTTTAAAAAGCGCATGTATGCACAGAAATTTGTCCTTGGTGACCTGTAACAAGATGAGGACTATTTACTTTCCTAACTGCCTCTACCCAAGATTGTGCTCATGACTCCTAACTTGAAAGTAGACCTCTGCCCTGTGCCCCAGACCTCTACTTTTAGGTTAGGGGTCTGGAACGCAGGCTACCTCTACCTTTCCTGGGTAGATTTCATCGGGTTAATTGCTGCTGGACAGGACATCACCATTGGCACTTCGCCAATGTATTATCATATTGAAAAAACCATACTCTCAACCAGTGGCGTAGCTTGACCTTCCAGACTAGGTGGTGGAGGGTCATGAGTTGTGAAATTCACCTACTAAAACAGAGATAAAGAAAAGTTTAGGTGCTATTTCGCCGCACCAACTAAAAATTTACCATCAAATTAATGAAGAATTAGGGGATGTCACACCCTCTACACGCCTTGCTAGCTACGCCCCTGCTCTCAAGTTACAAATATTCTGCTTTCATCAAAACTTTATTTTCTGTTTACAGATTCAAAGAGAAACTTGACAGACCTCCAATCTATCATTCAAAATGCAACTAATGTGTTTCAACGAATATGTGGAACAACAAATGCAATTTTCCATGTCTCTAGAAAACCATTTGTTTACATGTATTTCAATAGAACGCAAACGTCATACAAATATCGTGGTGTTGTCATTGGTTACTTGGTGTATGGTATGTATAATGTATCAATGTTGCTCTGAAAGCAATGGCGAACACGGAAGTTTTTATCACCCCCTCATATTGTTAGGCACATAAACTAGTCACAGTCCTTCGTTAAATTACGTCACTACACTCTCATCGGATCCGACACAACCAACGGTACAGAAAATTTTGCTTTCCCAAGCCCTAAAGCAAAGCATTTGCTATTCAGTGGCAAAGATTTATAACAAACTAACAATTAAAATGATAGTCAATGCGTTGTAAAAAATTTTTACACAGTTCTCTCCCGCCATACATAACTTTAGTCTTTTCCGTTCTGGGTAATCAAAACTTTCCTTGATTTTTTAATAGCAAGAATGACATTGATTCTGACATGTACTATTTTACTCATAATTATATTGCAATCATTATTTTTGCAAGATCCAGCCTATTTCTATTATTTTTAGGTGATCCACCATCATTGTCACAATCGTCCATGTCATCAGTCATAACACCAACAGCAACAAAGTGGTCCAGGTGGTCGCATTGGCAGAAGTGGTCAAAATGGTCGCATTGGGAGAAGTGGTCAAAAGAAGAGTTGAAGAAAAAGAAGATTCGAGAAAGAAACATTGCAATCGGTTCTGCTGTTGGAGCCTTAGTTGCTTTTATTGGATCAATAATTGCTGGTATATACAAAGGCTATTGCAAATGTGAGTCTTGCCAGAAGTTTGTCAGTTGGTTGCCAGTTCCACACACTAGGTTTCGTAATTCACAAGAAGAATGAAACTGATCAGACCGATCCCTTTAACTATAATCACAATGTATCTGATTAAAATATACAAACTGTCTTACAGGCAATGCAAACTTGGGTAAACTATCTAACTTGGATTCAGTTATACTGAAGAGAAGAGAATATTGTAGTCGAGAGCATATTTTTATTTTTGTACTTAAATTTTGCTTATTGTGCTCAAACTACAATCATTCTTTTCCTTTCATGGTGTTAATTTTTCAAGCATTTAAGGTGGGACCCCATTTTTATTTGTGGAAGGCTCGGCGAATTTTTCGCTACCAAGAAAAAGGGATAAAAACTGTAAACTTAATGTATGTAAAAAGTTTTCGAAAAGAAGAAAATTCCTAAAAAAATTTTCCAGAGATGAATTCTCAAAACAATTTTCATAAATACCAATTTTGTTCTAAATAATGCCTAAGAGATTATTTTATTCTATTTTATTAAGAAAACATTACACCTGTGATACAATTCAGTCTAGTAAATTTGCTTCCACTCCTACTTCTCTATTTCCCAAGCAAAAAAGATTATGGCATATTATCTTAAATTAGGCAGTGAGATTGTGACAATGTTGTTATGAGCAAGACTCAGCTTGATTTTTATCCCAATGCATGTCAAGTTGACTAAGATCATATTGAAATCGAAATACATTGCTTTTAACTCTTGTTTGGCCTAAGCCACATTATGCAAGGCAAGTACAGTCAAATCTGTGTAATTCCAAATCTCTAGTATACTTACTCCATGAGCCTCTGTTTCGCTACTGCCTCACTCAACTGACGCTACAACATATTCAGATTCAACTGTTGTAGCGACTATCAAGTGAGGCAGTAGTGAAAGAGAGGTTGGTCATGGAGTAAGTCTAAGTCTCTAGGGGATTGTAAAAATCGAATTACGAAATCTTCTTTTTACAGAGGTTCGAATCAAAGATGCTTGCTTTCAAGGTACCTGAGAAATTTGTGCGAATTAGTAAACGTTTGAATTATACGAGTTCAAATTCAGTCCCTGTCAGATTAGCTAAAGATGCATCCGAATGTATTGCTCTCCCCTTACAATAGTATAGAACTCGTCACTCACTGCAAGTAATTTTCCAAATATATGGAAGATTGCAAGGGTGACCCCAATTTTTAAATCAGGTGCAAGAGATGCCATGAATAATCAAAGGCCTATATCCGTTCTTTCGATATCTGCAAGGATTCTCGAAAAGATTTTTCACGATCAGCTGATTGATTATTTCAACTGCTAAAAAAGAATCAGCATGCATTTTGTAAGCTACTCTCAACTATCACGTCTTTAATAAAAAGTACTGATGAAAGATCAATATTACTATGTTCTTGGATCTATAAAAGACGTTCGATAGAGTGGATCACAAAATATTGCTCGAAAACTTTCTAGATGTGGTGTGAAAGGCAACGTGATAAACTGGTTTCGATCCTATATAACCCAACGTAAACAATTTTGCAGAATCAATGGTGAATGTTCCAAGCCCTTAGGGATAACCTGTGACATTCCCCAAGGTTCCTGCCTAGGCCCCTTTCTCTTAACCATTTCTAAACAACTATGAAGAATATTTAAAGTTTTCATCGGCAAGCCAGTATGCTGATGATACACACACAACAATAGCCTCTGAAGACATTCAAAAGCTCACCCAAATGATGAACGAGGAATTGGAAAATATTTCTGAGTGGATGAGGATCAATAAATTAAGTGCAAGTCCTAAAAGGACTGAGTAATTAAATTAATAAATATATTAAGTAAATTAAATTAAAACTCTAGCTCCTCTGAAACTTTGTAGCACAGAAATAAAACAAGTGAAAAAACTAAATCTCTAGCTAAAATCTTTACCTAGATAAAACACGACTCCCAGGAAGATCATACGTCTAAATAAATCCACTCGCATTATTAAACAATTGATTAAATTTTTGTTTATTTGTTTTTAACTTATCATAACTTGCACTTAGGTTTCTGATGGGATATCGCGTTGAAAAATGAATTTAATAAAGAAAATTAGGCAGCCTTGACTGTAGAATCGAGGATTGTTTTATACTTCGTTCTAAAATGAACAATTCTCGTGAGTATTTTCTTTAATATGTAACGTTAAATATGCTACAAGTTCTTTTTCTTTAACTTTTATGAAAGAACAACAGAGGGTCTTGCGATGTTTGCTATAAATGAGAACATAAGTTTTTGTACGTCACTGATCATCAGTGATCATCGCCGATGAGTCAAAAAAGTTTGTTTTTTGCGATCGTCGGCGAAGATCGCTGATAGAAAAATTTTTATGAGAACAATATCTGGGTCCATCGGTGATCATGTCTAGCTTCCAGTCTACCTTTAAAGCCACACTTGTCCCAGTACAGAAGGATCAGTTCTAGAAGAGCCCATCCATTAAAAAGGATTGTGTTCCTGCCCGGTGACGTAACACATAGTGTGCACTTTTAAGCACTAAACTTATGGCCCCCAAGCATGGGGCCCCTACGGTTTTTTTATTAAAGCTTATGTTTCTTTTATAGAATTAACAGCATCATTGAAATCGGTGTAAGTAATACTTTGGAAAAAATTTATTGATGACATAATTTTCGTCTGACAACTCAATCTTGAAAACCTACAGGAATTTAAAATTTAGACTCAAATAGCCCTGGTTATAGTGTCGCACTCGGCTTACAAGTTTTAAAGCAACATTTGGTGTGACTATAACAAAAATGTACCGTAGTATTTCTGTTCTGAAACACGCCGCTTTTATTTAGACTCTCTACTTTCACAACAAACTGGATTAGAGATCCGTCCCGGCAAAAGGCTGTTGGGATTACAAAATTTTTTCTTAGATTTCTGGCAAGCGGTGCTTGTCTTTTTTATATGGTATTTAAAATTAAGACACAAATATTGACCAAATATATAGCACGTAAGTCCACAATGAAAGAAAATCAGGATCTATTTTAAAATCTATTCCATCCAGCCCAAGCTCACGCTGGCAATTTTTATGTCACTGGTAGCCTGTATCAATTTACATTTGGAACAAAAAATTCAAAATATAACCTACTTTCTTGAAGCAGATTCATTGGTAGAAAATATTTTCCCTGCAAAAATCAGTTTTGCTCCGCGAGAAGGTCCTATTTTCTTGGTTAAGGGGTTCACCCCTACCCCCCTATTTTCTTGGTTAAGGGGTTTCTTGGTTAAGGGGCGACTGATAACCACCAAAGTGATAACGCCTGATCTCAAAATATGGCGGAACTAGCGGAACCTCGAATTGTTATAAGAATGAAGGCCTCGTTTACAAAATTCTAGAAAGAGGGAAGCAAAGGTTGGAACTTAAGGATCCGAAGTCGGCCTACGAAGCCCTAGTGCAATTATTTGAACGATGAGACCATATCAACGGATTATTGACAGCTTTTAGTTCCATACTCCATTTGTGGATATTTTAGTTTCCTGTTCGAAAAGCATGAAAATAAATGACAAACACCTTCTAGCCTATGGCCATTCACCAGACTGTATTGACAAGGAAGGTTATTTGAAAAAGCGAGGTGAACTTAACAAGGGGTTTCAACGTAGATGGTTCGTTTTGAAGGGTAATCTACTGTTTTACAGCGAAAAACGAGGTGAGAAGCCGGCTGGAGTTATTATCTTAGAGGACTGCAGTGTTGAAGTTTCCGATGAAGACTACTACTCGTTTACAATTTCGTTTTTTGGGGATGGGACTCGAGTTTATACATTGTCTGCAGACAGTGAAGATGAAATGATATCCTGGGTGAAACGGATAAAGGTTGCACCTTACGGGTATGCTGCGATGGTTGTAAAGGAACTGGAAAAGCAACTTGCAAAGCTTAAAAAACACGAAGAGGAGTTGCTGGAAAAACAAGCAGTGGAATCAGCTAAAAACTGCGAGAAAGACCCAGACTCAGATTTAATTGAATTTGAAGCAAAAGAATATGCGCAAATAGAAATGGCTGAAAGTTTGATTGATAAAACAGACCATGCTGTATATTCAAATGTAGAGGGAAGAAAGATTTCAAAGGGAAGCTCTAATAGAAACACAATAGCAATAGGAGGCCATCCCAAAAGTTTTAATAACTTGCTAACAGTTGCTGGAGCTGCAGCTAAGCTAAAAAACAATATAATTCCATCACTGGTGAGGTCAAAAAGCTCTGAAAATATTAACAAACTAGTTTCCAAGTCACCTACAACGAGCCCAGTTCCTCCTCGTCGAAAATTTCATCAAAGTATAATGCGGAAGAAAGCACATCATGTGAAAGTGGAACATAATGTCGAGGCAAATTTAGTAACAGCCCCAAGTGCCAAGACCACACAGACACTTCCAATTGCTCCAAAACCACCTTTAAAGAGCACCTTTTATATGTTACATAATCGATATGCAGCTATTGTCTGGACTGCTATTAAGGAATTCGAAAGTGGGACAGTTGAAGATCTGTTGAAATTTGATTGAGCTCATATTAAAAATGTTTGTTACTCTGTTTTATTGAAAGCACAAATTATTCAAATGTACATATAGAACAATAGAGATATCAATTTGAGTCCCCTTGATTATGGTTCCACAGACGTTATGCTCTGGGATACTTTCTTAAGTGATAAATCTCAATAATGACAATTTGTTTTTAACATTCTTTTTCATTGCACTTTATTAGATATATAACTAGGTGTACCATGAAGGAAAGTTATCAGAGTGTTTTAATAGTACCTAAAAATGTCTCCAATAGATAACTCATTTAAGGAAATTGCAAATTTAAAATTTTTAAGACAAATGATTTTAAGCAAACCTTAAAGTTAAATTACGTATTTGCTTCACATTCCCTGATTACTGCTAAAAATACCTTGCTCGATATTACAATTGTACAATTTACTATTAAATATCACAAGTTGCTCTTTAACAAACCTAACAGCTGGGATATTTTCCTTACAGTTTTTAAAATCTAAGTTCAGACTCACAAATGCCAAGCTTCAGTAGTAGACTGTTGATATGTATACTTGTTTTATATACAAAAAATTGCAGTAGTTTATCGCTTGCCCTTGAAATTTCCTGCAATATTAGGTAAATATGAAACCTTTCAAAATTTAACTGTTCAGTGCAAGCTAAAAATCCCATTTGTATATACTTTGGTATCTCCTAAGTTAAAGATATATTTTTAAACATTTCCTTTCAATCTTAGAAGCTTCTCTGGTAGTCTTGAAGTCCCTTTTTTAAACTTGTGGATAACCTTCGATAAGTTTTGGTAGAAGGCCAACTAGTATAAGTCAACTTTCGGAATTCGTAGTTCACATCCAAATTCCATATCAACAGAAGTTTTTGTTACACTTTTTACAATCACAAAATTGTAAGCTACCAAAAAGCCTTTTGATGTAATGCCCATTATAGTAATATGCATTGTATACAGGTGCACTTTGTAAATTTCAAAGAAACATCTATAATGTAAAGCTTTAGGAATAGATATGTAATTTTGTTTAGGCCACTTTCTGTTGCAAGTTTAATGCCTTTTTTCATATAAAGTTAATAATATTGTTACTTTGTAATTTTAGTAAACCAGAAAATTTTGACAGTAGCAAGCTTATTGCCTCTATTTTTCATAAAATGATATAGTAATATAGTAAGTAATGGTATGTTTATTTTCCCTTGAACTTACTCTCCCCTGTATGCGATCAAAAACATTTATCAAAGCTACTTGCTACCCCCTCTTTTGCCAGTCCACTTCGTGCATGCCTCCTAACCCAGGAGCAGACACTTAGTCAAACATTGGGGGCAAGCCTTTTGTTTTGATAAGATGATGTCACATTGCCCCGACCATTGGGGCAACTGCCACCGCTCAGCCCTCCCCCCCCCCAAGATGTCCACCACTGTCCTTACCGTTACGTGAGCAATATCCGTTTTACAGAAGCTTTTAAAATTACATTATAAAATTGCTCCTGAAGCAATGCCTTATTATGAATATATAACTTGTTTTTCTTTTTAAGGCGTATTAGAAGAAAAATTAATTACCTTCAGCATTTTACAATAATTGCAATCAAAAGTACTTTTTCTTCCCTCGTATTTGATTTTCTGAGCCTTTCTGATGCACAAGTAGGAGTAAGTAAAAATAAAAAGACTGTAAAAATGGACTTAACTAAGCCTGAGTTTTTTTAAGAAAATTTTACTAGTTTGTTAATTTTAGTTAGATTGGATAAGTGTGAAATTAATTAGTTAATCGCTTTCTAACTTCAAGAGTATACTTATTTAGTAAAAATGAGACTCTAAATTAGCATTCAGTTTTTTAATTCTTTTGTTTTTTCAGTGTCAAAAGTCTCTTGAATGTTTTTTCTAAAATATCAAATGCTAAAGGGCTCTTTTTAGCAACAAAATGTTTTACATAGGATAACGTGAAATACAAAGCTACTAAGTGACAGGGCCTTTTCTTTCTACTCATATCGGCCAAATCAGTCTGAAATTGGTGCCTAATCGACGAAAATTCCCACCTCATCTTTGAAGGAACGGCTCTCCAGCAGTTTCTTAAGGGTTTTGGTCATCTTAGGTCACCTTAGTCTCCTACCAAGTGCTGTATAGTTAAGCAATAACTACGAGGGACTGCATATATCTCGTATGTACATGGCATGAATAGCACGATTTAAGCTATCAGATAGCTATAAAAGGCGTAGCTTCCGCAGGCTTCATTCCTTGGCCCCCCAAAGGGGCGTTGCCCCTATGACACGACAATGGTGGGTTCCACATCTTATTTTATTTTATATATTTTATTTTTAAATTATTTACCCAGGGTTGCAATTCAGTTTGAATAACTGTTTTACAATATACCCTGCAACTGAAAATAAAAATAACCGATCACAATAATCGTCTAAACCTATGAATATAAAAAATACCTAGAAATAAGAACTTGAATAAAAAGAAGAAAAATTAAAACCAGCTTTCCTTGAATATTTTCAATTATGAGCTTTGAGTTTGGCTTTAAATGACTGGATGGAAAGAGCTAACTTGATATCAGAATGGAGTTTGTTCCATGTATCAACTCCGCGGAAAGAAAACGAGTCTTGTTCTGTTCTCATTCGAGGTATCACTAGATCGCATTTCGTATTTCGTAAGACCCGATTGTGAACATCAGACAATCGGGAGAAGATCTGACAAAGGTTATCGGGATCAAGTCCATTTAGAGATTTATATACCATAGTAGATGTTTCCTTATGGACAAGCCTATTAACTGAGAGCCATCCTAATCTTTGCAACAATGGAGCAGCCGATTAATCAAAAGGGCTGCCCGTGACAATTCTTGCAGCTCTGTTCTGCAATTTTTTGCAAGGTATTCTGTTTAGTATCGCCACTGTATCCCCATATTGAGCAACAATAGCTGAGGTGGGCTCGACGAAACTTAGATACATGTTCCTTCACGTCTCTTCTTGTACAAATTGTTTGGCATATTTCCAAAGCCCAAGGGCTACTGAGATTTTCTTTTAAAGGCGCTTTGCCTGGCTTCCCCATTTCAAATTTTTGTCGATCATGACACCAAGATATTCAGTTTCATGCACAAGTTCGATATCGTTCTTGTTAACGTGGAAGCAAGGGGTGATTACTGATGTTTTGTTTATCTGCCCCAGCTTTTGGGCTGAACCAGTTATCATGGCTTGTGTTTTGACGATATTCAAGGAAAGCTTATTGACCTGCAACCGTTTCTCGAGGCAGGCAAGTTGTGCATTGACAACAACGTCAATTTCTTCGATTTTAGCCAAAGAGTGGGAGTTTGCTGTATCGTCGGCGTACATAGTAACGAGTGCCTTTCTTAAAGCGAAAGGTAGATCATTTATATAAAGCAAAAATAAGAGAGGTCCAAGGCAAGATCCTTGTGGTACCCAATACTAATTTCTGCTGATCCCACCCCGCTTACCCATTTCAACAACTCATGATACGCCACTGTCATCCCAAACCTTATCCCCGCTTTCAACGAGCCTATCTTTTGTCATATGCTGTGTTAATAACATATTCATAAGTATTCAAGATAATATGTGAATTTTTTCATCAAACGCCACATGCTCATTTGACATCAGATGACTGATAGGAGAAGCCTAACAGAAAAAGATGTGCTAGGACTGATATTTCATCTGTGACATACATATTGCCGAAATGTCCCCGAAACTACATAAGTATGCAAGAAAAGGAAACAAGAAAAAGTTGCTTAAGGCTTTACGGCGTTGTTCTGACGTGGATCATATGGACGAAGATGGCAAGACTGCATTATATTATGCTATGAGTGAAGGCCATCTCAAATGTGTAGATATTCTTATCGAACACGGGGCAGATCCTTCAAGGTAGGGGAGCAAACAATAAGGTAAACTTTTCACAATGCATTGACAATGCAATGCTTTTCACAATACAATGCATTGCTCGAAAATCATATGCTGTAGTTTTAATGAAATATTTATATACTGCAATTTTGAGCTCCTATTTTCAAAACGTACGTAGATGTCAGTGCCCGTGCTGCAAAGGGAGACGGATCATGGGGGCATGCCTCCTACCCTTTTATTAAATGAAAGACTTGAATTAACACAATTTCATATGGATAAAAGAGTATATTACAACAAATACATTGAACAAAAATCTACAAGTAAAAGTGCGTCAGCAAAAATTTTACACGAATGGGGGCTAGGAGGTGAAAGAAAATTTCAGCATTGCTGTTCCTTCCAGTCTAGAATCTGGGGTACAGGTCCAGAATTTCTACATGATAATCCTTTATTCTTAAAATCTTCAAATCAATGAATTTTCCGGACTTTCCAAAACAGCTCGGTTTCTTTTCTAGAGTTTCAGACATCGCGAAGACCCGCCCCGAGCTTAAGACTTCGAACAACAGCTTCTTTTCCCTGGCCTTTTCTCAGAATGGGAAAAGCAACAGTTTTATCTCAATCGACAGAGTAGTGTCAACAAACAGAGAATTCCTACCCAACATCTCTGCGAAGGAGCTGAGGACGCTCGGGAGCACCCAGGCTGCTTGCGGTGGATGGATGGTCTATTCAGACGCTTGCTGGTCGGATTTTCCAGTAACAATCAAACACGCTAATATGCTACAACACAGTGAGAGAAAAAATACTCAATTAATGCAGAAGAGGCTGTTGGAAAACGAGGCCTGTACTTTAAGGTACATTAGCATATTAGCTGTTGATCTACAATCAAAATTAAAGAAAAACAAAGCTCGTGTTTTGGTTTGATTCATTTCCAGTGAGAGAAACTAGGGAGATGGCAGACTCATTTTGAGGACATCTTGATTTTGTTTTGCCCGTCAGACTTTCTTGATGTCACAGTTTTTTCTGTATTTTTAAGTGCATAACCTTTTTGGATTCACCTCGGTATAGAGACTGGAGTGCTATACAGATCAGAATCCAGGCTAGAAAAACACGCAAACACTGAAATTATTTTTTTGTGTCTATATCGACAGCTAAACATATTTTATCTTCTCAAACAGTACGCTCTTTTGCTTCTTCAGCAATGCTTAGCAATTGCAGTACTTGATTAACAGCGTTGCAATTATACAATGTGCAATAGTACCCACCCCCTCCCCTCACCCAAAGAAAATACAAGCTTATCAGAGCCTTGTCAAGTCTTAGATAGAAACCCTAGAAATCCTCAGTATAAAAGTTGTGAAATGGCTTAATTTTTTGTTTTCTTAGTAATTGTATACAGATGTGTAGCGTTTTTAAGAAGGCGCTACACATCTGCAAATCTACCACGATCTAAAGTTTTTAAATAATTTATTTATTCTTGAATTCATAGCACCGTAGAAGATTAACCATCAGATTTTCTAGAATCTTTAAAATCAATTCACCGGTTCTTAATTCCCTCTTACTCAAATAAAGCATCGAAAACGTCCAAATTTTCCAATCTTTTCTCTGCCTCCTTTATAGTTGGAAGTTAAGTTTCAAAAAACTTAGAAATCTCCTCTTTTGACACTGCTTTTCATGCATTACCACAGGTACAAAAGTTGAAATTTAAATCAAATAAGAATTGGTTGCATAAAAGTCTTCCTACTTAAACAATTATATCTATTGAACAGAGATCTGCACCACCCAAATGTGATTAAGCTGATAGCAACATGCAAAACTGACATTGGACCTCCAACTCTTGTATTCGACAAAGTGTCACACCAAAATTTGGCTCTAACTATCAGCACTTTAGAAAACTGTTCTAAACATCGGATTATATGTTCTGCGCTGTATCAAGTCATGCTAGCTTTGGAATACACTCACATTAATTCTATTGTTCACAACTACGTGAATGCAAGAAGTGTATACCGTTGCGGTGATATCAAGTTTGTCCTAGCTGACTTTCAGTATGCCCAAAGAATGACAGACAAGCTAGAACCGATTTCTTCCAACGTCTCTCAACTCCCTTGGATGGCTCCCGCCCAGTCAGATGGGGCAGATCCTGAGCCGAGCTCTGATATATACAGGTATGTACTTTAGCAAATTGCCTTTTCATTTGTTAGCGACAAAATTTAAAAAGAAAGATTGCATTGTCGAAGAGAAACGCTGGCACCGAGCTCTGGATCTGACATATGAATACTAGCAACAACTTATCCACTGTCTGTATTGATTGGCCTAAGTGAAAACTTTTGTGGAGATGTGAGAGAACTGGAACTTAGTTATTGCATCACTTGTTAATAGAGAATGGGAAACAACACGGGAGGAAGTGACAGTAGTAGAAATTGAGACAAGAAATAGAAGAAGTGCTTATGCATAAAAGATCCATGAGAGAAACGTGATAAAATTCAAATAGAGACAGGATTGATGACAATGAAAATCTGCATTTTTGTGCCTCTTTTGGTATACTCTCGAGTAGTTTGTATCTCTGGTTTCAGGTGGCTCGTCGTACTTGCAATTTATCATACCATTTGTGGAAATTTGTTGATTTTAATCAAGAAAGAGAGCCAACAACATCCTTATTCCATTTTCTATTTCAAACAACCGTACTGCAACCAACGACGATCGAAGTTGCAGTTGCCTCTCTCCCACTTCTATAATCTACGATATGCTTCGCAAAATGGAACAGAGTTACTGGGCTTAATCACTTTGACCTGCTTCTATGCAAATTTTGTTATTTCATCCTACTGCAAGTAAGCAAAACGTAAGGGAACGCAAGGGAAAATAGCCCATCAGCCTCTTCTTCATAGAAACTTCGGATTAAACATGCTGTTTAGGGCGTACACATCTGCTCCTATACACAACCTAGAGGATTTATGGAATAAATCTTCAGAGAAAACTTTGGTAAAAACTAACTAAGCTTATTTTCTTATGTGGATATTCACGATTGGGCATAAATTTTTTATCTACAGTACAAACATACATATACATTGCATAATCCACAAAATTGTGAAATTGAAATTATCATACGCCGTATCGATTGAGTTTCAAATAGACAAGAGCGGATGAAATAATTGCCTATGCATTTGGTCAACGTTGCAATGAAAATATCTTTCAACTCACGTAGTTGCTACTGCAAGCGTTGTGAATTAAGGTCTCTCTTTGACAATTAGTTTGATATAACTAAAGTACCATTGCAAAACGTAAATATAGTCAACTGTTTCTGGATGCCCAAAAAGGTGTACTTGAAAACGTGAGTACCCTTGCCATACGCGTCTGCCAACAGGGTCTCATTTTCGGCTACAATTCTGAGGTAGGATTATGTGTCTTTACCTTAGCACAGATAGACCCATTAAATATACTTTTTCAAGGACCGGTCGAATTTTTTGAGAAGCTTAAACTTAATCTTTATAGTTTGAACTTGAAATTCAAAAATATGATTAATTGACAAAAAGCATTATCAGTAAAACTGCTTTTACCAAATAATCGGTAGACATTATTCCAGGAGAGATATCATATTTTCAGAAATTTGTTCCAGGAAGGATCAACAGATTTATTCCAGGAGTCACATTCCCTTTGATTTTCTCCAAATTAGTCCCTTTCTTGAATGCTCGTATTTTTGGTAGTAACTTTTTCTATTCAAAAATACCGTTTCGTTATTTTCAGTTTTGGCGCCCTCGCGTGGGAAGTTCTCGCAAGAAAACCCCCATTGCACTGGAATCAATCAAAAAGCAATCTGAAAGAGGATACCATGTTTACATTTCCAGTGCAGCCCGAATGGAGCCTAACTCTTCGAAACATAATCTCTTTTTGCCTACTACCATTCGCTGATATGAGACCAGACCATAACGTATTGCTTGGTATGCTACGGAATGAAATGACGTCACTTGAACAGGGGGGCATTGGCGATTCAATGAAGCAAACTGATGGAAGGGGTGACGAACACAAAATTGAAACAGACAGCCAGAGTAAAACGTTCGTAGCAGTTAGGCTTTCGGATCTTTACCACGAAGACTTGTCCAGGCTGAAGCGTAATGTATGATACTGACAACATTTTATTATATTTTTTCTTTACGGACTGGGAGAAAGAACCTAGACAATAAGACTGTTGTTGAGCTCCTGTTGTGGCTAGCAAACGACGTAATCTGTTTATATGCTCACCTGTCTTGAGTGATCATAAATAAAAATCAAGTTTAAATTTCGAGTTGAACTTTTAGATTTCGAGTTCAAGGACATTATTCTTATACTTTAGGCGGTTTAAAAATACCCCTGTCAAACTTTCTATTACTGCTTCTTTTTGTTTCATACATTTGTTTACATTTCGAGTTAACTTTACATCTAACGACTTCAAAATTAACGGATACATGCATTTGAAAGTGAAATATGCGACTGATCAGCGATGGAAGGACACTTCGAATCTGGGGTTCTTTTAAGCTAAATACAGCTTTTAATATACTGAAGTATTTTGAAGGATTAGAATATTGTAAACAGATGGCATTCAGAAAGAAGAATGATTTGCTATTGAACGCAATGACGGGAACACGAGAAATAAAGGCAAGATTTGCGTCTTTTTTTCTTCTTGTTTATATCAGGAGTTATGTCTTGCTTTTATTGGCATCCGCTAGAAGAACTTTCCAACAATGTCTTTTCTCTAATTCCGTCGCCTGATAATCGCATTAAGCGTGAAACCTGAGTGTAGCAACTTATAACCGTCCTGCTCTATACACCATATAGCGAATTCCCCAATTCAAGTCTATGATTTTCAGTGCCGCAACTTTAATTGTTCATCTTAACATTCACACAGCTATATTCGTGCAACCTTACGATTTCCAAAGCTCAAGAAATCCTTAACATTGCGGACAAGCACGACAGAAAAAGCTGGGCGATGCATTCTTTGATTGCAAGAGAGCTGGCGAAGATTGCGTATGACCGACAGTTGCCTCAAGAGAGAAAAAACATAGCAAAGGAACTGCTTAACAGTGAGTCAAAAGACATAGAAACCTGCTTTTCAAAACCGATCGGGGCTGTAAATTTTCCTTGGGAATCTGAAGCAGATGAAAGTAAAAACATTTGCAACATGATCTGTAAGCAAAAATCGTGTTAAACTTTTTAAATTCAGACCAGATTTTTCAAGCAAACAGAAGAAATTCTCAAAGATTAGCTTCAGGGAAAGAGGGGATGAAGAATGAAAAAATAAATTCTGTTTTGTCGTTTTCTTGTTAACTTTACTTTGGATGAGAAATGACTCTTTCACAATAACTTAAATCTGGTTTTATGGAGATGCAGTTCACAGAAGCTACCCTAAAAAGGGATTTCGTAAAATTTCCAAATTTATGTCACTAAATCAAAGAAATATTACATCTCATTTTGTTTCATGATAGATTTTGTAGTGTTGCCTTGAAACCAATATGATATAGTAAAGAAAATGAAAGAAATAATTCTTTTAAAAAAATTGTTTATAAAAGAAATAATTCTTTATAAAAGAAATGATTTTTATAACTATCACTGGGGGATATAATTGATAACAACTTACAGGTTCAAAATAAATCATTTGAACAAAATGATTATATCTTATTTGAATATCCTGAATATTTTTTATGAATTTAAACTCATCTTGTATGTTGGTTGTGTGTGAAGAAATAAGGTAGGTTCTAGTTCTTTGTAATAGTCAACATTTTAAGGAATTTTTCACACAAGTTTCAGAACCAACATTGTATGCGAGTATTATGGACCAAAAATCTTTCGAAAAGCAGCCTTGATTGTTAAAATGTTTAGAAAAAAGCTTATGTTTACTTTATGTATTCAGCCAAGCATTAGATGCATTCTTGACTTGAACGGGAATTTCTTTCAACAAGAAGCAATAGTAGGATAGAGTTTATGTCTTAAAATGTTTGCTTTTTTCACAGCCAGTTTTAAATCACTATCTCTCTTTTATATATCTCCATATAGATTCATATACTGCTTTCTGACTATTTTTAGAGTTCCGATATCCTTTGCGAGACAGTGACTTTGTTAATGGAATAAGAAGCACTGGAAATCCTGTGAAACAGAAAAAAACAGAAGGGAGTAAGCACTCTAGCATTCCGGGTGAAGTTGAGCGTCTTGCGGAACTAGCCTCGCAGCACCAACGGAAGCAATGGTCAAAATTGATGACTCGTTTGAGGACCTCCTCAATAGAGGAAAAACTTGTTTCTGATATTATCATGAAGGATTGATTGAATTAGTATATATACATCGAGCATTTTTAAGCTTAGAAACTACGGCGACTTGTCCCCCTGCAACTGAGTTCCATCGGCATGTTTTCAATTTTGATACTGAACGTTCAACGTTATTATTATGTAGAGTTTATTTATTGCTTTCATCACGCCAAGCTGTTTTCAGTCTACTGCATGTGTCTTCGCTGCTTGAAGAAATGTCTTTATCTTGGTCTAAAGTAATTATTCTCTTGTATCTAGAAAAATTTCAACTGATCCCACAGTTGTGGTCTTTCTTCCGCCAGCTTGAAAAGTCTTTGATCCAACCGACTGGAACAAACACAAGTTCATGTTGGGGTATAAATAGCAACCCGTAAAAAAGAGCGTCTTGAATTCTTTAAAGAAATTTAAACTCTTCCACTTTTCCAATTATCCCGTGTACTGTCCGTCAAAGCCGGATCATTTAGTGGAAGATATCCCTTTGCCAATTGGCATTTCGTCGACCATAGTGATTTGTCCGTTTTCTTGTTTACGGTTTTCTGGTGTTTCCGGAGCGACTCTTACCCGCCTTAGCCGGTCACAGCTCACGATTTTGTGCGCAAACCTGAATAAAGACCTGAATCGACAGCAGTAAATGATGAATCTTGTGTTTAGGTCGATATAATGCAGAATGTTCAGGTACTCCCAAACGGCTGTACACGTGTACGTGTCACATTTAGCGAGTTGTTGTATGAGGAAGTAACATATCAGTGGCAGAAGCCCAATACCGAACATGCATAACAGAAGAATAAGAGACTTGAGCGATTTGTAATGGTCATAGATCTTGCGGGTCCTTGAATTCGTTTCCCGTCTTTGCTCCCGGTCCTGTTTCTGATGGGCCTTGCTGAGTATCATCAGGTACAAATTGCTGGCAAATATGATCACGAAGCAGACTAGCACAAGCAATGCTTCTGTGACGTCCAAGACAGCCTTAACAGGCTGGCATGTACCTCCAGGAAAGTACTCACTCTTAACTGCCCAGTTCGAAGCACCAATGCCAAGAGAGACAGCCCATATTACTCCGAGCAAGGTAAACGTGCCATATGGCGTGAAAAGATTGTTGTATTTGAGATGCAATGCACAGGCAAGAACTTTATCGACAGATAGGCTGATGAGAGTAAATACACTGACAAAACGTTTGGTATCGAAAAAAAACCTATAGGCATTACGTGTATGTGTGAGGTGAGAGCCAGCCAGGTCAGGGTAATGCCTGATCACGATTATCAGTGGAAATGCCGTTATGGAGAGCATAATATCAGAAATCGTTAGGTTTGCGATGAACCTGAAGGTACTTATCTTCCGAAGCTCCGGAGTGGCATGAATGGCTCTTAATACTATGGCACTTCCAATAAAATTTATTGGTGATAGAATTACTGAGAGTATGACTTGCAAATCATCTATGTCTTGACAGAATCTGTGTACGCTGAGCGATCGGTTCGTAATGCTCATCCTGGCACCCTTTTAAAGCAGCTCCTTCCCCAAAGGCTTCAACTTAATCAAGCCAAAAAATCTCTTTCAAATGATGCTGTTTTTTGGATGCTCTTTGGTACAAAACTGTGCTCTTGAAATCTGCGGACAAACTTGTACATCCTCTCTTCCGCAGCTTCTACCAGTAAGTGAAAACCAACAGAGAGTTTGAAAATCTGTGAGGGCGTCAGAGTCTTTCCTTACCAAATCTCTCTTAATTGGGAGTTTTTCAAACGATGCGAGACCTGAAATGAGCTTTTTCACTCGTTCTATAGTGGATAAGTAATCTCTTGGCATTGGTCGGGAGACTATTGTGGCGGCTTTGGCAAAATAAACACATGTCTTGCGAGAGAAATTGATGGAAATCCTCCAATCTTGTCCCTACAGCAATTACTTATTTAAAGACATCTGGCACGATTCGGAGCTTTTTCCCTAGCACTTCCATCTGCTCCACAGTTGCCATGGTGAATCCGGCCAAGTACCGATAACCGTAAAGAATATATTTCTCTTAATCGTTTCACACAACAGCAAAGAAAGAATCGGCCTTCTTTTAGGTCTTTTAACTATCGCGCCATTACACTTCTCCGCGAGCCTATGGAAATACCTATAATTATCATTTTTTATGTTCCCAACGGCAAGTATTGCACTGCACGTTGCTTGCGTACTTTGAAGAATGAAATTCAGCTAGAATTCATGTTTTTGTTTAATGTTTCAAGCCTTGGTAATAGATTATATATCCATTTATCTGCATTGCTTTAGGCGTAGTGGTTTCAAAACGAATAGCTCCTATGTTTCTGCGCACCTTGGCTATCGCACCTGTAAACTCATTGGGCAATTCAGTTCAATTTATATTGTAAATTATCATGTTTATTTGTTTCTGCCTAGCATTCTAAGATCAATTCAAGGGCATACCTCCATCAAACAGAGAGCAGGTTCTTTCTCGTGATTCCAGTGCTATTCCATTTCTCTCATACAGTCAAAGAATAGGATTGCCCCTATTTCAGTCATCTCTAGAAGCTACTGGGGCCTCGGACTTCGCTCCTTCTTACTGAACTATCACAGCCATTTATGATTTGTGTCACAGATACGATAACGGGAGCAACAGTGGGGACCACTTCTATAGGCTTCTATGTCGAAAAATCTTTAAATGGTACATTCTACTTGTGACACCACAAGCGACACGTTTTACTTGCGTCGATTCCGTGTAGATTTCGAAAATATTATAGTGGAATATCACTATTCTCACGAAAACACATACTCCTTTGCTTAATTTGCAAGTAAAACAGATTTTGAAATTGTTTCCAAGTACAATGCATGAGTTGGTTGATTCTGTCAGAATGCATGACTTTACATTCTATGTCCTTTATTGGGACAATGATCTACTAGAGAGTCTTTATCAAAACCAATCCTTTGGAATCCCCCCCCTCCCCAGCATGCAGTTCAGTACAATCTAATATTTCCCAGGCCCCTTAAAACAACAGCGACATCACACGATGTGGAATATGGTTGCAGATAGCAATATAAATATACAGTAGCTTAAATAAAAACCCCCAATGTAGCAGAAATACCAAGCAGATGGATGGATGCTCGCTCAAATATTTCAAGTATTTTTCGCTTTTCACGAAAAATTTTTAATTCAAGAAGTAGGCTTTTGTGGGCTGAATAATGTCTTTACCACCCTTGAAATTAAATATAGTTAAACGACTGACAAGTAACTATATAAGATGTTTACTCTGTCATGTGTCATGAGACTGACTGTATCTTGCAGTGATGCATCTTTCGTTGCAGTAATAATGCATGGCAATACAATACTAGATAGAGGATACTCCTGCTGCTTGCTGGGGCATCACGCAGCTGTTTCCTGAAAAACTATCATAGAAAGCGTTGACGAGTTAATAAGATCTTACAATAAAGATTTTATTCAGAGTATTTTGTGCAAACTTCTACGTAGGCATGGCTTCTGCTAATGCATCAGTATAAAAGTGAAATTTCCAAAAATGTGTCCCTCAAAGGTTCATAACCCTTTGAGCATCATTCTTGTTTCATTCTGTCAATAAAGCTTTTCACGGCGATGTAAAGCTAAGGCGAACATGATGAATAGAGCAGAAATTCGTGAAGGGCAGAAAATTTTCTGCTGTTGATAAAGAAAGATTCAATCCAGAAGCTCATTTGCACCGTTTAACGGAACTTTGTCAAAGCACATCAGTTCTCCTTTAAAGGATTAAAAATATCATTTTCTCAGATTCCTTTGATGTCAGAGATGTTTCTTCAAGTCGGACAAAAAAAGTATGCAGTTTACATTCAACAGCTATAGTATACTTTAGACAATCAGAATGTAGAGTTTTGCATAATGTAGCAAAGGACCTTGCAATACTGGTCAAGTCTGTGCCACAATTAAAAAACCAAAACAAGAGTATCGATGCTAAGCTTTTGAATAAGGTACAATGCCTGTCAAAAGTCTTGGAACACTGACATCAGTTTGCAAAGTCAAGATCAACATGCCCCTCTCCCAACGGATCCATGTTCTAGGGGTAAGGGGCGGGAGTAGTAATTTTTGATATAAAAATGAAAGATATAAAATGCAACACAATTTGCTGGGTGTTCCAACTACATTTCGCAGTCATTGTAGCTTAAAAATTTTGATTAGGTCTAACTGAAAATGCTTGAATTATGGAGCAAAAATTACCAGACGGATAGATGTAAAATTTCTCCAGTGAGTAATGTTAGGAAAAGGCTCAGAAGCATTTAGAAAAGTCAAGAATTATAGGAGTATAGCAAGCAAGAAGAGGGTAGAGTGGTTCGAAATTTACAAAATTTTGGGAGAGAGATTTGTTGTGGGACCAACTTCATGTGAATTTGGCAAAGAGACTAGGAAAGTAAGTTTGGTACTTTGCATGTGTCTCACTGGCCCCAAGATCAGATCTCAGATCTCCAGGAAGCAATGTACATGGCACAATCAAAGTAATCCCAAAGAAGCTTGCATACAAGAATCTACAAGCACATTGTGGCAACTTCCATGATGCAACAGTTAGATTTATTCTTAAACATTTTTCGTCAGTTAGATTTATTCTTAAACATTTTCTGTCAGTTAGGTTTATCCTGAGCGTAATTAGATAATATAGTTTTTAGAATTATTGATTAACTAACTCTTGATTTGAAGCCAATACCCCTTTCAGCCCACAATTGAAAAACAAGCAAAGGCTAGAAAAGGTTCCTGTGCAAGCTTACGACAAAGCAGACTAGAAATAAGCAGCTAACCAGGAATGGTTATTCAACTTAACATGTTCAACAGTTCTTACGGGAAGTCATAAAAGGAATATATCTCTACAATTTTTTTACTTCTAACCACAAAACCTAAAAGAACAGCAAGAAGTGCCGCTAAACATGTCGGAAATTTAATGCCATATGCTTATATTTCATAATGTTTTTCTGGTTATTTGGTCAAAATTAAAAAATGATTAAAACATGTTTTATGATATCATCACTGAGTGCTATTGCCTTCACACCTTTACATCCACAATGTGACTATAATACCTTTTATATATTTATACAATATTAATATAATAAAGAACTTTTACGTGACACCAATAAACACTTCTCACCTTTGCGCTGTAGGTAAGATTAAAACAAAATGTTAGTCAACTAAGATTTCATACCAATATTGAGAATGTAACTACAGCAGTTGGCCTTGGCTACTTCTGCATCATAAACTGTTCTATGAATTCATTTTGTTCAGCTTCTTGCTTTTGAAGAAAGTCCAGTTGAATTCTAAATCTAAAATGAGAACCTTTTATTAAACAACTATTTTCTCTCCTCAAAACACAATGATTTGTTACAGCTCAATAGTAAGGATTTTAAATAGTACTGCAACCTAATTAAATTGCTTTTTACTAGTCTATTTTATAGCACTTGATGCTGTAGAAGCGAGCTGTTCAGAACAGTTTCATGTTACTTCACATTAAGCCTAGAACTTTGCGCTGCAACTTGAAACTATCCTGTGTTCTATATGTATGCCAACATAGTGTTTTAACCTATACTTACTCAAAGAAAAATAATGTTTTTAGTAATATATCATAAAAATTTCAAATTTCCTGTATTTTTAATGTCTTCTTAAATATCTTTCAACCCTTTTCTTTAAAATGATGCTAAATTTTTATTGTAACTGATGCAAAGGAACAACAAAGTGAAGAGGCAAGAGACAAATTCCCCATATTACATTTGCTACAGACAAACTGATGCCTTATGAGCCTGCTAAATTGTAAAACATGAAGTTATGTACAAACCAGACCAAAGCCTAACACGCTTAAAACATACATAAAGAGCATTTAACAAAGATTTCTTCTCCGATACTGAAAAGCTTGAATTTATTTGAGCTTAATAATAAACATTCTTTAGTGCTGTATTTGTCACAGGCACCAAAAAATTATTCTACAATACCTTTCCATCTGTGTATGCTTTTCAGCTATCAAAGCTCTAAGCTGTTGTTGCTGCGCCTCTCTTTGCTTTGTCATTGACTCAAGCTGGTTTCGCATTCCAATTGTCTAGATAAGTTTACAAAATAGATAGGTAATTGTTAAGTAATTGTTAGAAATGTTTAATAACTGACCAGGCAAAGTAGCCTATTGCTCAAGATTTATTGTATTTTTCATACTCTTAAAGAATTCTTTGTATGTATAAACATGTAATTTTAACAGATCTGATTGATCAGAACAACATGAATTGTGTTTGACATCTGAAACTGTGAGACATTAGAAAAAACAAAGAGTAAAACAGTTAGTGTATGCCCTATGACTATCAGTTTCAATTATGTTTAATGCTCTTAAACTTTATTGTATCATTTCTTCTTTATTGGACTCACTTTCATTTTCTCACTTTCAACTTCTTTTGCAAGAGAGTCGACCATTTCTAAGAATCCACCAACAATCTTTTGGAAATCATCAATTTCTAGAAATAAATTTTTAAAGATGTGTGAAATGATGTTAAAAAGCAACAAAATCTTATCCTGTAATTAAGACAATTAAATCAAATAATCTCAATACAATAACCATTTAATTTGGTTAGATTGAAAATATTTATACCCTGTTTGCAAATATCAAGAACAGAAGAAAAATCTCTTTGTAAGCATTTTTTCAGTAGCATCTGCATCATAAAATTTGCTACAACTTTTCTATAATAATAAATACTTCCCATAAAAGAGGCAGTCTTGGAGCAGGGCCTGAAGATTCAATTTATAAATGTTCATATTAATTCATTACATAACTTTGAGTCTTTTGCTTAACTGTTTAGTGTTTGGTGATGTAACTATAAGTATCTTTTAAAAAAAATGAAATGTCCTCTTTAACAGAATATCTAGGAAAATTTCAATCAATTTGAGCTTGCCTGTGGAAACCATGCAGCTCATTCCAGAGATATCTGGCATGGACAAAAGATCTCCCATTATATTCCTATTTTACATTCCTATATCCATTGTGTGCTTTACATCAGGAATTTACTGCTGTTTAAATTCTTTATTACCTTAGTTAAGTTACCCTTTCTGTTATCAGATCAAAACCAATAGCTTGTTTCGTTCTTTAGTTCTTTCCTTATGCCGACCATCTTAGAGTTACATCAATCAAACAGAAATTAAGTACATCGCAACTAACTTTCCTATGTTATGTTTTGAGTTTGATGGACTGCAAGATTTCTGAATCTCAGTATCTAGAACAATTACAGTTTTTAATTTTTGAGATGTTACTAAAATAGAGAAGTTCGGCGATCTTTTCAAACAATAATCTTGTCTTGATGAAAGCCTCACCGTATATCATTAAAAAATATATAACAACAATTATTGTCGGACTCACGGTAGGTAGGGTAAATTAGCTCTCGGGTTTTGGATCCCTAATTATTCTACAGCCTCCACTATATTAATACAAAACCTTTCACTTACTTTCAACAAATTCTTTACATTCTCCTCTAAGTTCCTGTGTCTGTTGGCTGATTTCAGGCTCCAAAACCCTGACTTTCGAGAGTTCGTCGAAGAAAATTCCGTTTGGTGGATCCGCCATAATACACTCCTGCTTGGCTACCGGACAGCAACAACATAAATATGGTATTCCCCCGCAGAGGCATCCTGTGGCGTCGCAATTGTCCCAATCATTCTTTTCATTATGAACGTGTTCTCAATAATTGACTCTATTTTGGCGATTCTTTCAGTTAAGTTAGCATTTTATTGTCTGTTTAAAAGAGTAATTTGATAGCCAATATTAGCAAGTTAAAGTCCAGATAGTCAGAATAGCCAGCACGGCGAAAAAAGACATATTTATGTCTCGACATGTTCATTTTAACCAGCTTTAATCAAAATTCGGCATTATCAGTAAGGTAATTCATTTAAATCAAAGTTAAAGCAATTTATTCAATAAAATACTGTTTAAATAAATAAGTCTTCAAACCATTAATACACGTTTCTAAATAATCACATGCTCCAAGTGAGTAGGGGAGTCTGCTATCCAAAGGAAAGGAGCAACGTTTGTAAATACACGATTACCAGCCCTAACTAATTTGGTCTTTCTTACATCTTATAAATATAATTCTTACTTTTATACTTACGGAATTTCAATAATTTTTTAATATAAATCGGTGCTAGATCTTTTGAACACTTAAAGGTTAACATGAGTGTATTGTATTTTATTCTGCTTGTAATAGGCAACCAATAAAGTCTCTTCAATACTGTTGTTATGTGGAAACGTCTGTGTTCACCTGTTAACATTATTGCAGCAGCGTTCTGGATCTTTTATAGGTTTTGAATTCACGCGATGGCAATCCATATGCCAAAGAATTGTTACAGTCAAGCCTTGACAGGACAAAGGCGTGAATGGCTTTCTTTGCAATCTTGTTGGTAAGGTATATTTGAGCAAGACTCTGATTTGCATTGTAACAATTAATAACAATTAATTAACTCACATTTCAGTTTTGTCCCCATTAAGGTTAAGCCTGTTTATGAGCATCCATGTTTTACCTTCTTTGATAAAACGCTTAAATTCTTGATATGGAGGTGGATGTTGAATCATTTGATGTAAATGGCATGCAAAATTGAGCATCATCAGCGTGGATGTGAAATTATAGTTGATGTGATATTGGAACAACAATGGTCCCAATATTGAACCTTGAGGAGCACCACATGACAGGTTCATTTTCTTTGAAGTAACTTTTTTCACTTTAAACTTTTGCAAACGATCACTTAGATAAGACTCTGACCATTTCAACTCATCTCCCAATATGCTGCATTTTTAATTTCAAGTCGTTTTAAGAGCAAACGATGATTTACAGTATCAAGAGCAGCCGACAGGTCAAAAAATACATAATGAAAAATATGAAAGCATTCGATGTAAAAAAATTACAAAACATGAGCGTCTCTTAAAAGGTTCAAATTCTAGACAAAGATACAGTTTATTGTACAGCAACATTTGAGTTGGTGGATTGTATGTGTTATAGAAAGGGGTGCAAAATATACAGTAGGTAACATGAAATATGGTATTTTTATGGGATCAAAATTCCAAAAATACAATCGATGTAACCAAAGGTGCGCACTGAGTGTTGCAATTTGAAGGCTTGAATTTTCCAAGTCCAATCGCTGGTGAGCCTGTGATAAATCCAACATTGGGAAATATTTTGCACCATTACGTTTAAAACTTGCATCGCTAACATTTGGTGTCATGAATGGATATGTTCCCTGAACTGTTTTTTGTGCTTTTCCACGGTCCACAATTCTTTACCACTAAATTTCAATAAGAGGCGGCTTGCGGTCGCAATGTGCAAGTAACTTTAAGCTTCATAGCCTGGTTTGCGGTTCTATCATCTACGCAAATTCTTCCTGCACTGTTCTTTTGGGCTCTACTACAAACGGGTGGAACGGAAAGTGTTATCTAGTACCTTTTCTATTATATCTTTCTTTCCAGCTGTTAACCTTATGTCGCCTGCAAAAAAGAATTCAGCACTGCTGGTGTGCTTGCGATGAGATGGATTCATCGATATTCAAAATCACATTCTCACTTTTATTTCTCAATATTCTCGAAAACATTTGCATACTTGTTGAGCATCCTAGTGAGATTTGCAATTAATCCACGTTCGTGTGCCATTGCCAGACCAGACATAAGAGATTCCGAACTTCATCGACTATTTCGACCAAAGTCACGCCAAGTATTTATTGAAATCCGCTTTGTTACAGCCCTGTGTACCAAAGGGGAAGCCAAACAACTTTTTCGGAGGGGTAAAGAAATGAAATTTGCTGACAAAAAAGGGCGTGTCTCACTCTTAAGGGTATTATCATAAAATAAATAACCCTAACCCTAACCCTAACCCTAACCCTAACCCTAACCCTAACCCTAACCCTAACCCTAACCCTGACCCTGACCCTAACCCTGACCCTGACCCTAACCCTAGGGCCCTGCAGATGTTTTTGGTCCCGGGCCCCGCAGTCCCTAAAACCGCCACTGCCGGAGTGTCACTCTAAGCGGAGCTAAATTAAATCGGAGTGTCACTGCAAGCGGATTCGACTGTAGTGCTTAATTGCTCAATTGGAATATGTTGCTTTGAAGATAACATTAGTAAAGACTCTTGTATCTGGACACAAGCCATTCAACATTATCGGTATCAACTCAAGGTAAAATAGTTTGTGTTGCGATTAATAAAAGCAATTATTGAAAAGGCATTCACTGTTGTTTAAGCAACAAGACGACAAATTATTGCGATTTAAATGTTGCGACTGCATTTCCCAAGCCCATCACTGCTACAATTCTCAGATATGGGACCAAAAAAACCTGTTCTTGACATTAGACTCAGGTCTAATCTTACGACTTTCCTATCAATTTTACTATGACAAAAGAGCAAATTCAATTGAAAGATGTTAGACATCTATAACTAGGAGTATTTGTAGTGGAGCTTAACTTAAGGTAACATTAGTTTCTTTTATTTCACAAAAACGTATCTTATATTTACCAGCTTTGATTTATGAATTTGCTGGTATTCGAAACCTATGAAGTATTCTTAAAGGTCTTATTGTGTACCGCTGGTCACAATTGATTACTATTTGACATACCAGCTCAAGCAGATACCAAGGCAGGAAAAAAGTGAATAAGACTTTCATGATTCCCGATGAAAATCATACAAGAATGAACGTACATACAATGAACGTACATTGAACGTACGTACATACATTGAACGAACGAAAATCATACAGGAGTAAGACAACATTAGACGTACAGGTATGTGTGGAGAGGGCAGTGTTCATAGATGTTCTTAATGGAAGAATTTGAACAGTTTCATGGCATTTGAAAGGGTTTTACTTATAATGAATGTCTCAGTATTTTAATCTATGCATTAGTACAACACTATAAAGTTCTCAGTTTCTGCAGAATCAGTTCCTTTGATTTAGTCTTCGAATACCATTAGAAAATCATGTAACAGTTACCCAGAAATACGTTAAGAATTTAAGGCACCCCATTTATCATAGACTTAAAACAATAAGAATTTCCCTAATTCAATAATTTCCAATTTCTACACAGTTTAACACTCAACTGTCAAAGATACTCGGAGAGGCCTCTTTTTCGCGGGGGATTGCAAGTAAATATGGCAGGGGACAGCAGAATTTTGCTCGGACTGACAGGGGATGGGTAAAATTTGCAATCATGTTGGTAGCGCTCGAGGCCAGATAAAAAGGGGTCAAATAGGTAAATCGGGGTCATAGATAGATTTGCTTATACTTCGTGCATTGTTATATCGTGCTAAAATTGGTATCCAAAATTGGCTGAGGATAAAAAATTTCAGCTGGCAGGGGGGGAAATGGAAATATGATCAGTTGATTCGATTATTCGAATAGGAACTCCTCAGTCTGGAAATTTCTCCCAGGGAACAGCTTTTACCGGGCTTGTTACACAGGGGCTATTTTAACATGAATCGAGCAATTAGATTGACACAATAGTGTGTAATCAGAGATGATGTTTTTCTGTGTTTTTCAATACACAAGGTTTCTGGAATGAAGCAAACAGACTAATAATTCTTTCATCCGCAAGGCAGCGTGATTGTTTTTGTCCTGGCAGCTTTCTGCTTGATTACCAGAATCAAAGTATGCATATTGCCGATGCCGAGTACCAGAAATAAGAATGCCACTGCAATGACCTGTGAATGGCAAAAGCATAAGGGTAATAGAAAAGTAAGGAGGGTACAAGCAGTTGCAAAAGTTGACACAGCATAGAGTTATTAAGTGATGACGTCACAATAATATATTTGTAAAAATTTTGACTTTTGATTCAATAACCTGAAAGATCATCATAAAATACTTCTAGACATGCCAAATCAGTTAGGGGTATGTCGAAATGTGATTGATGGCACATGAGCCCAGGCTTTAGCCCCATAAAACCTCTGTAATTTGGTTTTGGTTCATAACTTCATTCTTTGGCAAATTCCAAATTTATTACTGGCCATATCTCATCTGATTTTGGAAAAATTTAACTGATTATGCATATCATAGTATTTCATGTTATGGGTTCAAAATTCAAAAATTCTAAGAATATCCTTTTGTTACGTCATACTTAAGAACTCTTTTGCCCCGGCTATGGCAAGGCATTGGCTGGTGATTATGAAAAATTCACAAGGTCCAACATGGCAGCCCAGAAATACAAAAATTAAGAAGCAGAAGATATTCCTCTACCGACCAATCGAATATCAAACACATTTTTGAATAAAAACCAGATAACCTCTTTCGAAGCTCAATATTCTTATTTTTCGGATATTTGAGGCTCGGGTGAGCTTGTAGCTGCTCTTATTCTAAAACTGGTTTTTCTTCAACTCCGCATTACAAATTGCTTCTAAGACCAATAAAAAACAGTTTTGCAGGAAATTTTCTGTTGCACGATCGATTAGCGGATAAAATCTGCTTTGTTTAGGTGAAGTATGTGTAAATTTTCAAGGGGGGGGGGGGGCTAGGGAAATCGGGACACAGGCAAATAAATGAATATACAAACCTGCCATTCTTTGCAATGCGATGATTGACTGAGAGTGAACAATGTGTAAGCATTGTAAAGTTGAAATAACTGCGAAAGAAGCAAACAGGTTGTCAAACATGTAGGAAACACTGGAAAAGTATTATAAACTTTGTTACTAAATCTAACGATGCAACAGCAAATGTTTGTGAAGGAAATGAAACATTGAAATCTAGTTAAAGAAGCAATAAACAGATATCAAAAGATTGCAAAAGAGTCGGAAAACTTCGATCGGATAACTGTCGCAAACAGTATCAAGTGCTGTTTGGTTTTGTTGCAAAAACATTGAATTTCAATTCAAACATTACAATTAAAACATACATTTCTGAAATATCGAAAAAATTATATCTTAAACACAAGCAAATTTATTATAAATTGTCGCAAAATAGCTGTTTTCAAATTTGGTTTTAGATAGCATCAAATGCTACATTCCCCTTAAGCTAACATTGCCATACGATAGAAAAAGGCATCTCCGTGTATTTACAAAAGCCCCACGTTTACCCTCCTAGATGTCACTGCATATAATATATGTTAAGAGTGTACGAATTGGCTTTTTGTGTTACGAAATGAGTGAATAAGCTCTTTGCTTTAAAAGGTTACTTACATATCCGGAAACTAGGAATGGTAACAAAAATCCAAGACCTCTAAACATCCACCAACGGAATCCCTCTAAAAAGGAAAGGATTTCCAGCGATCAAGATTGAATAACAACATATTTAAATTCAACTTAGAAACTTCATAAAAAACTAAAATATGCTTAAGTGAACTACCAAATACAGTATATTTTTGAAAATATACTTGGGACAGCTGTTGAAGATGAGCTGAAATTTGACAAGCAGGAAAAACAATATGTGAGACCGTTTTAGAAAAGTCTTCTTCTTCTTCAAGGGATGAACCTTAAACTGACGAGAAGAAAAGTAAGATCCTGTACTCGTATCATACATTTATTATGTCGAAATTATTATTATTGTCCATTTATCTGGACTTTTTGTGGCAAAACGAAAAACAATTAAATAGACCGAATTCACTAAAGCGCCTTGAGAAAACTTTTTGAAGACTATAGGTCGAGATTTGATGAGGTTCTACAAAAGATAGATGACAGGAGGGTCAATGTAAAAAATCTACGTTATGTTATGTTATGGAGGGTTAATGTTATGTTATGTTATGTTATGTTATGTTATGTTATGTTATGTTATGTTATGTTATGTTATGTTATGTTATGTTATGTTATGTTATGTTATGTTATGTTATGTTATGTTATGTTATGTTGTGTTGTGTTGTGTTATGTTATGTATGTTATGTTATGATAATGTTATGATAATGTTATGTTATGCTATGTTTGTTATGTTATGTTATGTTATGTTATTTATGTTTTTATGTTATGTTATGTTGTGTTATGTTATGTTTTGTTATGTTATGTTATGTTATGTTATGTTATGTTATGTTATGTTACGTTATGTTACGTTACGTTACGTTACCTTACGTTATGTTGTTAATTTTGTTTATTATGTTTTATTGGTTATCGATAGATCCGGTTATAGCACGAAGAAGGCCAACATAACGTAATTTCTATTTTTGTCCTTAAATGGCGGGGCGGCTCTATTGAATGCTTAGCTCCCTTTTTGTTCAATAATCTGTCGATGTGGCCAAAATTAGCTCCTTTGGTAGCATTAAATTGCACAAGAACCAAAAATCAAGTTGAATATGACTTAACAGTTAAAAGACATTGTCTATGCAGATGCCATCTGTCTAATTTCCAAAAACCGGCGAACTACACAGCAGAAATCGAAAAGAAATCTGTAAGAGGATCACAACTGGCCTGATGACAAACAATGCGAAGAATTAAGTTCATGAATTTGCACGTTTAGTATTCCCGGATTAAACTTCAAGATCAACATCTCAAAAATTTGGATTTCTGTCTACTTGGTTGGCGTAGAAAACAAATATGAAAAAGCAGACGAAGAAAGATAATACCATAATGAACAACGACAGATAGGTCTTCGTACGTCAAGTCCTATCTGATATTCGACAGCAATGTCGATACTGAACCAAGATTAAGATCAAAGGTTCAGAAGGCAAATTTTTAAGTTCATCTGAGCAAGTCATACGCAATAACCCTGTAAAATATTATATTGCGATTGCTTCAATGGAGTTAATAAGGGAAAGCAGGACGGATCAGAAAGCCAAAGGCAGAAACGATGTTTAGAAGAATATATAACGCAAAACTAAGTGCGATAAAGATCTACTGTGTTGACATGAAGCTTTTTAGTAGGAGACGCCAACTAGAACCATGAATTCAAAACGTTTTCAAAAGATAATGAAACATATAATGTTTGATGCATACTGAGTTTAAAATACGTCAACATAATCCAGTACAGATCAGATCATAACCAACGCTTTAGTGTGTAGAACAGGACTATTTTTGTCGCTTACAAAGGGTATATCGGCATAGTGGTTTCGGGCGGGGGGGTCCACCCCCTTCTAAGCACCAAATTTGTATGAAACTTTGAGAATTTTACTATCTTGTAGAACTTTGTAGGATAATATTTCTCGTTGCACTCCTGACATGAAATTGCGCCCTTAACATCATCAGATGCTTACCAACTGTTGTGTCCATGGTTGTACTGATACCAAGAGCTCGAAGGCGATAAAGGACGCCACTTTGGTAATAGTATTGAAGAAACTGGACAAAACCTGTGCGATAAGAAACAATCCAGTAACAATTAATTGAGAAATAAAAACTAATTTACGCAATTAAATAATGCAAATCAATCTACACACTTTTCACTGCCATATAAGCACAAAGTTGACAAGTATTTTTACCCTCAGCGTTGATTAATTGAAAGGGCAGTTGAAACCTGGTATAGTCAAATTCAAACTTGAATATTGAGTGGTCTAAAGAATCTTTGGCAAGGATTGTGGTTTAAAGTTTGCGGGAAAAAATGTGAAAACTTACTTAGATATAGAGAGAAATAGTAAAACTGCAACCGAAACAACTGATATGACGTGCTTTCAGGCCTGCAACGAGAAAAAACATTCAATATATCTTTAGGGGTAAATAGCCAAAGCATTTGCAACCAGGGCAATTGAGACAACGACAGTAAATCTTGGTCCAGTCAAAAACGAATTACTCTTTAAAATTGGTATCGGGGATGAGATGACTCTTTCCCTAACTACAATAGCGTTTTAAATGCGTTGAAATGAATGCATAATAAATAACAAATTAATTAATCATCTTATAAAGCTCGTAATTTTTATCATTGAAATTGGGAAGAAAGAGATTTTAAATACATGCAACAGTTAACAAAGAAATTATAAACCATTTTCAGTGAGACAAATATCACTGGATTCAAAAGTAGAATTGTTTTATCTGTGCATATTTTCGTACGGGACTAATTTATGAACTTAGTTCTCGCATGAAAACTTTATAGCAGTATTTTACGATTTTCTTCAAACTAAAGTTAAATCGGTCAAACGCTTAAAATTGACCATTAAAAATTCTTAAAAAAACAAATGCGTACATCTTTTCATTGAAGTGAAAATTTACATGTTTCTTGACTTTAATGCCGTTTTAACCTATTGTAAAGTAAACAAATCTATATTCAATAATTAGAACCTCCTTGAATCCTTATATACCCTAACAGAGGGGCGTTTCAAAAGGGAGTGTTAAGAATAGAAGGACTTGAAAAGGGAAGCATTAAATTCAATCCTCTGAGTAAAATAGGGCCATATATGACAGGGGGTTGTAAACGTCAACAAGGCACTGGAAATAGCAGTGTTTAAAGGGAATGGACAGATACTAAAGTCTGTCAATCAACTGTTGACCAATGAACGAGCGTGTGAGAGGAATAAAGTTCATTGATTGGTCGATTTTGATTGACAGGTGGCTTAGGCCACTTTAACACCTGTCGGTTGCCATTGACAAATAATAATCTGCTTACCAAATCAAGAGGAAGCCAGACAGCAATATTGAGAGGTAATGATGCAGCACCCACCAACCCTTGATCCTGTGCGTTTTTAGAGATAAATATTGTGAAAAAAACGCTTTAAGACAAAAAGTTAAGAGAAACAACTTTTATAGACCAGGAGCTACAATTACTTTCAAAAAAACCTTGAATCACCTAGATGCATATATGTTAAAAGAAATTAACCGTTTTCGGTAAAATTAACCGTTAAAAATTATGCAACCGGTAATCCGGTAAAAAAATCAAAAGAAAATAACCGTTTTCAGTAAAAAGGAGACCGACACCATAATCCTGGCAAAACAATGTTTGTTGTATAGTCAAACGCACTATGTCCAGACGCATTTCTATGGCCATTTGAATTCTCATTGGTTAGACTATACAATAGACTTTGTTACGGAGCCAATCAATGTTTTCTCGATTTCAAACATGCTGTTAACTCTGAGCGGTTGACTGATGGCACATAATGCTTTTAAACATCATGTTATCTTAAATGAACACATAAGACCACATCGAACCTCTTGAAGTTGTAAAAAACATCATTGTTCGTAGGGGAGATGCAGTATAAAATGCTCAAAATTTAAGTGTAGTGTATTCAAAATAGACTTTTGGCAGCCATTGTAAACAACCTACCAAATATCAACGAATCGTTCAATGACATTTGCTACAATCGAGTTTGTTAAGTCTGATAACACGTGAAAAATAGTCAAGAAAGCATATGACGCTCTTGCATCGTCCCAACAACATATTTACATTTTACCATATTTCGTCATCAGCATCTCCCATCTCTGACGTTATTTTCTGACAAGTGTTGCACAAAACTGAGTTATCATTAAGCACACAACATCTTCACAGTTTCTCCCTACAGCATGTCGTTCCCCCTTCCCCATTGCAATATTGCTTGAAACCGACTAGCATTGCATAATAGTTGGTGACAATCTAAGATTTGGGGTCCAAAAAACTTCTAACGAAGGAATCCAATTTCCTGCCATGCCTAACAATTTATCTTATGGATTTAAGCGTTTACGTTAATCACGTATGAGTTGCTGTTTTGGTATTTTGTTTTCGTTGTTTTAGCTGGTATTGACGCAAATGCCTCACTTTGGTAGCGAGGCGCATTAGCTGACTCATATACATTTATAGTTGTAATTTTATCATTGGTTAACGTATATAATGTTCTAGTATTTAATTGGCTCGTTTTTTATTGTTGCACCGAAAACGTAGTTAGTTGACCTTATTCAGAAAGCACATGGTATGATGTAAAAGGAATGTAATGCCAGACTGTAGGCAGATTGAGTGGAAACGAGCTTGAAGTAGAGATGTAACAAAATGAATGAAATTAAGAGCAGCTAAAATAAAATTGTGGTTTTTTCTTCGTCGACTTCTACGAATGTTTATGAGATAACAGATAAGAAATTTAGAAGGTTTCTTAACAGAATCAATGTTGTACGGGGAGGAGGGGATAATATAGCAACATCTTTCATGATTTGGAGAGGTAGTTAAGTCTTGGGGTTGTCAACTTTCGAACGTGAATATTGTTGTATTCAACTATTTTTGGCGAAGATTGTAGAAATAGAGTTAAAAAATATGAGTCAAGTACCTTGAGAAATTGTGCCTCGAAGCCTGCGTGCAGACTTTAAAAAAAGAGGAAATTTCGGGAGAGTAGCGCTTGTGGAATCTTTTGTGGGATCGAGCCCGGGGTTTGCCAAATCATTGGTAAAAAGCCTTCTGGGCTACAGCAAAACTGTTTAACGGCTATAGTAAACAACTTGACTAATGCTTGAAAGAAACAGCGTTGTAATATCTTAACTCTCTTGTTCAATATATTTTTACAAAATCAAACAATTAAAACATTCACATCTGTACAATGCTTTTTACAAGACTTTATCTTCATGCTAACTCTTGCAAGGAAGATGAAATGCATCAAGTTCCACCTTTACGGGTATGACTCCGAGCCAACGAATCCTCACCAGCATCCGCTACATCTATGACATCTAAAACGTGCTCCTGACTTCCTTTTTCGTTGGTGACGTTGCTGTTGCCGTCCCGGCCTGAACTCTCTGCATCCATAACAGCGAGACATAAGTAAAAACTCATTCGCATGAAGCAAAACATGAACACCGCAAACATGAAGTAAGTGACACCAATGGACAACCAGACTACGTGCATTCCACCCATGAGGTACGAGCAATAAACGTCCTTTCCAGTGTTGTACAGTTCACTGATAAAGCCGCATTTGCCAATGTTTTTATTAAACTGTGCCTCAACATGCCCAATGAACTGGTCGACGACAAGGAAAACCTTTTCCATTCCCTCGCGGAATTTTCTCTGAAAATCTTTCAGCACATCGAGGGGATTCTTCCCATTTTTAACTGCGTCTACTGTATCCTTGACCGTATCTTTACCCTTCTGCACAACATCGTTGGCTTTGTTCGTAATACCATCCTTCGCAGTTTTTGCTTTATCCGCGCCATTACTGATCACGTTCGTCGTCTTCTTTCCCCAGCCACCAAGAAAATATCCAATTTTAGCGTCATATTTCCCTACTTCCACGGCAAAACGGGATAAATAATCGCCGTACTCAGTCAGATTTGTGTTAACGAGATTTCCCGGGTCTCGTGTACTTTGATTGAAACCTTGCAGAGCAGTCGAAAGATTCTTTGAGCTTTCTTCTACAGTCGTCATTCCTGTCGTGAGTTTTTTAACACCAAATGCATTATCAAGGCCAAAGAACTTTTCCTTCAGTTGATTTAATTTGAATTTCTCTCTCAGGTCAATCGCTTCATTAAATCTAGCAGCATGCCAAAATGTCGCATTATCTTCGTAGCCACAAACTTCAATTATCCTTTCCAATGTTGCTGCATCTGGTAGGCCAGGGAAAATCTTTTTCAAGCCTAGAACCTTGCCACCCCATGGTTCTGGATTTTCGTCCATGTTTCTTATAATAGAATCGTTCTTCAAACCAAGGCATATCTTTGTAAGGCAGCCACAGAAAGCGACCATGATTGCCAATATCGTCAACAATGGCAAGGAAAATAAAAAGAATTTATAAAAGGAACTCAGCAGCATTCTACGGGAAATTTTTGGATATGCAGGCCTTCCTCTAAGCTTGCCCGAAGCAGCAAGGAAAAGAACCGGAAAGGTGATGCAAATACTGAAAGCGAGGAAAAGACCCAGAACCAAGTGGCAAACAGCAATGGCGGCCAGACCATGAGACAGCATTAAGGTGGCGTTCCCAACAGTGCCACCTTGATCAAACATAGCAAGCACTTGTTCATCTTTCAACAGAATATGTTCGGTAAATTGATACTTGAGAATTTCTTCTATTTCCCAAAAGGCTTTGTTTCGCATCTTCTGAATCTCCGTAGACATCTGTTCGAAATGTTCTCTTTTTATTGCACTGACATCGAAAGAGCCATTAATGATGTTAGTCATTGTTACATTGAGATGGTACGCCAAGTCAGTTAGATTTTCACGGGCAAGCGCTCCAAGAGTAACGACAAAATCGTTTGAGGCTATGGCCAGATCACTAGCATTTACGAGCATGCTAACCTGGTTGTCAAAGCCTGGAGACTGGCATATTCCAGATGCGTTCACCGTCGCATTTTGCTCGCACATCGCTTTGGCTAACGACAAATTACCGTTCAATTCCTTAACTTGCTTTTCTAGTTCATCAACGTCTTGTTTAAATATCTTCTGCTCCTGAATAACTTCATCGAACATTTTCGTTAAATTCGACTCAACCTGTTTCAAACTCTTCTCCAAGGAAATCAAACTATCTGAAGCTGCGGTGCTTGTAACTCCTTTCACTTCATTCATGAGCCTTTCACTGAACATTTCTAGGCTATCCACTACTTGTCTACTAACATCATCAAGTTGCATGATCAGCAACATCTCTAGACCTTGAAGCGTGCTTTCTTGAAAAGTCACAAGATTTTGAAACATGTAATCGATAAGTGTCCTTGTGTGGCCAATTCCTTTACTAAATCGCTGTCTTCCCGATGCGATTGCCGATCCAGACATTACGGTGAAGACTCCAGTGAGACAAAGCCCAGAATGAAAACAAATCTTGCCTTTGATTTAAGAGAAGATGGGTTGTTCTCAGTTGGAACTGTTCCGCATTTCTTCACGCAGGACAAAATGCAATGCGAAAACCCGATGATAATTAAAATCACGGCAAACACAATAGTACCAACAGCCAATCCAATGTACGGCTTGCTGTAAGCAATGAACTTTTCTTGTGCATTTCCTATTGATGCAGAGTCCTCTCCCCTTGCAAGCTTCACGACTTCTGTCAGCACTTCGTGCGGAATGTCCTTCTTGAAATTGGACAAAGATGAGGCTGCCACAGCTGCGTATGGGTTCAGCGTCCAATACGTGTCCAGCTTAATTTTCTTGAACGAATACGTGTTGGCAATATCGCTTAAGTTCACGCTTGTTATGATAGAATCTAACGCCGATCCCTTTAATTCCACGGGCAGCCACACCACGACAAAGATCAACAACAAATTTCTTCTTTTGAACATAATGTTAGGATATTATGGATACTAGGGCTTTATTGAGCGTTTCTGTCAATCATTGATGCCCACGTCTCAGGAGAGCCATCGCTAACCCTTCAAAGCCATTCAAGATGGCAGCATAACGGCTCTTTGCGACAAATTTTTATATGATATCGTTAAGGTTAACTTGATTCATTTCTTAATAAAACGTCAGATCAAACGGCTTTTGTCATGTGGCAGGAAAGCAATCAAATTTCGAGTGCCTATAGCTTATCAAACATACCAAGCCAATCGAATGCTTTTCCTTCAGATACACCCTCACCACATTTCTACTAATAGGTTTCTGAAACATCCAAACTAAATAAAACGTATTTAGGCCCTAGGGGCTCAACAAAGCTGCTTTTTGCGAGTCATGTGACTTATAACCTGCAAGTACTTAAACAGAAAGACTGCAAAGTTAGAGATGTTACGCAAGAGTGGTCAATTTACAGGTAGACCGCAAGAAAGTTCGGAAAACGCGGGAAAGCTCGCGTTTAGCCGCATAATATTGGAGATGGGACAAGGTAAAATTTCTGCGCTCCCAAGCATCATGTGCGTACACTGGGAGGCTGTTTTGTGGTGCATATCTCCCTTGTGATTCGCACAAAGACGCAACAAAACAGCAACAGCTTGGGTCGTAGAAAGTATATATTCATCTAGGTAGCAAAGAATTTTTTCGAAGTTGTCTGGGACTTCAAAAAACACGAGGTCGTCTTGGAAATAAATGATAATATAACAACAATACTGCAGCTGTCAGCAGTTTTAGATGATTTTGGTAAGCATTATAATCTTGCCAAAGCAAGTATCTAATCGAGCATGACGCAGAGTGCCGTGTTTTTTGAAACGTTGTATCAAATAAGTTCTATATTGTCCAAAGACAACGGCGCCCCCATAAAAGTCTAAATTTGTGATTACATCACTAGGATTGATCAAGGATATTAATAAAGACAGAACGAGGCAACATAAGATCCATATGTTAACTAAAATGAGAATATTTAGGCCTATCTTAGCACTTACTTGGATCCATTGGCAATCAAGATGTGTTCTTGCAATGTTAAAGAGCTGTAATACCAAACAAGGACAGCGTGGAAAATGGCATCAAAGAACCTGAGAAAATAAAAAACTTTTCCATAGATTTGCCCTATGCTCAGGTACCAAAAAAATTATTAATAATTAGGGGCAGGGCCTGAATTCACAAATGCGTGCCCTTTATGTAACCAAAAACTTGAATTCTTTAACATTGTTTTTAGATCAATCTCAAAGGCTTATCAACTTCTAGAAAAAAATTTGTTAATAGATTCTTCTGTTTTTGGATAATTGACACGTTTTTCATAGCAAAAAAGGCAGACTATGCCACCAATGGGTCTAAAGTCATGCTTGTGTTGCGTATTCTCGTAGCCAGCCTCCGTTTTAGCCGCTTCATTCACGCGCACCGCCGGGCGCGCGGCCTTTCTTTGCTTCCCTTTGAGTGTAGAGAAAAACTTTTGCTCGCATTGCTAGTAGGGTTTGAGCCTATTTCTAAACTCTTCGTGCAGGCGAACAAATATGCGCAATTGAGGTTCAGAAGATGCCTGAAGAGAGCGCGCGAACAGAAAATGCACGAGTGGTCGTTGGCCTCAACGAACAATAACCCGCAAAGATTATATTCTTAAAAAATCTTGTAAAACCTTTTGAATCGCTTAAAGTTTGCATAAATGAAAGCGAGCATGGAAGAACGTTTAGAGCTACAAATACTCACCTATTTTTAAAGACAAGAAGGTTGAAGAGTATTAGCATCATTGAGATCCAAGTCATGCGAAGCTTGAAATTTTCGTAGTTGTTTTTGTAATGCAACCTAGCAGGAGAAAGAATGTCGATTGTAAATACAAAACACTATAAAAGATATAAATAATAAAGAACGACGACATCCTGCTGGAAAGCAAAAAAGATTTAAGAAATTGAACTGATAGACGAAGAAAATCATGACATGATGAGTTGTGAACAGGAGTAAAAATAGATTAGCTAACAATTCGCCCAAGTATATAAATATAGTATATATTCGCCCAGGCATCTTCAGAGTAAACATAATTAGTTGCTTTCTTCGTTTTCTAACTGGCTTCTGCCAACTACAATCCCACATAATATATAAATTTCAGATTGTCTTTATTTCAAGGCAATCGAAAGCATGGTTTGAACAAGTTTTGTCAGCAGCAACATACTTATCCCAGGAAAGAGAAACATTGATTGATCCTAAGCAAGCCCTGAGGAACCATCTGCAAGAAAATATGGTAATCGTTATTAGAAAATTGGAGTGTAAAGAAAACAGGTCACCTAGTGGTTAATTAATTTCATGATAATTTTTATGCTACCTCTATAGCAGAGCAATTTCTGCAATTACATTTGGGGTCTGAGCTCATTTTCTGATGAAGGGAAGGTCCAGCATCAAAAAAATTTACATGCAGTTTCTGTAAGGGATTAATTTAAAGAATAAATACATGCATATATAGCATTAGCTTCTTAATAGTCACTATTCAATATTACAATAAGACATATTCCAGCTCATTGGTGTAAATGTAATTGAAATGAGTTCAAGATAAAACATTAACTGTTTTATTAATGTTCATGTTGTTCTTTATCCTCTTGCATGAATTTCTAAAAATGTTTCTTTCTCACAACTGGCTCAATACAGGTTTCCTAACTTAACCATTGATTTAAAAAACTGATGCAAGAAGAGCTTGTACAAAGATGTGCCATGGATTTGGATGGAGGCTGATAAGATGGTGATATGATGCTAATGAATTTCTCAGCACACTACAAGGAATGCAGACTGGTATGAGAAGTCATCTAAAATTTCTTAGAAAATATTTTAGCCATTAACCATTGTTTCAAAATTACAAAATAATTTCAAAGGGACTACTAGTACTTGTTCATGCTTTCTTCAGCCTGTTACATTATATTTCCTTGCCTGCTATTTGCATGATCATTTATGGTTAGTGATGATTGGGTTTGCATGCATCTCACATTAAGTAATCCACATGTGCAAAGGTACAAAGTAATCCAAATGCTATTTGGTACATATTAAGTGGCTTCAAAACTGCTTGTTTTCCAGAAGAAAGTTTTTGGCTTTATCAAACACCCAAATTAAGCTTTTAAGATAAAAAGATATTTGGACAAAAATATAAGCAATATACCACTTTTTGTTTTGAATAAGCATTGTCCTGACACGACCATTCCAAAGTGTCAGAAATTTATCACAATACTTAATCAAACAAAACTTTGAACAGGGAAAACTGATAGCCAGCAATTGATCATACACTGATAAACTTTAAAATATTTCATCAAACCACATTCAGAATTTTAAAACATGAACAAACCCTGGCTTTTTTGGTAAACCTTGCTGAAGATCACCAAAATCTCGAGTCATATTGTTAATCTTGGTTGCCATCGATACAAGCTGCTCTTTCTCAGTATTTCTTTCATTACTTTGAATCCTGAATTAAAAAGTAAACACATCAAAAGTTTTGAACCTAATTTTTTATAAGGAAAAAAGTCACACAGTGGTAGTCAGGTAGTTCAAATCTATGACTAAATGGATTGACAATGGAACAGCAGATATAAACAAATGCAAAAATATAAAGATAGAAATTATTCACTAGCTGAGTGCTGTTTTACTCATTTCGTGTTTTTTCAATACAGTAACAGATTTTTATGATGCGAGTTTACTACCTGCAAACTACCTTGTAATAATGAATAAGTTTCATTCTTTTAAAATAAATTATATTTGCTTTAAAGATTCAATTATCAATGGAAAAGCTCCTGTTAATAGGAAACAGCTAATCAAACCGTAGATAACCTAATGAATGATACTGATTTGTGAATATTCCGAAATAGCTATTAACTGCCTGAAAAAGTGCATATTTTTCTGCTCCCTTTATAGCTTGGATTTAAAGACTGAGATCTCCTGAATGTAATTAAAATCTTCAAAGAAATTGTCATAAAAATGACAAAATTATTTACTTTCTCATAGCAAATGCAAATGCTTTCAGCTTCTTTTCTTGCCCATCAAGCCCTTTCTTTAAAGCCTCTTGTGCAGACCTGTATTCATCCATTGCCTTCTGAAGCCTTTGATACTGAGCTTTCTATAAAAAACAACAGACTTTGTTAAGAGAAACTGTATCGGAACAGTATCAAATATTAGAATAAGTGGTGTCCTGTAGACTACAGTAGAAAAGGTCTGATCAGAATGAATCAATAATGGGAAAAAATAGATATTTGTGTTCAGAGATAACTGCAGAAATTCAGCTTTCCACAGAAGAGGAAAATATAAACAAAACAGGCAAATTTTTTTGAGACATCCTATCCCATTGTACTACAATGTTCTAGAACAAGAAACAGTGCAATTACATCATCCAGAGGGCAAAGTATGGCAAGTGCACACCTAAGGAATTTTTTCAAAATAACCCTGCACACCTTGCAAAGGATGTGGCATTTTGAAATCTGGGCGTGGCATGGGTGTGTCTTATTGCTTTGGGAAAAAGAAGAATTTAAGTTTCTTAAGGATCAACATAATCTTGCATTAGTTTGATAACAAAACAGCGATCAATTATGTACATTTTCAAATTTTGGTTATATTCCCTTCTTAATTGATATCATCGGTATCTAACTGCATACTATTGCGCACTTGAAATTTTGCTCTTGCACACCCAAGATCTTGTTGGAAACTTCCATACTCTGCAGTCCAAATCATCATCAGTTAAAGTTCATTCCTTCTTTTGCATATAATAAGACAAAAAAAAATTCTTTAAGAAAAAACTGGAAGCTAAGATTAATTGTTGTAAAAATCTACAATCCAAAAGCAACTTTAATCAGACTTGATTAACACATTTTTAATTCTTAATACTCTATTCTTCTATGTTATTTTGCTATACAAATTCAATTTGTTGGGTTTCCTTGTTGACAGGATTGCCAAGGACTGCTTATTTTCCTTTTAAAGATCAGTATTAACTTGAACCATCAAGAATTGGTTTGTGCAGCAGGTGGCAGAAATAATACTGGCTGAGCTACGTCAGTTAATGTTTATTCCTGGACTGATGCTTCTGTGGGGTTAGCATTAAAAATAGCAGAAGGTGAAGATAAACCCCGTTTTGTCAAAAGAAAAACATTCTTAAGTGCAGAAATAATTCATTTCTAATAATTAAAAAACCTTTATGTTGGCTATCTCTTCCTCTAGGCAATCCCATTCTTGATTCCATTTCTCAACACTTCGAATTTCCCTTATTACGGCCGCCATTGCTTAGAATCGAACCATCTGCAACAGCAACAACATAATGGTGGTTATAAGAAATTGAGCTGAATTATTCATTGTATTCAGGTTGTGGAAGGCCTATTCGACGTTTTCCGGAGTTGTGAGAAAAAGACGATTTTATTCTACTTTCTAAAACCCTTTCAAGATGTCTTACATGCTTCCACATCTTCATAATGGTTGGCAGGTAGATCAAGCAATCCTAACCGAAGAAGACAGAGTGGTTGTGATTCGCTTTGGACACGACTGGGATCCGAATTGCATGAAGTTCGACGAAATTCTTTTTAGTATAGCAGATAAAGTTAAAAATTTCGCAGTGATATACGTCGTGGACATAACAGAAGTTCCTGATTTTAACAAGATGTACGAATTGTATGATCCTTGCACTATCATGTTCTTTTATAGAAACAAACATATTATGATTGATTTGGGAACGGGAAACAACAATAAGATCAACTGGCCTTTGGAAGACAAACAAGAAATGATTGACATTGTGGAAACGGTATACCGCGGAGCAAGGAAAGGAAGAGGTCTTGTTGTGTCGCCTAAAGACTACTCAACCAAATACAGATACTAGTTTAAGTTATTTAAAAAACATCTTTCCTCTATCAGGGTTGCTCGTTACTTATAAGTAACAACATCCTTCTCTTGGAATTATCGAGATTTTAAAAAGATTAGGCCATGTATATTTGTTACAAAATGTATATTACTTCGGTTGAAAATGTCAAGTCGATTTCACCATCACCTTTTGTATTACAAAAATGGATTCAAAGATACCTTTCCAAAAGTTATTGAAACAGTCATGATGGATTTATTTATTTTTTATCTTTGATGGCAATAATTGTGTTTTTCTCAGCAAGTTCTGCTATCATGCTCATTTTGATCACCAATCAACAAACCAGTCATTTAAACAACTAGTAATTTTATACTGCCAAATGTATCTGAAAGCATAATAATTATTTTGTTTACAGGCAACAGGATTTTTAAAGATATTTCGTAGAGAGTGCGGGAAAATAACCGACCCGAACGAGGCTCGAATTAAAAATTGAGAATGGAATATTTCAAAAGTTTCTTTTTAAAGAGAGTCTTGATTGCTAACCAGACTGGAAACTTTGTTTCTTGCACAGGCAAGTTCACACACCTGACTGCACAACTGCGTGCCTGAAATCACATACTTTTAAGAAATTTGTATTGTTATTAATATGAAATTTATTCAAGTAGGGACTTGGTGCGGCCAAAATGCAAAAGTGTGCAGATGGAAAATTTGAGTGCGGGGGCAATATATCGCGGGTGTGTGACAAAGTTTCCAGTCTAGATTGCTAAGAACACACTTTTGATTGTCTACCTCTTAAACAGAGAGAAATGCAGTCTTTTTACTCCCAAAATCATTTTTGCTTTTAAAACCCACTGTTTGTAGCTGTTCCTCTAAATGATTCCCAATGGGAGCTTGAGCCTCTGGCCACCACACTGTGGGTATCTGGCTCTAGGTATGTAAAGAACTACATTATATGACAGTAGACTTTTGTTTTTATTTGGATAGCATTATTATTAGGAAAACAATGTATTTTATGAAATAAAGCTTTCACATAAGTATTTAGCTTTATTTATCAAAAAAGTTTTCAAATGATTGTATTTTGTATTTGTATTTTTTGCTACCTATCTGATATAGAGGTAAAAGGGAGGAGATGAAAATTTGCAAATCTCATACAGAAGTATCATTTTTTGTAACCTAAAATAGGAGCAATTTAAGAAAGGTGGGTCCAATCATGAAGAATTTTATATTCAGCAAGCAAAAGAGGTCATGCAGGAATCGAATTCACAACTTGTTTCAATTCTACCTTGAAGCCCAAGCCTAAATCTAGTTGATTTTTTGGAATTGTCAAGCAGCAATTGAATAGAGATGCCATAGAGAAAATTATTACTACTTAGACAATGGTAAAATAGAACCCACAAATTATTAGAAAAGTCGAATGATTGTTATTAAAGGGCAAATGTACTCTCGGGTACACTTGAAAGTTGTTGGCGGGTTTGTTAAAGTCTATTTTTTTCATATTAGGGGGTCTTGAATACAAGTGTTCAGGGTAGAAAGATTTTCAAAATCGGGGGGAGGGGTTAAGGTGATCAAAATCTACTAGACATATAGTGTTTATGTATCTTCAAATTTCATGTTTAAAAAATCAAAACTTGCAATTTGGAATTTTATAACAACAAATCCATTTTTACGCATGCGCTAATATATAATATTGAAAAAAGGAGCCTTTTGTGCCGTACTGGGAAAATTATCACGAGTTACCACGAGTCACCAACGAGTTGCCGTACGGGTTACATTCTACATTTGCAGACCTCAGTATGGATGTATACGAGATACCAACGAGTTACCACCTTCTTTATAAATATAATTTATTTATATTTATTAAAAAAGTCATGGTAACTCGTGGTATTTCCATATAAAACCACTATTAAAAAAGGTAACTCGCTAGGGTAACTCGTTGGTAACCCGTTGGTAACTCGTTGGTAACCCGTTGGCAACCCGTCGGTAACTCGTGACATTTTCAAATAAATTAAAGTTGACATTGATGTCACTCATTGTCAGTTCTGCAAAGTAGCGAGGACAACTTGAAATGTTTTATGTTTATCTGCTTGTATATCATGGGTAAACTCGAATGTTTTCAATCTTACAGCCATTATTTCTTTTTCTCTCTCGATGGAGCTATTGTATTTTTTGTTCTCTACAACTGACTCTCTTGCTGGGAATTCGGCTGCATTTACTCTGCTGTAGGATATCAGATAGCATTTGCCAATTTCTTTCTCTCTTAAACTTTCACATGTTATCAACTAATCTTTCGTATACAAAGATCGACGGCAAATTCAAGGTACGTACTACAATAGCGAAGTCTGAGGCAAAACGCACTGTGTAGACTATTAAACCCATACTAACCCATTATTTGTAGTTACTTGACCAAGAAGGACACCCGTATATATATTTCCCATTTTAATTTTGTACCCTCCACATACGTAGAGAACTTTGATTCTAATCAATTTAGGTAGACATATTGCGTCTAATCCGATTTTCTACGTCAAGTTCAGCTTTTCGAAATTATTTAATTTCTATGAAGATTCAACACAAAATGCCCTAAAAGACCGGCTTCCTAGTTTTTTAGCATTGGACAACCATGTCTAGACGCCTAGTAGCTCTTTCCGATACATAACAAACCGCTATGATAGATTTTCATTCTGCTTAGAAATCAGACAATCCTGGCCAAAAGTTATTGGACTGGGCTGAAAAATTGTAGTCTTTTTGGAAAAATACGCTCCCCGCCCCCCACTGTCAATGTTGATACGCTTATTTCTACTCTTTTCGATTGCTGTTACTTGGGTATTTAAGAACAAACCAACATTGCTTCAGGGGTGGGGGGTTTTGATAATATTGTTGGGGTCAAGTTGCAATTTTAGTGGTTTTTTTACCAGTCCACTAACCTTTTGGCCAGGATTGTAGCATCTGAAGGTAGTTTTTTAGGAAACTGAGAAGCTTATGCTTATCGAGCAGTTTCCTGGTCCTTCCTCTCAATGTGACCACACCTCGTGATTCATATGAGTGGAATTACAGAGAGCTGGCGACTCTTCTCACTCTGGGTGAAAGTTTGGTCATGTCAGGTATTCGAACCACGGACCCTTGGGTCTGTAGTCAGCGCCTCTAACAACTGAGCCATCCTTTCACAATTTGTTTTGTGTTATTTAATGGGTTTGAGACACAAGTTTCTCTTATTGTCAAGAGCACCATGGAAACGTGGTCAAATCATTGAAAATAACTTGTTTTCTCGAAATTAACTGAATGAGCCTGTAAACCAAGAAACTTCCCTTTATAGTAAACAGTGACAAGAATGTCATTTGCTTTGCAGTTCTTAGAAAAAATTGATTCTAAAGTGCATTTGCAGTATTGCTTTGGAACAGGCAAGATACATTTCATGCTAGTATTATTTCAATCCAATTTTTCCACCAAACCAGACATTATAGATGCTAGGTTTACTTAAAACAGGTTTCTCTATCAATTCTTGCCAAAAATTTTCAAATATGTCCAAACTCTAGCTATCTTTTAATACTCAACTTTGCTAAAATCAAGCTAATGATTGTTAATTCAAAAGAATTTATCCTTTATATGAAAGAGAGTTTTTTAAGTAGAGAGAACATCAGCCAAATAAATGTACACATACATGCTGCTCAAAGGATGTTGTTATTTGGTTATTTTGTCATCAAGCAAAGTAATGTGAGACAGAGAAATCCATCAACACAACGATTCCATATCACTCAAATCAAAGGCCTTATCATTATTTTTCAGTATTCCTTCATTTCTATTACAATATTTGAAAAGACAATATTTTGGTACATAGTAGCTTAATCATGAAGTCTTAATTGCTAATACCTGCTAATTTGATATTTTTGGCTTCGTTATGTCCCATCCCTCACCCAACATACATTGCAATATATATTGGTAAACCTTGAAAACAATACCCTTTCTATTATAACACCCTTCATTGTATCACTGTTATTCACACTTGAATTGTCCTGGCATTCACAGTCCCTCAGCATTTCATCAACCATCCCCACCCCCATTGCGAAAGCAAACAGGACAAAGTGAAAAATACGAATGAAAGGAAACCAAGATCATCTATATGAGAAAAGTTCATAAATAAGTATCATACAATAAATCGAAAACGTACAAACTACTATTATCGATTCACGAAATCAATCCTACGAACGAAAATTAACTGAAAAAAAAAACTATAAAGAACCAAATTTCTAAAAATTACGTTAACTGCAGAATATGTTGAAGGCATTAGGCCCCAACCAAGCCATCGTCAATTTGTCCTTCTGTGTAGTGGCTGCTAATACGGGGATGAAAGAGCTGCTAGTTAATGACAGATGAGCGGAGGAGCCAGTTATGAAAAAGTAGCGGAAAAAGTCACGTTAAAATCCTACACTAGACGTGTGTCTTTTTTTAGCACGAGGCTCAAGTCAGGGAGGCAATTGTCTGCAAAATATCTAACAAAATTCAACTTTGTGTCTGGTCGATTTTCGCTTCCAATTGCCATTGCTACAGGGGCGTACCGCATTGAAATGAATGATTTCAAATTAACCGCCCTCTCTCACAACTGTAAAACCAACAAGCAACCCAATTAAAATCTATCGCTAAAATTTTGCTTTAAACTATTTAAATGTCATTATGTGCTTCACCTATCACGAAGGCAAGCTCACTAACAAAATAGGAATATTGTCGCTAAATGCCCAAAACTTTCCTTAACGAAAGCGTCAATTGATACAGCCACTGGCCGGTCCCAGCAAAATGTTATGATTGACTATAAAACAAGTGCAAAGTTCATACAATTAAAAGTTGACGCTTTTCTTAACCGATAGACGATGGAAACAAATATTCTTTGCATTAAGTACATTTTCAGGTAAAAGTATAAACAAAACTACTTTGATAAACGGTCTTCGAATGCCGCTCCACAAACCCATGGATTGCCGCTCCACAAACTCATACATCCCAAGCGAACCGTAGTTGTTAGATATCTAGGATTCTCAAGAGGAACATATCCTTCTTATGGGGCTGTATCCGGTCCTTGGGGCTTTGCTGCACGGACTTCTGGTGCTTTATTTGTTAGATAAACGAATAAGAGACAGCCACTGTGGGACTTGGATGACCCCCAAAGGAGTAAATCGGACCTCAAAATTTAATAAGGAGAAAGTTTATAAAATAGAGTTTTCTTTTTTTCTTATTTTAAAGGTGGATATAAGAATTGCAGGGCCATAGGCTCTTATTTCAAGGGGTATATTCCTAGCGGTGCCGCGGTAGCCGAGCGGTTAAGGCGCTCGACTGCCATGCTAGTGCTCCGGGTTCGATCCTGGCTCGCGGGCGGCCCTCAGTTCAGTAAGCCGAAAATGAGTACCCTGTACAAACATACTAGGAAAGTAAAAGGGGCGCGGAAAGGACCTGGCCACCCTACCACACAATGCCATCATAAAATGCCGCGGTTTAGTATGATGCGACCCCAACAGCGCATCCCCAAACGTTCGATATCGAATGCGGGAACGTCTTTTTATATTCCTTGCATGTGGGGAGATACTAGCCAGAATCTTATATTAGAATATTTCAATTCAATATTTTCTCTGAGGCGTAAAACTTATTAATGTTTTGAAGTGTTTGTAGCTCAAAAATGCCAGAACACGGAAGATAATCCTTGGTCCAAATTAAAAATTATATGAAGATGCCTCTCATTCAAGAACCTAATTTTTCGGTCTAAAATTTTTTCTTGAATACAAGGTGCCTATAGAAAGATAGACAGCCTGCAGCTTCTTTTATTCTTCTTAAGTTCCTCTGATAAAGGATTGCCATATGAAAATGAAAGAATTATACAAAACAACGTCGGGCTTAAAAATCGATCCATTCATTAACAGTTTAAGCGATCGCTATAAACAGCAAGTCGAGCGCTTGTAAGCTAGGCCACTATTAATAATGGAACAAGTTTTAAAAGCCATTCAATAAACAAAATCACGTGACTTTACTATGAAATTAAAACTGCTAGCGAAACTAAAGAATTAAAGACGATACACAATTTCTAAAACTGAATTAAGCGAATTATCTATCTAATAACGCTGGCTAAAATTTAGCGAAAGTTGTGAAATATTTTGCGAAGTGCTTTAACGTTCTATTTTTTGCAATTTTTGCTGTCATGAAAAGGTTTCAGTTGGTTTTTGCCAACTGAAAACATAGTCGGTAATAGTCAGTTTTCTAATGACACCGTACTCGTACCGATGTAGCCTCGTGTTGACGTGTGACCTGAATATGAATGTCCATGAAACTATCAACAGCAACGCGTAAAAATAAAACTGCCCGCATCTACAAAGGGGTACAGTGATCAGCTGCTTTTCAAGCATATGATGAATTTAAAATGCAATGAGTTCGCTTTAATGGCTGCCATTTAAACTAGGTACCCGACATAGTTGTCCTCCCCGTCGTCTTCAATGTACTCCGTATCGCTTCTGTACTGGCTGGAAGAAACTCCAGACCGCTGCGAGGCCGGCGAGTGCTGTGGTGACGGACGTGAGTTCTGCGATAAAAGAGCATGATAAAAAAACTGTTTCCATTTCCTTTTGAAAAAACAAACAATTGAATTTCTGTATGAGAAATTTCTAAGATTAATGCGGTGTCGCGATTTCAATAATAGGATCTTGATGATATGGATTTGAATTGTAAACCCCTAGTAAGGAAGGTTTGAGACTTTGCACCCCTTACCTTAGTTCGACTTCTTTATGTATCTGCAAAATTTGCTCCTACTTTCATTGGGAGGGGGGAGGTCGTGGACTTTACACGAATGCTACCAGACATGTATTTTGGCTTTTTTATACCAGTATCTAGGAATGTGGGTACAATGGCTGCCAGAACCTTTCGGAAAAAAACCCCTCTCCCCCTAGAGGACAATGTTTATAGACTAGGTTAATATCGTACAATTCACCCGAAAAACGTATTTCCGAAGGATATATCCACCCGAAGGATGACTGAATTTGCTCTTGAGACCTGACGTTTCAAGGCATTTGTCAGGCATTGTAGATAAACACATTGAGTGTTGTAGGAATTCAGACAAGCATTCAAGGAGCATACGTCATATCCGATGGATTTCCAATCTAGAACAGTTCATTATACGTAATAAATGAAAAAAGATTGAAAATTCAAACTATTGCCATGCAAGACTGCAATGTCCCTAAGATATCTCTTGCTTATGCACAGAAGAAAACAAATGCTCATTTTATTTCAATTTACAAAAGAGTGAGGTCCCAAAACCTGTCTATTGTGTGAAGCAAATTTGTGATAGCTATAGATGAAGAAAAGAACCGAAAATATGTATGATAGGGGGCAAGGAGGCAAGGGGGCAATCGCCCAGAAGCCCGGTGCCATGAGGGCAGGAGGATGGGGGTATGGGGCAAGAGGGCTTTGCAAATGGAAAAAATTATTCTCTGTCAGTTTGAACAGAAATCGTTGTTTAGAAACAAGAAAATCATACTTGTAATGGTCTTGCATTTTGTCAAAGCCATCACAAGGCGAATGAGGGGCCCCTTGTGATAATTTCACAACATCTAGTAAAAGAGGGATTGTCGTGCTAAAACTGTCCAAGGGCCAGCCGTGCATGATTCGCCCATGCACCACATATCAAGCTCGCAAGACAAAAAAAATCGTTTAAATGCACGTGTAAAGAACAAAAAATCCTTCATAAAAAGGACTGGTATTTGCCAAATAACTTACCCTGTTTTTACCAAGCCTTTCACCCAAGGAGCCAGGTACTCTTTCGCTATCAGAGTTGACATTTGTCAGAGCTTCTCTAATGAAGGGTGGTGGAGAAGGAAGATCGTCATCTGGAAAGAAATTGGAAGCATCGCAAGTCATTGCATCATCTAAAACCAGTGAAAGGTCTTTCAATTCGTGTACAAATTTGTAGTTTGCGAAAAATAAAGCAAGTTGGCTGATTATAAAATCGTGCCAAATTTGTTAAAGATTGTCATGATACACCTCTACTGAAATATTGCACGGGTCAATTTATGTACCCAATTGCCTAGGCACACCGTTACTAATGCATTAATCGCGAAATTGTACTCACTCTCCCATTATCAACAATAAAACATACGGCCTAAAAAAACTAGGTCCCAGTCGAAATCTAACTCCAAATGTCATACATGTACTTTGCGGACTAGTGCAATGGGTCGGACAACAATGTTATAAGAAATAACTAAATCAGTTCAAAATCTTGGTTTGACAGCGCAGTCTATAGTCACATGCGCCGCAGAGCTTCTTAAATATATCTTTAAGAGTCCATAAATTATTTTCATGGAATCCTACTCTAGCACAAACCAAATAAAGTTGGCAATGAAAAGAATCTAGTCAGTGGCCAAAAAAGAAGACTCTAGGACCGTCTATATTAACAAATTTTCAATTACAATCACAATGACTTCGTGACATTTACACGTCCCGTCAAGTTGACAACGACAAACATGTGCCTGGAAATACAAATACAGAAAAAAGGCCTTGAAGGATGGGATTATTTCAAAATGGAATCATTCTTGCAGCCGCAGCTTTGAGGTCGATCCAAGATGAAGTGAAGTGTCATTGCTATACCTGTAGAAAGACCTCCTGAGCTGCTACCGCGGTTGGTCTTTGATTTCGGCTCCGTATTGTAGTAACCCCTGTCCCTGTCCTGACCGCTGCGATACGGCAAACGCTCTCTATCCAATCCGTCATCTTCGAATGAATTAGCAGGCCGTCTCTCTGAAAATCAAAGATGGTGTCGATGATCATCGATGCTGCAAAATTATTAGAGAAAAGCCACGCACAAAAAAGCATTTCGGTCTGGTGGACCTTTATTTAAGGTCATATTAGGCCATAAAGAGTGGGACCAATAGACCGTTGGAACACTTTTTCTTTCATAAGACAATTTTAGGCTTCATAATTCTCCTTCTCAATTTACAACTTAGAGATCTATCCAAAACAATAAAAAATTGAATTGATTTAGATGACTTTAAGAAGTTAGTAACAAGGAAGTTCGTTGACTGTGGCAATTCCTGCAAAGCCATTACTTTTCGTGTGATCCAGAATGTGCCATATGGTACTCTTTGTAAGTGCCTCTTTCCATGAAGATGCTGTACAATACATCCCCGAAAAGAAGAACTTAATTTCAAGAGTAATCTTACTCTTGGTATAAATACAATTAAATGTGCATTATAAGCAAATGTGTAGCAAAACGGCTGGAATATTACCACACCAGTACTGGCTCTTTTCCCAACAGAAAAAACTATTTTTTTTCACCTCGGATGAATTTCATTGTATTCCTTTAGGTTGTGCGATCAAAAATTAAAAAATTCTAAAAATGAACACTTTTCATGACATTACACTTGAGAAATCTTTTTCAGGTTAGAAAATAAAAGGTAAATGTAATAACGATAAGGAAAGAATAACGGAACAGTACCTCCTCTATAATCTAAACTCTCGAACGGATTTTTTGTTTTCCTTGATATTTCGGGTCCACGACCTTTCGTTAACGAGGTTCGAGAGCCAGATTTGGCACCAGGCTCTAAATCTGAAAGTTAGATAAATATGGGTAACTGTTTGTCATGGAACAGCATAGCAGGACTGCAGATAGAATCTGAACCTTGAGAACAAAGTCCCTAGAAAATGTTCAGATATATCGTACATCAACTTATTACAGGACGGAATATAACACCCTTGAAACTTTCAACTGCTTTAAACTGAACAGTATACCATTTAAAAATTGTTTAACTAAAAAGTTTTTGTTTCCAATTTTTGCTGAACTAGTTAATGAAACATTATGATCTGACAATTTTTCTTTCATCTAAAAGGTTTTCTGAAAAAAGTTCTTTGCAGTGATGTAGCACAGGTCTATGGCAAATCTTGATTAACCACAGAGAAAATACAGTCGCACAACTACTGACTTTTTAGTGTAGCAAAGGCAGGTTTGGATCCAGATAATTCATCATAGTTTGGTATTATTGTAGTGCCATTATCATTAAACGAAGCAAAAGAATTACTGATAGCTTCTTCAAAAGAAGGGGGTTTTGCACCCCTGAAACAATACTTTTGAACATCACTCTGAGAATAAAAGGAATTTTTCCAACCAGAGAGTGGCAATCACACACAAAAAGGTTCTTGTTTAGGAAAGAGACGAGGACCATTGGTTTTGGATGGATACGAGGCTCAATTACTTCCCTAGAGCGATTCCTATTTTAAGGTAACTGGTCAGGCAATTTAACTACAGTTGCGAAAAAGAAGCGGTTTGTGGAAAAAGAGGAGGGCGAAAAATAGAATTCGGGACGTAAAAACTTTAATATGAATTTTTGAAACGCCGCTTTTCTGCAAGGATACCCCCGTCAAAAAATTAAAGGAAAATGCATTTAAAATGGAGAATACGTACCAGGCAAGAGGGGCTTCTTAGCATTAGCAACTGCACTGAATGAAGTGTATGCCGGTGTGTTGCTAGCTGCTGGCTTATTGAAAGAGTCATTTTGTACATCTGTGCCATCGTATAGGCTAACTACAAAAGGGGAAATGTAGGATATGAGACACTTGGAAACAAGGCAAAACACTGGGGTTGACCAACAAAGAGCATAGATTTACAAAGCATGGCAGGGAGCAGGGGGAATAGCCCCTCTCTGCCTCTCAGATAACCAAATTTGTCGAAAACTTTCGCAAATTTTGCTACTCTGTCGAATTCTTCAAAAAAATAGCCTTTAACACCACCCCCTCCCACATAAACTCCATTCTAACTGCACCCCTAGGTATAAAGCATGAGCAACAAGAAACTTACAGTGGCCGTCATATGAAGGCGGTGAGTCTTTGCGTGCTCCCTTCTGCGTCAGCGGCTCGTCAGCACCTGGGTCATCATCAAAATCATTGCTGTAATCATGAAGCCCCGCGGCCCTCACAACATCAGAGCCGCCAGTTGCATAGCCGATATTCCCACTGGAAGAAAAAGGAATCCCCAAGTAAAATCAAATGCTATGAATTCTGTTAACATAAGGAGAATACCGCCATCTCAAGGGGAATGAGAATGTGATAACATGGGAATAAAATTATCGGCAACTGACCTGGCCCATTAAGTATTTTCTACCCAAAACAACAGGTCATAACCTTCGAGTCAAAAACCCCCTTGACATTCCAAAAGCCAGAAAGATCAATAATGGTATCAGATCACTAAGTGACCAAGGGCCTAAAATCTTGAATTCACTCCCAGAATCAATAAAGACATCACAAAATACTAGACAATTCAAGAATTCGATCAAAACTTGGTTTCTTGAAAACAAGTGCGCGTGCTCGTTTCGCAGTAAGTAATTTGTCTTATGCAATCCTTGAAATGCTTCATGTTAGTCTTAATTAGTGTGTCTTCACTATTGTAAAAATTAACATTAAATAATCTATACAATACAATGAAAAAATTGTGCTAGCTATAAGATTTAACTAGGGTGCTGAAGGCAGCAGTTGAAACAACCGCCAACACACAAGAGCAGTTGTATGCAAATTAAGTATTATATTTGACCGCCTTCCCAATCATCAAGTCAGGGAGACTACATATTAATTAGCTGACAATATTCTGCTTCATGAGGAGTGCATTCCAGCAACTTATGTCCAGGACTACAAGCCAGACGCGGAGGGCTGTGGAGGAGGGGGGGGGGTCAAAATCCCTTTCACCTCTGTAAACTGGAAATCTGAATATTTTACCAACAAAATGAAAATACAAGAAGTTTTTTATCGTAAAAACAACGGTTTTACGTGATATTTAATTAAAAAGTTGTCTCATAATCTCAAGTACACACCCTTTACCGCGTCCTGTGCTGTTAGTTTTCATCTCAAAGTGTCCATCTACAAACAATAAACGTTATTAGACCTCCAAGGATCAAGTAAAAAAAAGCATCAAACACACCACATTGAGAAACAACTCCGAACGTCTTTGTACTAAAAGTTTTTGCTTCAGATTCCGATTAAGGACGATAATGATAGTCTGTGTTTTGATGATGCTAGAACTGGTGATCTTGCTAAAAATTTAAACATTATACCGTGGATTTGATCGTGACTATCGACTCAGCGTTAAAAGTTATACCTGGAACAATTTTTCCTGTCAAATTCTTTACATGTTTTAATGTGTTGAATTGATAACGGGCTATGCTTGAAACGCCGTTAATAAATTTGCTATTATTTTCTAGTACAATTTTACCTTAATTTCAAGTTATATCATCACTAAAATAACCTTCTAAAAAAAATATAATTCTTTTGTCAAAAGGAGACGAAAATCGTCCAATTCCATATGATACAACTAAGGTGAAAAAAATCTCTATGAGACCAATCAAGACCTCCTCCCTTTCATAATCGATTGCTACTTAAAAAACTGGTTGGCTAATTTTCTTGATTTTAATATAGTTTTTTAACCGTATTTAAAACGCCATATCAACTTTAGGCCGCGGAAACTTTGCTAGCACTAAATTAAAAACATGAAGAGCTGATTCAAGCCATCCTTTGTGCTATGAGCAATTACTATTAAAATCATTAGCAAAATCCTTAAAGCAGCCTTAAAATAAATTCAGTTTTCCAAAAGGTTCCAGTTGCAAAAATCTTTCCTTGTAATCAGGAGCATAGCTAGCGGGGGTGTAGGGGATGCGACATCCCCCAATTCTTCATGAGTTGTCAGTCAATTTTATTAAATAGCATCTAAATTTATCTTTATCTATGTCTTCATCGGTAAATGTTACTACTCATGACTCTCCACCCCCTTAGTCTAGAAGATAAAGCTACACAGTTGCTTATAGTATTCTTGTTTCATTTACGTTCCCATGCTAAATGTATTGATCGCGTTATCATTATGTTATTCCGTGCTCTATGCGTGGTCGTTACTGTAAATGATTTAGATCTTTAAAGTGATGAAGTCACAAATATCTTATATTCGAACTTTTGAATTTTGATAACAAAACTCGTAGAGCATCATAAAATACCTCCAAATGTTTGAAATCAGCTAAATGTGGTAAGATATGGTATAGCTACTTAAGAAAAGGTCCTTTCCCTATCAAACCTCTCTAATTTCGTCTCGGTTCATAACTATATATATGAACCAGGCCAGAATGACAGTAATCTGTTAGCAGACTTCAAATCTTCAATTGGTAATATATCAACGAACATTAATATTTTATTTTTCATATCTGAAGGCATTTCATGGGGTTCTTTAAGGTCGTGTGATCAAAAGTCATGACGTCATACTTTAGAACTACTGATCACTGTGACTTAAGATAATACAGAAATAATGTATGAAAGGGCTTGTTATCATTGATATTTCACCCACAAAAATAGGCAACGCCGTTCTTGGACACATGAAACGCAGCTATATTTTACCTCTTTGATAGAGGCATAAAAAAGATGTAAAGATTTCTCACCCAGACCCCGTTTTTTCTTGTTTTTCAACAGGACGAGAGTGCAAACGACAATCAGAATCAAGAGGAAGCCTCCAACTCCGATGACAATTGCAATGATATCTTGTTTCTTCAGTCCCGTTCTCCCACCTGACGTCACACCAGCAGGCGAGACTACAACAAACAAACATAATACATTGCAGAACCTTTTTCAAAATGAATTAATCACATACAAAGCTCAAATGAGGAATGATACAACTCAGGGCACAGGGTGTCACATCAATCATTAACACGCCCATTGGAAGAAACAAAGTTACTGACGGGTAAAATATTGTGCTTAGATCCCGTTTTTATACTAATCGACTGTTCTAAGTTACAGCGATTCCAAACATCGCAAAAACGTTCAGCTACCAAGGTAAAATATTCCCTTATCGTGGAAAATAAATCATCTTACTTGTTCTGTTGCCTTAGCTGTTTTTACAGAAATTTACAGTTCTGAATTCTACACATCTGAATAATTGCTACGTACAGGAAAACTACAGAAAAGGTTTAACAATCAGTAAAACCCTTTACTTTGATAAATGTGAACGGTGATAAACCAAAATGAAAGGAAGCGTAGTTAATTGGTTACAATTTAACTACGTAGCTGAAGAGTCATTGATGTAACCAAACACTGATTAAACTAAAACAACCGATGCTTCATTTCTGAACGAAATTTGGCTTCAATGTTCCAAAATCATATACACGAGCTCTAGGAAGCACCTGGTAAAAATTTCATTATAATTTAAATTTCTTATCATTTGAAAACACAAGCAAACATCCATAACAAGCTCTGTTTGCAATTTATCGACCTTGCAAAATGCTAGAAATGTGTCGGTAGCTTGGCCTAAATCGGCCGTTGCTACTATTGTTTGCAACAAGAAAAACTGACATTAGAAGCCGGAAAAAACTTTCAACTCACTCTGCCCTGCACTGACTGGCATGCCCCTAGATCCATCTTTGTAAACAATGAAAACTTGAAATTCGTAGCTTTGCTCGCCATCTAACGACGATATGATCAATGTACCATTTATGTTGTCGGTAGTTTTTGTCCGCCAGCCGCTGTCAATAACCCGCTTGTATCGTACAATGATGCTTTTTGCTTGCGAATAATCGTTAATCGTCCAACTCACTTCAGCCTGTGTTCCTGATGTGCCGTAACGCCTTACAGACGCTGAGCCTCTCTTTGCCGGAGCAACTGAAAATGCAGAGGAGGCCGAAGATGAAATTGAGTATTAAGAAATATTCTCATATGATACGGTAAAGGACATTATTCTCATGAGGAATTTGATGGTAACCTGCTAGTTTATAAAAACACTGAAAACTATCAGTTTTATTCAAACAAACTTCAAGCTGATTTATACAAATCATAAATATATCATGAAATCGTAATTAAATTTTCCAAAGGCCTGGTTATACCTTGCAATCTGGTTTTTTCAGCCAAAGACTGTAGGCTATTAATTAAAGAACAAATCAGGTCTCTTGCCTTTGATTATTTGACCAAAGTATTATCCATCTATAAGCCTTACCCTTTGTTTTGTAAGTTAGATATGGCCTGTACTCGCTACTCGGGCCTTTCTCGTTGATTGCTTTTATCGTAAACTCGTACGCAGTCTCTGTTTTCAGCCCTCTTAAATAGAAGACGTTGTTAGGACTTGATCCGATGTTTATCTGTTGAAACGAGCTCTCCCCTTGAACCCTGTAATATAACTGAAAGGTGACGGCAAAGCCCCCGTTAAAGCCTGGAGTCCACGTAAGCCTAACATTGGATGTCGGGGGGTCTGTTTCCTCCAAAGCATCTGTGGCCATCAGGCTGCCATATACAGGGGGATCCGGGACACCTGCAGGGGAAAATGTAAATTAGTCCGATGCTGGCGATGTTCAGTGAATACTAGCTCAAATTAGTAATAAAAGCAAAATATGTGTACATTCTTAAAGTTACTGTTTATCTTCAAATATTGTAAAGAATAGAATTTTGCGATTCCCCGCACCTTCCGTCACTCCCTCCCTACATCCTCACTCCTTACTCTTCCCTCATTCTATCATTCTACTAACCCCCCCCCACCCCATCTCCCTTCCTCCAATATTTGTAAACCTAACAAAAATTCGAAGAAACTTGAGAATTTCAATGTGATAACAAATTCTCAAAATTGCTGAAAATTGTACATTGGAATAAGACACCCCCTCACATATGCCACACACCCTCAAATCTCAGCTTGTTCCCACCACATCCCTCTATGTAGCATTTTAGAGGTATGTCGGCTAACGAATTCACCTTGTATATGTCTTCACCTTTCAAATGTCTCTATTTTAAAGATCATAAATGAAAGATAAAATAAACTTACTTTTGACACGGATTTCATAGTCTTGGGACACCCGTCCTAGTTTGTTAACAGCATTGCATTGGTACCTGCCGAGCTGTGCCTCAGACGACATTTTTACTTCCAATGTGCTTGTACCCCCGCTCACTTTGACAGTATACTTGTCTGTGCTTTCGATGCGGGCTCCTCTCCTCTCCCACGTGATCATGGCAGGGGGGTAAGCGTCGACACTGCATACTAAGGACACGTCTGGGGCGCCAACGCCAACATCTGCTCCCACCCTGGTGGCTGAAGGGTCCTTAGTTGTTATAACGGGTGCATCTGTGTGGAGAGATGAAGGAAAAATACGTCATTAAAGTTTTCTAGGGGAAAATCATGAAAGGGAAGTTTTTGATGAGGCTCGAATATATGAAGGGGATAACATAGCAGCAATGCTGAAAGATGGCGAATCCTGAGGCCCCAGGAAGGTAACGAGACAATCTGAGGCTTCGTACGCATCAAGAACAAATATGACGATGAAATTTCAACTTTAAGTTAAGAAAGCTATCAAAAGTAACTGACAGTGAAAAACAGGCAATAAAAACAAAACTAAGCTCATTAACAAAGATTAGGTGCGTCAGTTGTGATACTTCAGCTCTGCTCGCTTTCAGTGGGTATCAGGCTAATCGTGACAAGGCGACAGTGCATAACACCGATACATCGTACACGCTACCTAGAATTGCTTGATCGAGTACAAATGAACGAGAAATGGATGCAAACAAAAATATGCGTAAACACCATTAGATAAATAGAAAAACCTGCAGTTTTGAAAATGAAAACGAGACTATAAACACACCGCAGTTGATATAATCTTGAATTGAGAATGAACTTACGATTAATGATCAAAATTGACTTGACAGTCGTATTCCCAATCTTATTTGAGGCAGTGCAGTAATATGTCCCCTTCTCCTTGTAGCCTACATTACGAAGCATTAAGATCTCGCCTTCGTGAAGAATTGTCGAATCTGATATGCCATCTTTCGTCCAAAGAATCCTCGGCTTCGGTACACCCGTGGCATTGCATTGAAATCTGATGTTGACAGACGCGTTCACGGTTTGGGTAAGAGGTGGAGTTATCGTAATTTCTGGTTTATCTGGCAAAAAAATTGTCAAGAAACATGAAAATGGCGATTAAAGGATGAAAAAAAACTCAACAATTTTCCATAATTATCTTCTATTCCATTAAAGAGGTGTGCTTCTGTCTTTAGGGAGAGACTTTAAAACTTCTTAGGAAAAGTTTCACTGTCCCACTGGTGAAATTTCATTATCCTTGGCAGAAAAGGCTCTTAATCTGCCAATATTTTTTCTTTTCCCTTTGGGTAAATACACAAACTTTTTTTTACAATTTTCCCACTCCTACAATTTTCCCACTCCTAAAGAGCAGGCTTTTCCCCTACGGAATACTAAAAGACTTTACCATCTCAAAGTTTGGGTGAATCTCATTTGTAAAAGTCAAATCTTGGGATACAATTAAAAAGAGCTGAATCGACTAAAAGGTTTTGAAATGTTATGGCAACAACTAAAGAACTTACACATTACAGTAAGAAATGCAACCGCTTCTGGTCCCGCACCAACAGAGTTTATACCGGCGCATGAATACCGTCCGGCGTCAGTGCGACTTGCTTGCATAAAGTATATCCGTTCGGTAGCTTCAGTTGTCTTGACAATACCATTCTGCTTCCAGAGGTAGGCTGACAGTGGTGGCTTCCCAATAGCTTGGCAGGACAACTCTGCAGGCTGGAACTCTAATACTGATACGTTCTTGGGAAATATGACAATGTACGGTGCATCTTAAAAAGAAGATAGGAATCAGGGAGTCACTTGCAATTTAGCAGAAAAGGCACTAAAGACTTTGCCACAAGACAGTGAAATGGACAGACAAAATACTACCTACATGATTTGGTAGGCTATAAAAAAAGCTCTTGTGATGGAAGTTTCCTCTACAAAAGGATTGATCTCATGCATGAGGTTCCTTTGCATAAATATAACGTTCGAATTCAGCAAATATGGGAACTTTATGTCATTTTAATGATAACTAACCTTGATCAAATATGTAAGTAGCAAGTCTCAATAGGTAAAGGTCAAGGGAAAAACCAAGTCCAATGTAAGGGCAAAGGTGGGGGGTAAGGTCAAGCCAAAGATCAAGGTTGTATCAATGAAAAGGTTAGGGTTAAGTTCAAGTCAAAGGTCAGGGTAAAAATATCAATGAAAAGGTTAGGGCTAAGTTCAAGCTAAGGTCAGGGTTAAAAAATATCGATGAAAAGGTCGAAATGAAGGTCAGGTCAAAGGTCAGGGTAAAAATATCAATGAAAAAGTAAAAATCAGAGTCAAGGTGAAGGTCAATGAAAGGTCAAGGTAAAAGTAGTCTATTGCATTAAAATTGCTACTTACAGTTGACCTCCAGGATGTACTTTCGCTCCACCACCCCACCGAAATTCTGCCCAAAGCAAGTGTATTCACCATCATCAAATCTTCTAAGGGGCTTGAATTCAATTCTCGAATAGTGAATTTCTTCGCCAGCAATATTAAGTTTCGTTCCATTTACTTGGCGACGTATATGATCGTACTGGACAAGGGCTCTGTTTAGTGTCCAGTAGATATGTGGCCGGGGAATGCCTTTCATCTCACAACTAAGCGTCAAATCTGTGCCTGCATTTAGGAGTCGGTTTTGTGGGCTTCCGATTATATTTATTGCTGATGGCGCAACTGTGATAGAACAAGAAAAAAAATTGAAAAACTGAGATTATTAGAGAATGATCACCCTTGTTATGATTGCAAGAAAATACCACTGTTATTTCAAGGTTGTTGGTCATAAGCTAGTTCTCACAGTTGTTTTCTGTAGGTAGGAAAAAATTGAAGGGATCCACAGAGGACGGGAAATTCGTAGAAGGGGAAGTTTGCTTTTGGAATCCCATTAGCAATTAGGCCATGTTTCCATAATACCTGAATTGCCGTTCTTAGAAAGGGAAGCTTGCTTTTGAAATCCTAAATAATGAGGCCCTGTTTCCATAATACCATGTTCAAATGAATATGGTCGGATATCATACTGTATTGGCCTTTCGTAAAAACAATTATAATGAAAGTGTATTAAATGAAATCATGTAAACAAATGAATCCGTTACATTTTGAATACCGTTAAACAAGAGGTACTTCCGGTTGCGTAATAGCGCCGCCATGACGATCCCTACCTAGGGTGGTATCAGATTCAGTACGGTATGAAAATCGTTTCGGAATAGTTTGAATATCGTAGCTTTAGTCTCCTTGTCGATACATACCTAAAATCGTATCGGATTAAGTGCAGAATCATTTTTACATGAATAGTAAACCACATTCAGTCTTAAACTTAGATGGGCAATGACATCATACTCACCAACAACAACAAGCTGAGCTAATTTCCGAACCGGTTCTCCGATTCCATTTGTAGCGACACACTCGTAAATGCCACTATCTGTTATGCTGGCGGACTCAATCAAGTAAAACTGTGTCATTACTTTGGGTGTAGGCGATCCTTGAAAACCAATGCTGAACTGGGCGCCTGGGTTACTCAAAGCAATGCACGTCATGTTCACACGTGACCCAACCATTGCATGTACTATAGAAGTATTGTGGTTGTTGATGCTGAAGTTCATTCTCTCTGGGCGATCTATGTTAGGGAAAAAAACAGAATTATATGAATAGAATAAACAATTAAAACGCATTATGTAGTCTCATAAAACATCTTGATGTAAAAAACAATTCAAAGTTTCTAGGAAGATATCATTTGAACTAAAGAGCTTGCCAAGCGAAATATAAATTTGATGAAAATTTATTGACAAAAAACTCACGAAACATGGATTCTGCTGCAAAAGACTCATATAGCATCGCAATGCAATTCATCGCAATGCAATTCATCGCAATGCAATTCATCGCAATGCAATTCATCGCAATGCAATTCATCGCAATGCAATTCATCGCAATGAAATTCATCTCAATGCAATTCATCGTAATGCGATTCATCGTAATGTATGCAAAAGACATCTAAGGCTACAATTCTTTGCCTAAGCATTTTGTGTTTAAGAACTGAATTCAGCCTGGCAACCAGTCAGATCCACAAAAAGGGAGGGCTGGAGGACGTACGGCAGTATCAATTTTGTATTTCATTTAAATTCGTTAACAAAATGTTGGGGGAGGGGTGATCCTATGATTTTCAAACTACTCGCACGTAACAAAATTTAGCCATGGCGTGCCTTTCAGGTAAAATTGGCGTTCCTTGTTGGCAAAAGTGCGTTATCTGGTGGTAGAAAGTGCGTGTCCTAAAAACTTTGTTTCCTTATTTCATTTAGTTTCTATAAAAAAGTTATCTAAAACTCGAATTACTTTTATCACTCCTTTCTTCTGTTTTTGTTTATTGAAATTCCTGCGTTACTAGCTAGCCTGACTCTATTTGGTTTTTAATTTATGACAGGTGACACAGAATATTTTACATTCTCTGCGCCATATAACACCTTTCATGTATTGCTAACTGTGGTCAAATAGGAAAAGAATTGTTTTCCAAAATAAGGAGTTATCCGGTTTGGAGTGCAAAGGGGTGGGTTCTTCTTGACTCGCTTGTCATGTAGTTGAGCAAATATATTTCCGAGCATGTGCACTTAGGCTGCAAATAAGCCACACTTTTGCCATCACATCGATTCGTTAAATTGCCTTTGCTAACTTAGCCACAACCTGCGCGACGTAAAATATAAACCTGCCTGAAGGCAATTACGTACATTGAACATCCAAGATTACACTGGCCGGCGTCCTCCCGTGAATATTGACTGCCTCGCATTCATACTTGTCGGCACGATCCTTGTCAACACGTTCAAAAGACAACGTCGATATTTCTGATTTCTCTCTCAGCTTTTCCCGATAAAACTGCCGTATTCGCGTCCAGGTGAATGTTGGTTTTGGTGTCCCGTCCGCATGACAATTGAGAGTAACGTTGCCTCCTTCACGAACTCTTACGACTCCGTTTGAAGAAGGTATTATGTAAACATTTTCCGGGGGGTCTGTAGAAAAAAGAATAAAAGTCATCAGACTCCAGAATAAAGACCCATTGACAAATTACTGGACTAATTTACATCTGTGTCGTGTTTATAGCATCCTATCGCAAAATAAAGATCGAAAAATAAACTTTGACTAGAGGATAAAATGCTTTCAGCTTGCTAAAGAAAGAGCTTAAAATGGAAAACAACGATTGAAATCTCATCAATATTTAAACTTAATAATTCAAAATAAATTGGATAGTATCTGCTGCATATGAAAAACAAAGACATCAACATATATGAATTATTCATCTTATCGTTCCCCTTATCTTTTGGCTAGTGTTTCTGACGAATTCTTTTTGTGCATATAGTAACTGCTGGATTTGAATCGCTCGAAGTATACATATTTCAAACACAATCATTGATGGCAACTGTGTACATATACAAATAAATTGCATCTTATCTTAACAATTTTGTCTAGGAATGTAGACTTCGCAGGCTTACGTGTCGCGAAAATCAAGGCTAAATCCACTTGATCAAAAGCAGAGTTATGGCCTAACATGGCTTTTTCTTACATATTATGTCATAAATTTCATATGTCATCACTGCTAATTACTGTAGTGAACGTGCCTTGGGTAGAAACAGCCCTAGCTAGGGGGATCCCTGGATAGGGGGACCTTTGTGATGGGCATACTTGGAGCATGAATAGGGCTTACTCCTGAGCAACAAACCTGTGATTGAGTACAGAAGCCTTAATGAAAATAGCAATTTTATTCTTTGTTGGCAGCAACCCCTTTCCTGTGAGCATTGAGCCTACAAATCTTATGGATGGTCCTTTACTTGGCATCAAGGACTACTTATGACTGATAGTACTTATGAACTTGAATAACATTATGATTCTAATCTGGAATGAAATACAAAAAGTCTTGGGTTTTCCAAGAATTCGCTGAGAGGTGATTGCTGCGTTTCTTGAGAAAGGATTGCCACAACTGCTAAAGCCTTACTTTAATGCAGCCTTGTTTTAAAAACCATTTTAGAATACTTACACACAACATCAAGACTTATTTCGTAGCTATCAAAACCAGCATCATTCTTTGCATAACATTTGTAAAGCCCTTTATCTTTTCGAAGTGTGCTGTTAAAAATCAGAGGTGCCTCGAAGTTGCTCTGGGTTGAGGTAAGTTTTATGTTGTTATGCCACCATTCAATAGTGAACGGTTTTGGGTTGCCTTGTCCAACGCCACATTCAAACTTCAGTTTTTCACCTTCCTTCACGACTCTGTTTCCATTGGTCTTCAATGTGATCACAGGTTTGACTTGAAAACAGAAGAGAAGTTACAATCAACAGATTCATATCAACTTTAAAATGAAGTTCAAATCAGCTTTCCTGGAAACGAAGTTTATTGAATCAAAATGAACAACACTTCTAAGGCATATCAAGAAATGACTTTCTCATCTCATACCATTACAATTGGAGTAAGCCCTTAGGGGGGGGAGGGGGGTACCACAGCCCCCATTTGGCAAGGCCCCTGTTAGAGAGGGTTTATTGAATTATTATGGCAAGTTAAATAAATCGTAGAGATGTCTTATTCTCTTAGCTTTAACTGTACTGGTTTAGCATAGCTGTTACCTGTGCATCTTCGTGAATGGTCTTCGAAAATCAGTATCTTTTTAAGGAGTTAATATTCATTTTGAAAATTGGATGTGGAAAGGGCATATTCAAGGTAGAGATACTATTTCAAAAAACAGGGAGTTATTTACCCTCTGGTCCAAAATTATTGAGGGTAGCAATAATAGGGCACTTTCTCTATTTATCAATAAAAGGGGTGGATTACACGTAACAAGTAGGATTGCATTTTGCACAGTAAATTGTTGATAGCACAAATAATATATTGTTAGCTGCTACAGACAAGGCAGAATTAAGCATAGAAACTGAAGGCAACCACTTTGAGCTTTGAGTAAACACTAATTAAGTATATATAGAGCTTCCTGCAACATTGTGATGGCAACTGTTCTTATTTTTTACCCGGCTTACCAAATAAAAAAGCCATAGCCAAGTGGAAGGATGGTAAAATTTTTGTAAAAATGTTTCAGCTCTCTGGTTATCAGGTGCTATTGAATTCTGAAAAGTATTGTTTATCCAGAGATATATCTGATCTTAATCAATGTACAGAAAGTTCGATATCACAGCTTGTTGAGACTGTTTATGGAGGAAACCTACAATGTTCACTCCCACATTATGGATATATATATATCATATTTTGTCTAAAAATGCAACAATATAATTCTAAATCCGGTTTTAGTCACCCGGTTTCCATGTATAACTAGCATTTTCTATTAGTCAAAGGGTATTGGCTGAATTCCTTTTTTTGCCCCCTCCAAAAGTGCTGGCAAACACTTCTCCTGGATAAATTGGCTAGAGATTGCAAAACACCAAATAACATTATCAAATTGCAAATTTGAACAGGAATAGAAACTTACCTAATACCATTAGTCGAACTCTATCATACCATGTCAAACCATTTAGGAAGGACACAGAAAATTCAAAAACTCCATCATCTGACAACTTAATGTCACGTATTTTCATTGTGGATGGTGCTATACCAGTTGTTCTTGAACCATACTCAGTATTAGAGGAAGCAACAACTGGGGCTGCATTTGTAGCACCCTTTGTCATTAGTATATTGTTAGTACATTGCTGACGGACGCTATCTACTTTGCACCATCTTTCTAGGGTCAGTGTTGTCCCAGATGGTGGCGAGTACTGCCAGATAAAGGTTGCTTCTCTACCAATCTCTACTTTCAATACATCTGGAGGCTTCCTTGTGAACTGACCAAAAGAATCTAGGAAAAACAATTTCTGTAACATAAGCAAGATTTTAGATAATACAAAAATATAAGTATACTTTCTTGACTTTACATACATTTGTAAACCAGCCATTAAATTTCCAGGGAGGGATTTGATTTAATAAGGTTTGATTCAATTAACTCACTCCATCATGATAAACTTTTCATTACAAAGCATTAGCAAGTATGTCACGAAAGGGGCAAAATTTTGTTACAACAAATCACACAAAGCAATTTACCCCAGAAATAACTTGATGGTCCTGCTACAATCAGCCTATTGTTTGTGTCCAATTGAGTTGGCAGCTCATTCAAAAAACATTCAATGGTTTTCAATCTCGTGAGTTTTAGATTTCCAACCTTTTTTGCTTCAGCAAATAAATATACAGATGAATATTCTTTAGTTTTTTCATGGAATTCTTAATTGCATTACAGCAATTTTAGGTAAATGGTGATTTTTGTGACATTGTAAGCATTATACATTATTCAATGATAACATGCAATGGGGTTTAATTAAACTAGAATTTATTGAGAAAGCAATCAGGCAAGCTGGGGTGTTAAATTTATGATGTTTGTGCAAAAAGAAACCCAATAGGAAACCATTATATATTTTAATCTCAATTGTTGATTCACTTTTAAGATTACGAAACTGAAGTAATGTTAAACTTAATATTAATATTAAACTTAAACTGAAGTAACTTTTGACTTACTTTAGCATCTAAAGCAAATGATCTCACATATTCACAACAGTAAACAGTTTATTCAAAATCATTTTTATTCTTTGAAACTACATTTTTTCTACATGTCATAAAAAATCAGACTCAGGGCCATAAAGACCTTTAAGAATAATTACACGTAATTTGTAATTTGTATATACCATATAACTTGAAAGAAGACCATTAAACATTTCTAGTTACAAATTACCTTCGAGATGACAACTTAGCTACTGCAATGGTTCTAAAATTTATGAACCAAGCCACAACCTTGACCTAATTGTAAAATTTTGATATTTTACTGGATATTGATCAACTCTTTGAGGAGAGGCATAGCTCTTGCTCCACTCCTGGCTCTCCTTAAATGCTTGAGGACAGCTGCTGATTGCCTTCCTTGAAAACAAGTTTTCCTTTATTTTTTTATAGATCTGTGAATAGATCTTCTGGCAATTACTAGGAGAGTCAATACTACTCCCTTGCTAGGCCTGAATCAACCAATTAGCATCAGATTTACCATTATATTTGAGACATATTGGGTTCTTTCTATCTATTTGCTCATAACGCAAAAACTGTAAAGATAAATCTGAAAGATGTTACCAGTTTTAGTTGATTTATAAAACCTATTCTTGAGAGATCAAAAGGAATTTTTTTTAAATTTAAGGACAGGTTTCTCTTTCAAGGTAGTGTTTTGGGCATATGCTGTTCGGCCTCTTAATTATATACTTAAACTGCATTTAATACTAAAACAAACATGTTCGGCGAGAGGAAAATGATCTTCTTAGAGTGATGACCGATGAAATCATGAAATTTATCATGTCAAAACAATAGCAACTATTTAATAAACTTCCAACAATATTTTTTTGTGATACAGAAATTAAAAATGGCTTTGAGAAAGCAAACTTTTGAATCACACTGAAACATTTTGTCTGGCATTCACTGAGTATAAAACATCAGAATTTTATGACTTCTATATATACTCTATCAATGTACAAGTTCGACCTTGGAAGGCTCTCTGAGAGGAATGGAAAAATAAATCTAGCTGTAAACAATCTTTTGGTGGTACAAAACTTGAAAATGGCTTATAAAAAAAGCAAACATTTCAGTAAACTAAAGCTTTTCGTCTGACACACTTCTGAGTTTAAAATGTCAGAACATAGATCGAAAAGTCTATGCTCGGTTATATATATACCCAGTTGTGGATCGAAATAGGTCAATCAGAAACACGAGCACATGACTGTTGAGGTTGACCAATCAGTGCAGCTTGCTTTAGAGAATGTCACAAATGGAGTCCGAAGGTGAAAACAAACTCCTTCTGTCTAAACAATAGTGATTTTTTGTGCTTATATAGATAGATTCCAAAACTGCTAGATGGAACGACGATTGGTTGAGTGTCTGAAATTTTAATATGATGGATATGTTCTGACGTTTTAAACTCTGAAGAGTGTCAGACCAAAAGCTTTAATTTACTCAAATGTTTGCTTTTTCCAAAGCCATTTTCAAATCTAGCTGTATTCTACTAATTTTCATCATTTGGGACATAAATATTACTATGGATGATTCATTTTATTTTAAAAGTTTAGGTTTTTAGTTTTTAAGGATTAGCTGCAACCCCATGTTAAGGATTAAATGCACTTTATGGGTGTAAAATCTTAAAGTTGTTTTAAAATAAGACTGAACGTTATCCTACATTTGAATTAATATCTCAAAAATAAATCAAATTATGGGGAGGTGTCTTGGCTATGGTTTAATTTCACAGCTTTAATCGCAATTTAAGACAAAGAAAAGCTCTATATCACATATTTTAACGCCAGTTTTGCTTAGTATTTTTATAAAAAATTTAAAAATTATTTCAAAACGTAGTGTTACACAACAGAAACTGAACCACTAGCAATATCAAGTCGGTGCTATGCAACAAATGAACTTCGCAAGAAAAGCTTTTTATTGTCGAATTGAAGGGTCCTAAGCAAGTAGGGACCTTTTACCACTATAAGAATGAAGTTGTTGCATGGCAAATGGCATCAAAAAACAGTTCACTTGCCTGCAGGTTAGCATTGGTGCCTTTTCACCTTCGTTGACCTATATTTACTGAGGGCGTTCAATCCCACTGGTGTTATACCAGCAGGGAGAATCGAAAACATTTTACCGCTTAATCGAAAACATAACAAATGTAAAATATAGATAGGAGATTTCCAAAGGCTAATGATCACCCCCACAAGTGGAATCGTATCTACATTTTTTTTGAAGAATCGAATTTTACTTTCGGCTCCCTGGTGGTCTCTTTCTTTCACAACAAGCAAATGAAAAGTCCTTTCATACTACAGCGTTTTTACTCGCACAAACCCCGAAAATGCTAGCCTAATAAATGTAACGAGACGACAGCTCCTTATAAAGTATTCAGTGAGTTCTGAAACCATGAAGAATTGCTGACCAGTTCGCAGCCAGCGACTTTCTTCTTTTTAACAAAACAAACTGACGACGTTCACGGAAAAGGTGGGCTGGAAGTCCGACCACAACAAATCTTGAACTTACCTTCTGATTTCACCACTTCTAGACCATACGAAACAAGACTTAAAACATACAAAACTACGGCGAAATTTCTCTTAGTCATTTTACTTCACATAGTAATTCCACTGGATTGGCAATGCAGTTTTCCTTTATGGCGGTTAAATTTTAATTTCTTCAACTCCTTCCCCCTCTTCTGATTTGTAGCCTTGTATTGAAATAACAGCATTCCTATTCAGTGTCATCTACCTAGAGCAGATGTAGGCTGTCGCTTGGAAACTTTAAGCGTTTGTTTTTCTGTAATTTTCAATTATTTTATTTGATAAAATAGCTATGAAATTAATAATATTTGCATTTTTAAAACTATATCTACATTCTAGCAATTGCAAGAAAAAAATTTAAAAGGGAAAAAATATTGATAAAACCAATGCCCAGATATCCAAGCCAAGCTCAGAAATATTAAATAAATAAGACAAGAAACTTTAAATTTTTTAAGACATGATTTTCATTGAAATAAAATGAAATCCCTAAATTGCCACTCGATTATGCCTCCAGAGCCAGTACGTGGTATTCATCTACTTGAGAAATATGTCATTTAGCAAGAATTTATCATGCTCAAGTCGAAACTCCATTGGTCACAGCTCTAAGGTCTGAGTCAATGCACCTCCGCAACTCCAAGCTGATGCCAAAAGAGCCGCTTTCAATAAGATTTCTATGATAAACGTCGGTGTTTTCTCATGACGCTCAACTTCTCACGGAGAAAATACCAGTTCCTCCATCGATTTTTCACCAGGTGGTCATTAGATTTCTGATTAACTCTTTGAAAGCCCCCCCAAACCTATCGTGCTGAGCTTCCTAGCACTTTCACGAACAATCTGCCAGCAAAGAAGCACAAAAATTCAAGGACCGCGGAGAATATTACAGATTGAGGGGGCTAGAACGTTTTGGGGGGGGGGCTAAACATGCTAAAAACCAAAAGCAAGGCGACTTTTTTGTAGTTTTAGTACATTTTTGAAATTATTGGGGGGCTGGGCTAAAGCTCCCTCAGCTTTAGTAACATGTTGAAATTGCTTGCTTTTTCAAAAACGTGTTTAAGTTTTGTACCACTAAAGGACTGTTTCGACTTTGGTTGTTTGTTTTCATACTATTCTATTCTTACAAAGCCAACAAAAAATTAATTCAACGATCATTGTTATGTACCTTTGAACAAGCAGTTGAAAATGCAGTTGTCCAAGTCTCTTGTAACTCACATAAAGATCTAGCTGTAGAGCACGCAAAAAGATCGAATTCAAGGGTAATGACCCCTTGAGCTTCTTCAAGGGGAGGCCATGGCTCCTTGCTCTCTCTCCATTTCACCCCCTCATCCTCTAGCCCCCTCATCCTCTAGCCCCCTCATCCCCTAGCCCCCTCATCCCCTAGCCCCCTCGCCTTAGGCCTAACTCTACAGTCTACACCTATATGTATAAGTGGTTAGGTAACCTAGATCAAGCAATAATAAAATATATCCAAAGCATATTGTTGAATGACATTCGGGCGACTGCAGATACCCCATTTACATTCTGGATCATTCCATTTATCGAAAGTTTGAAGTTTCGCAAGGATTTGCGGAATTCTATTTATCTTCTAAGTCAACCCTACGTACTCTTAGCACTGTCTTAACCCAATAATACCGCCTCAGAAAGAATGAAGTAAAGAAATAACCTGATCTCTAAGCAGGTAAAGGCAGAGCTGTCAAAATCCTTTTTTAAATCTGTTTAGATCACCATACTTGTTAATAATGAGGTGGTTACCAAGCAATGGGTAATTTGACTTGCAGTGCCTTTCATCTATTATTCGACCGGAATTTAGTGTACATATGGAATAGATTAAAGAAGACTTATGTTCAGCTAAAGATGATTTTACAGAGAGTGCATCTCTTTTTGGTCACATGAGGTGTGTCTGTGGTTAAGTGAATCTCAATTTCCAAAACCTGATAACTGATTTTTTGTAGGGCGTTCCAAAGAAAGACCATTACAGCGACTGTTGAACACACATGGTTTCAGTATATATTGAAAGTATTGCATTTTGAAAAGATATGTTGCAAAGTCAATAGCCACAATATCAATGTAAGAGTCAAAAACCTGGATGAAGTTTTAACCACTGAAATATTGCAATAACCATAAGATACATTATAATTTTTGAGTGGCATTGTACATGCAGACAGCATTTTAGAAAGCAGTAAACGTGAAAACAAGCAAAGAGCCTTGTATTTATGATTGGGATACCAACCACTACAACGTGTTAAAAGTCTCGAGATGGTATAGAATCTAATTGGCTTTGCTATCAATTAATCTTTGCTTTGAAATAGACTAAACAGCACAGTCCGTATTCCAAACTGCATTTTAGTCAGGGCATGAAGCTCAGGCTGTGTGATTGGCAACTGCAGCCATATATGAGATCCGTTATGGTTTTGTAGGAGAGAAAGATTATTCTCCTAAATTTTAAAATCTTTACCTCTGTCAGTGACAACGGATAACATGTTTGACTGGGAAGGCAAAAGGAAAAAGCAAGGGTGGCGTTTAACACTCCATTTCAAAAGAAAATGCACACAAATTTCCCATAATGGTAAAACTGGGGGTTAGTTGGAAAATACGAGGCCAGCCTCGTTGGGACCTCAATAAAGTCTCTTTTTTAATTGAAAGGGTGTTCAGCAGTCTGGAAATTCACTATGGATTGAATCGTTTTTTTACATTTATTTATAATTCTTTATTTTATACTATATTTTTACTTATTAGAACATCTTGCATATATAAAAATATAAAAATGATACCTTTTCAAATGTTAGTTTAACAATAATGTAAACACTAGCATACACCCACATAAAGCAATTTCAGAGATTGCATTATGAAAGTTGTTGACTGCAAGCGTTGAAGCCGATTTGATTCTCAAAATACCAATCTTTTGAGAGAACTTTGAATAGACCAACCAGGCAGGGAATTTTTAAAGGATATTTGAGTGGTGGGTCATTTTTCAAAAGAGCCTGTGCTCACATCAAGAAGTTGTAAGGGTTTATGGAAGGTGCTTCAGATTGTAACATGCTAAAAGATTCCGGTTTGCTGCAAGAGCTAGATGGGCTATATCGTTTAAAACATATTTGCTAAGAGAAGCTAGCAATTTAGCATGGAATGCTGAATTTAAATGTTCGCCTAATTTGCAATTTATTACATTCAGCAAAATTTCCATGACATTATGCTGTTTCCATTCTGATTTTTATAAGGATTCCGTCTTTGGGCTTCTAGATTTGACAATGATTACTATTACAAAGTCTCTCTAAAACGTTCAAACATATTTTTATAAACATAATTGGAATCTTTGTATGAAATATTTTCGATCATAAACGATACAAGCAAATATATTTTACTAAAAAGTTTACAGTGAAGAATCTTGATATCTTCCAAACTGAGGGCATAGCTTGTTCGACTGTTTGCACTTGAAGGATGAAAAAAACGGTTTCTATTTGTTAGCATTCACATTATGTTCTTTCTTTTAAAAGTGGCTTGGCATCTGTGGTAAAAGGAGCATTTTCCTCCTCATTGGTGGGGCGATTCCCCCATCACTGAGTATGTTAAAAATGCCCTGCATCTCGGAGTTTGCGTCGCCGTGACACAAATGAGGCAAAAACCGCAATAAATACAATGGCGGCCCACATCATCGAGATTTATAAACTCCTCTGTAGTTCAAACAAGGTCCATTGTTAATCAACAAAGTTCAGATTTGAATTCTTACAGTTTTGTCTTTATTCGTAAGAAGTTTCACTGCCAAAAAATTAAAAAAAAAACAACCTCTATACACAATAAATTTTTCGCTGGGTTGCCCCATCTGAATGATCAGAACTATCTATAGAACAATAAAATTTAATCATTACCCAACACTCCCCAAATACTTGCACCTTAAATCTGTCCCTCTATGCGAATATAAAGAATTCCCAATGAAAGCATATATATATAGTATAATGTAGAAGAAATACTGTAGTGCTTACTATCAACAGGTGTCGTTTAATGTTTTCATTTGCCAACTAAGCTATCAAAGACTTCATACAGATATGTCAAAGAAATGTTTATAAGTACCCGTACCTACAGACGCGAATTATTAACATGTATCGCTTTATCTGTATACCAAAACTATTTACTTGCGTTTATAGACAGGTATTTTTGGCCTATAGTTAAAAGCACTCCACTTTGAAATAATGGGACACTTCGAGGGGCGATTAAAAAGGAAGATCTTTTGAATTTTCAAAGGGTGTTAAAAAGGGGGTGTTAAAAAGGGGGTGTTAGAAAAGGGTGGTTTAATTGAAGTAATACTGTAATAAAACACGATGTTACTACCCTTGTCCCAAAATACCAAAATTCAACTGAATGGAACCCCATTGTTGTGTTACTTAGTCTAGTTGTGAAGAAGGTCAAATTTTTGCTTATTGCTTTTTTGGGTAAGCTACTAGACGTAGAAAATGGCGTTTTGTTGCGTTGTCTGGCAACAGATCAGAAATGAAATGAAGAAAACAGTAGTTAAGCCAAGAAAAATTTGATCTTCAACGAGTTCTGAATGAACAGTCGTTTTGAAAAATGGGCAGCCATATTATTCTGGAAGAAATATCAATCTCTCTCGGCATAACATCATAAATAAAGCCATAAATCTTCTTAAGACTACGATTAGCCGTAAATATTGCACTGTATCAAAATAAGCTGTCATTAGGTAGGCTAATATTGCATCATGGTCAGGCATTGCGTGCAAAAAGCGAATTAAATGAACTCTCTTTAAATCAAGTAAATTCCAACCATAATCCTAGCATCTTCTGATTCTAGCACTTGACTCAAGCTTAAGAGAAGAGCTTTCAATCCAATTAGTCCAAACATGTGTCCATGAAATGATTTGCCAATGCAAAAGATTGCGGCAACGAAGTCAAAGTCAGATTGTTCATAAGTTGATTAAGCATCAGCATATGGAATTGATTTTCGAAGAAAATGTGCAAAATCTTCTTTACCCACTCTCTAGTTTCCTTCTCTTCTTGGTCATAAAAACAATCTTCGCGATTTTCGTTTTGAGTTTCATGATAATCACCATGCCTCGGCCCTTTGTTATCTTGTAGAAAATCATCTCCTTGGCGACTTGTTTCAAAGATACAACATCAATCGTCTGCCAAAGATGGCCTTCTCCACACTGTAATTTCCACAAGCATACTGCAACATCATCAAGGCACTGGCAAGACAAAAAGCCTGCTACTGATAGCTTACACTCAGTAGCAGAAATTCGGGCAGGCACCGCGCAGCAATTGGGCTAGCAGGGGCTACAGCCCCCCCCCTCCCACTTTTTGCAATAATAGGCTAGAAAAAAAATTTTAAAGGTGTACTCTAACGAAACTTTTGATAGTTTACTCCTATGAGGTAGCAGTTCTCATTGACTGAGAAATAGTTTTGTTCTTTTTCTAGGTGTTTCATCTTGTTTAATGATATGCTGTATTTTCTAACTTGGTTAGCTTGGTTTTTTATTACCCTCGAGCTAACTCATATATTTCTATGGTTATTGATATCTTCTCTGAGCCAGACTCTTTATAAAAATTTAATAGAAAAAAGCAAGCATTTTCTAAAAAGGGCGTTTTCCGGCGTTCTAGAGGGCGTGGCCTCAAAAAAATTTCGGCCCCTCCACTTTTAGACTGGTGCGCGGTCCTTGAATTTAGGCTCTCATTCTGGGAGGGGGGAGGTAGAAGGAGGGCTCAAGCCTACATTTTTCCGACAGGATAACATCTTGGACAGGCTTTCGGCACGTTAAACAGTTCTCAATTATCTGATACCCTAGGTACCATACCAAGGGTAACTCTCTGACAACAGCCCGAATTTTCCGACAAGAACGCTGATTGCCTGAACGCTAATTTCCACGACTGCCTACTCAGATTCTTCGGATTGGAAATCCTTTGCAATTACCTGGTGAAAAGGAACAAGTTGTACCAAGATTGAGTTGTACAACTTTGAACCCACGCCATTGAGCCCTTTAGTAGTTAATTTTTCATATTTTTAGAAAGTATTTGTCAAAAAAGGTTAGCAATTTACACGAACATTACCCTGGGCATTAGAGGCTGTAATTCTAAAAACACCAGAAGAGTAGAAGATAGAACACTGGGGAGAGTCGAGGATCCCCGAATTTTACTTCTCCTCTCCTTGTCTCGCCTTTTTCCGGGAGGCTCAGGTACGCAAGGGTACTTCCGCAACCTCCAGCTTGTTGTAACGTACTTGTTAGGTTTACACATAAATGTGATGATGCACCCTCTAGCAAGATCTGGACGATAAATGCCGCACTATGTTGTGGGAATCTTGGAGCATAAGAGGATAAACACAACAGAGACAGGAGTTGGCTGTGCAGCAGCTCGGTGTCTTTGATTTTGCAGCATCAGTATTTTTGATTTTGCAGCATAAACGATAGTCTAAAGGAACGCAAAGAAAAAAACTTGTGGACGAAGCAGTGAACCTCAAGGTGTAATCAATAAGGTAGGGGCTAATAATTCCCTTTTCTGAGATATTACATTGGGGGAAGTGTCGTGCTATAAGTACTTTTGCATCGATGTTGCCACATTTGAGGATTCGGTGCAAGAGTGTCACCAATTATATCAAACATATATGCGTGCTACAATACCTGCTAGACAATGAGTGGCAGTCACTCTACGCTTCATTGCAACCCTTTATTCATTGTGAAAATACTCTTCCTTGCCAATTCATCAAAATGAGATGTCTTAAAACACCGCGAGCACTGAGCACATGCTACAAAATAAGTCAAGACAGGCTGATTTCGTTCGACATCCCTGGTGTTTGTTATGCTGCTCTGGGCTAGAAGAGTATTATTGTATCTGTGGCGTTTTATTCTTTTCCCCGGCACATCTTTAAAATGAATGAAAACATTAACTAGGGACAAATACGAAAATGGGCTAAATACATTTAAACCCTCAAGAAAAAGTGCAGATCAAGGGAGGGTGAAGGAGTGGGATTTCCGTTATAACATATAAAGCAGTCGAAGATAATGCGACTTTGCCATATAATTCGACGCTGAGTATTCAGAAGAAATTTCACGATAGCCTAAAAACCACATGATATGGAACAATATTCTCATTCTCCAGTGTCGTAAGGCTTTACACAATTCCACCTGACTTTTGGGTCTAAGTAGGGTATGTTGCTGGCCTAGGGGTCTGCGACACATGCTATATGTTGCAAGATAAAGTTCAAACAAGCTGCAGGCCCGTCTAGACATACAACTTGTTGGTCTCATTTTGTTTGTGCAAGAAGTCGCATGAAGTTGCGTATGAAAAGTTCTGTGTGTAGACCGCACCTTTTGAAAGGGATCCAGCAGCCAAGCTCTTTGAGATACAAGCGCCTAACGCCATTATCATTATGCTTGTAACTGTTTAATTCATCCAGTTTCTTTAAGCTGCGAGCAAGGACACAAAGCCATTTTATCTTTGACATATTATTGGACAATAAATCAACAGTTACTTAAGTAGCTCTTTGTGAGGATTGTGGGAACGCAAATGAATTATAAAAGCGCTGTTTAGGAGCAAAAGTAATACGATTAGGTATGTCATTGTAAAGAATTGGGACAAAATGAAAAGGGATAAAAGTTTGATTGATATAGAGACAATAACAAGTCTATCGTTACAAAACGTTCGAAGTCCCGCTAAAGTCAAAGGCTAAGCAACATGATTGCAAATCTAGAGGGCTAAGATTACAAATCTAACCGATCTTGTTAATTTAAGATTGAAATAGCTAAGTGGTTAAATACGATTTTAGACACACGCGTGGGAATGCAGTAATGGATATTTCATAATAAGATTGACGAAACTTACTAGCTTATTGAAAAGTTCTAACAAACTTTGTACGGTCATATGTTAACATGCCGCACCAACTTTCTATTCGTTGGAGAGATAGAAAAGGAACGATCCTTAGATTGTGTGAATCTGAAATTAAGATCCCGTTCACAACACGTGTCGTCATTTCTTGATTCGCTACGAAAAGTTGCCCTGTTGTTCTGATTACAGTATTACAAGAACGCGTCTGTTTGTCTTTGAGAGACAATTTGCTTTATAGGTGCTGACCACTTTACAGTCTGCGAAGGTTGGAATTTTTAACATGGGAGCCAAATTCATGGGAGTTTTTTGGATGGGGGCTGGGTTTACAGAAACCGAAATGTATTTGGAAATTATCTAAGGCCATGTTCACATTGCTCCGTATTCATTTTTATCCGTTTTCATATCGATCCGTTTTACCTGTTCACACTGCTCCGGATACATTTGATAACGGTGTGAAAACGATATGGATGGAAACGTTCACATTGCTCCGCTCTGGATAGAAAGGGAAACGCCACGAGCTGGTTTATAGACCTTACGACTGCTAATAAACTTTTCAAACAACTCACTGCCACTAATATTCCTCCAAGTAGTGTACTAACTTCAAGTGAATCAGCCATGTTAAGAGAAATTGTTCAAATTGGCGCGGTCTAAGCATCTTGCTGTGCTGTTGTTGTTGTTATCGTTTTCAAAAGTATCCGTTTTCGGTGTTCACACTGCGTTTTGCGTTTTCGAAAGTCTCCGTTTTCAAAAGTCTCCGTCTTCAAAGTGCATTCTCAAAAGTCTCCGTTTTCGCAGCGGAGCAGTGTGAACGCAAGGTGAAAACGATTACTTTTTTAACCGTTTTCATTGGAATCCGGAGCAATGTGAACGGAGCAATGTGAGCCTTTTATTGTAGTCCAGCAAAGGGTTTTAAATATACTGGCCAGGCCACTATGACTGTGCAAACAAATCTAATCCCTTTTGCCAAATCTATACGTCCTGAAGCGTTCGCTTTTAAAGTGAACCGTAATTTCTGCCAGATCACATTCATATGTATGAGTGGAAGGCTGTCCTGTTTACTTCTTTCTGCCGGAAAACCAAAGTTGATTCCATAGCAGTTTTCATATCTTCTATATTCTATATCTTCTATTCAAAAGGCCCGCCCCCTTTTTTCAATAACATCGATACTGGGCATTCACAATCTATCTAGGGAGTCTGGTAACAGCGATAATACAATTAGCAATAAATTTAGTACCAGAATGAAAATATGATAGTTTGATTGTTAAAAACACGAGCATATACTTGTTATCAAGTGGCTAGAAAAGAAACGAGCCGAGCAAAGAGATTGGCATTTGGTGCAGATGAGGCAGTAAATCACACAGGAAGAAGAACAGGTAAAGTGAGATCTGGTGTGGAAGGATTGGTTATGGTTGATGGTAGCGATCGATTGGTTAATGTGTGTGCAAGTACGACAGAGGCGATGTTGGCAGGGGTAAGTACCAGGCTGTTGTTGTACCAGTTCCATCTATGCGTTAAATCTATTCTTGAATTCATGTGCGTGCAGTTAAGAATGCAAACCAGACCTGTAGCACATCCGAAAAAAGATGGGGAAAGTCAAACCTATCCTTGAATGACTTGAAACCCTATCTTTGGCGGCTATTACCACGTTTTTGGTCCTGGTAAATAAAACGAGCTTATGAATGAGAGGAATGGGGATAATGGGCATGTATCCTCTAAATTTTTCTGCACCTAAGTTCAAATATCAGATTTTTGAGTTACACTTTTTGAGTTTCGAATTCACAGATGACTTATGACACCATTATTACCATGGCTTATTTCAGGCAGAAACGTAAAATTGCTAAAGCGTTGAAGAATGATTAACTTTGAAGTTGAAAATAATTTTGTAGTTAAAATATTATAATTTATAGTCATCTTGCAGGCGGAAACAAGTGTTTATATTTAGCTTTATCCATTTCTAGCTTCCTGTGAGTTTCTTCTTCTAATTTCTTTAGCTCCTTATTGACACACGACTTCAAGGATGGGTCCAGCTCTAGAGCCCTTTTGAAATCTATAACAGCTTCGTCAGGATTCCAAACCGCTGCGTGGGCTTTACCTCTGCGAAAAAGCGCCTTAACATTGTCCGGGTCTTTCTCTAATGCAGTTGTTGTGTGCTTAATAACCTGATAGTAATCTTCGTCTAGCAGTTTACATTGTGAGTAATTAAGTAAAAAGGGGATCTTCAATTTGTCTAATTCAACCCATTCAGGGTCTCCTGGCTTTTCACGTAGACAAAGTTGTTCCAAACATCCAAGAGCTTGTGCGTATATCTCAGCAGCTTTTGAATGCTCGCCTTGCTTGAACAACCGATTTCCCTTTTCGCGCCATTCCGGGATCCTTTGGAGTTTCTCTTCAGGTTTTAATGCCCAGACCTCCTCTTCATAAGCACCAGGTTGTTCTACGCTGATCAATGATATCTCGAAAACGAGATCGACATCGGTGTGGAGGATGTCATCGAGGTCTTTATATCCCACCCCACGGTGTATTGCGTCAAATGCACAACTATGATGTCGATGTTCGTTTTCTTTGATCTTGCCTTCTCGCTTTTTCTTCGTATCACGTAGGTTTTGTGCGACAACTGGATAAGATTTGACGTGCTACGGGGAAAAGCAAGTTGGAATGCATGCAGATTTCTTTAAATATCAAAAAAGGCGTGTTTGATATGTTACTCATTTGTCACTAATCGCTAGTTTGTCAGTAGGTCGTTAGTTGGTCTGAGAGTAGGTAAATTACGAGCAAAATGTTCTTCAACTGAACTTTTGTCTGTAAATCCATCTTTTCCACCCACCATCCCTAGTCGTCCTTGTATGATATGTGAAGGCAAGTCACTGTTTATGATATGTGAAAATATCATTTAAAAGTACAAAACACAAACAATTGGTATGGAGGTGATGCTATTGCCCTATGTAAATTCATGTGTGTACACATTTCGATACTTAATTTTGAGGGCAGAGATAAAATAAAAAACACAATATAGGTAATATTTCTGAATAAACTAATGAAACACTGTTTTGGTTCCTTACTTTTGTCTTATGCTTCCTAGGTTTTTGCAACTATGCCATTTTGCCTCTTAACGTTTTATTTGGGGAGGTACAAACAGTTGTGTGGCATATCCGGTCCCAAAAATATGTATCTTTTCTGCCTAATCCAGAGTTGGAGATCTATTTGCAGCCAAACTCATTCTGGCAGCTGCTCAAAGAATTTTAAACGAGGGCCTTTTTGTCAAGAATTGCTGGGCAAAAATGAGGGTAAGTTCAAAATATTGAATTTTGCAACCTTTACTCAAACTAAGTAACTGGTCATAAATGCATCAGGACTAATGTTTAAGGGTGTGAAAATGGTCTTAATTTTGACAACATTGTTTATATATGGAAAAGAGCAAAAATTAAAACGATAGCTTAATTTTATCAAAACTTACCAATGACCTTATTCATGGTCACTACCTTTGTAACGGGTATAATGTCAAAAGAAGCTTAAAAAAGTAAGGACATCTATAAAGATTATCAGATTACAGGACAAACATGCTTAATTAAAATAAATCCATAAAATGACCCTACAAGCTCATCATCTTCATCAGGGAGTGCATGCAAAGAAAATTAAATAATTTCATTGCTTGAGAAACACAAAAACAAGTGGTGCTTTTATAGGAAATACTTAACAACACATAAAGCGTTAAAGAGATACTTACATAGTATTTACAATGAAATGATGCAATTTCATCAATTCTCATAGTCTCCACCATGCTCTCCCAAACCTCCAGTTTGAATTTCTTCCCAAACATAAGGACAAATGGCTCCCCTAATTTCTTACTATCATCTACTTCAGTTCTTTCATCATTATCAATAAATGTGCGGAAATGGAAAGTAGCCTATAAAACAAGTCAATCTTCAAGTGATAGCTGATTGAGATTTAAAGATTCTATAACATAATCTGCAAACAATCTTTTAGTGGTACAAAAATTGAAAATTGAAAAAGCAAACATTTGAGTAAACTATTCAGTAAGCTGGGTGAAAAAAAATCAAAAAAATTTACAGCATGCACATTTAGGTATTAATCCAGATAAAAAAACTGGCAAAAGAAGTCTTGGAAATAAATACATGGTAAATATCTACATGTATACAAAGCTTAATAAAAGCATTCGAATCTGAGAAAAACTGAAATTAAAAGAAAGTTGAATGACACGTCATATAATTAGAAAAGAAAGTGTGGAATTTATTTAGCCATCTGCAGGTTGACTTAGATCATCCTTAATTTCTTTTATACATAGCAGCCTTGAAGTTGATGCCTGGGCTTCTTAGAAGCTCTGATGAACATTTACCCTTTCCAAAATACACAAAACATAAGATGTAAACATTCTACAAAAAACATAACAACCAGATAACAATTTGATAGGCCTAAGCTTATTTCCACTAAACATATGGTATACTTGAGCTAAATCTAAAGTGTAACTTTTGTGGACTTGTGTAATCAATTCATTACATTTTCCTAGCCTTATTCCCAGATGCAAATGTCTTGAGAAATCCACATTCCCATGGAAAATTTTCATTTTCGGACTCAAATAGTTTGAAATCATTTTTAAAAATCACATTTATAAAAATAACATTTAAGCTTGATTAAATGAAATTTAATCACGTTTAATATGTGACAGGGTATGCCTTTTAGGTGCCCCTTGGGCTTTTGTTTTTTGGGCACATATTGCACAATTGTGGAGTTTGTGTCTATTGTAGCAGTGCTAGAGTAAGCTTTACATTGTTTCTTTTATACGGCTATAGCAACAAGCGTGCAAGTGTGCATTGGCCTTGGGTATATAAACTGTGTCTTAGCACAGTTTCATTCTCACACGTTGCACGACAACTCAAAGTTGGACTTTGGAGAGGAAATGTTTTTCCTTTGCGACCCTGCCCACCCAAGACATGTCTAGATATCTTCAGGGGTTTTCTTTACATGCATTTTGACTTTCTTTTTTTTTCTTTGTGCATTAGTTAATGGCCGTATGGCTTGCGGCTTTTTGCATGAACAAGGTGCTGCTAGTCGGCGGAAGAAGGCCATTGTTCTTCTTCTCAACCCCCTCAAAAACGGTTGGGGTTTTATTTATGGCCGTCTTTGCGATTGGCGCACCGACAGCCCAAAAATAAATGGTTCAAATGATGAGAGAACACCACCTTCAGTCTTATGATTGACAATGGTAAAACATTCTGAGAACCATCTTACCCTTATATGCTAATGGTTTTTGTTTAGTAACCTGGAACAAATATTAACAGACGATTACAGACAGCTCAGTGTCTGTACAAATGAGAATGCATTGTTGTTACAGAGAGAATAACCTTGAAATGCGTATAAATCTACGTAGCATATCGAAAAGAAACCTCTAATTGACCACTTCAAAATGATATTTATGTCATAACCAATCAATATATAAGTCGAACAACAGGGAGACAGGCGTCCAACCAGTTTGGTAGCGGTTATGTAGCTTCAAAATATGCTACGAGAGGAAGGTTTTCATTAATGGAAAAAAATTTAGGTAAGATCGAAGATGATTCAGTTGTGAGTGATGACCCTTAAACTTGCGTATTAGTGTGATTGGGTACAAGTTTTCAAATCTGAATAATATTCAGTTTCAATTTAAAAATTATTAAAAAGTTTTACCCTTGTGCCATCAATGAAAAGTGGAATTTCTCCTCTTCCCGGATAAATAACTTGCTTCTGGACACCTGCAGGAAGGTAAATCTCGGCCATCTTGGCATCTGTTTTCAGGAAAAGAATGGAAAATACTGAAACAACAAGTTCAAGGCCTGTCTTCACAATTTGGAAGTTTTCATTCAGAACATCTGTCTACTTGAAAATGTCTCGTATTGATACCGAGGACGCTGGTGACTAAGCAACCAACTGGAAAGGTACCCAGGGTAACTCGTGTGAAATGCGAGGAACTACTAGCCAGTCACAAAGGGGAGGGGGGGGGTACGCGAGGGGCATTGATGCTATTGGGGCTTTTTTTCTTTTTATATAAACAAAGGTTTGCCCCCGCAACTAATTTCCCTTGGAAATGGCAATGTTAATTTTGAATGGTAACCATTTATGTCACTGCGGTTTGATGACCTTTTCGAGGGGCGATTCACTATTGCAAATAGCGTACGAGATTTTGTCTAAATCAAAAGGAATTCTGGGGATCTTCAGATAAAACAATAAGATTTTCACAAAAGGTGTAAGAGATTTTCTTAGAGTGATTTTCCCCCCGGACCTTTTAATTTGAGAGCCAAAGACCCTGGAAAATCTCTTTCAAGTAGACAAAATGACAAGGCTCTGTTGCGCCTATCGTGATGGTTTGTTTGGCTTTTACAGTTAATTTTTTTATTTATTCTCTAAAAAAGTAATATAAAACAAGACTTCTCTTCAGATGTTTGCTTTTCTAATCCCCAATGAAGGAAGATTACAAAGACTCTTTACAACACGTTCATTAAATTGCAAAAATTCTTTATCCGAGGCAAGAGGATACACCTGTATCAAACTCTATATCAATTGCAAGATTTAAATTCTCAAAGGCTCTTCAATACCGCTACTTAAGTTCTTCAATACCGAGTTCTTGCCTTCAAAATTCAAGCAGTGAGCTCCATCGATTTGCTCAGTTTACAAGCCGACCTTAACTCGGCATTGCCCCCCAGGGGCGTCGCTAAAGGAAGGCGCTTGCTCCCCATACTTGGTCCGTCATCACATAATTTTTTCACATACTGTAGTACAATTAGTATTTTTTTGAAACAGCTGCAACGTGCTAAAATTTCTGTCGCAGCTAAACTTTTAAAGTATGCTCTAAATATACAAATTGAAATTTTAGAACTGTGAATAATAAGTTAGAAGCACATAAAAGCAGCATATAAAGTTACTTATTTTATGATCACACCCAAAAAGATTGAGACTTTTTGCAGGTTTTTTTGCAGGCAAAAGACAATACTACCCCTCCGAAAAGACTTTGTGGCTTCGCCCCTGTTGCCCACCCAACTTTTCAGTGTCTGTCTGTTACTTGCTAAAAGCCGCATTATAGTATATTGTCAATTTATGCTGACTTTGAGAAATTCAAGGTAACCTTCAAGCTACTCTAAAATGTTGTCATCGCATATGATTTGAGAAATGGTGGTGGTTCCCACCCCCCCCCCCTAAATGGTAATGAAAATTTGTTTTGCGCATGGACTACAGCAAGTACCCGCATATGGGAAACCCCATTGTATAAGAAACAGGCCTCATTCTCTTCAAAAGGGGCTCATTTTTCAAGAAACAATTTTAGGCCTGAAATTGAAATGTTTCTTACTTTCAAGTATAAACAGTAGCATTTTCTGTTTATGCTCTAGGATGGTTGTAGTGTAGTGTATTCTATTGATATAAAGAATTATACTGTAGGTTATGTATTATACATTTCTACCAGTAATATTGAATACACATCCATGGAAGGTACTGTCGTTCATATAGCTTGACTTGATTTGACTTGACAGTATCTACCGATAAGAAACATAGACCCTGATGATGAAAGTCTCTGTCAATAAAAAACTTTCTGATATTTGTAAGCACACTTCCAGTACAAATGTACGATAAACAGCGCCTGGCGTTAAGGTTTTACAAAGTAATCTTTATTAAAAAAGGAATCCAATGATTTTAACAAGAAAAATTTTGTAGGAGATAATTCAGAATTGAAATCCGTTGTCTGACATTTTTCAAAAGAAAAATCTTCATAATACCCCGAGTATAATATGTGACTCAGTCCTTAAAACCCAATTTTTAACAGGATTGGGGGGAAGGATGATGTTTGGGAACTTTGCCCTTCCCAATTGCTATACGGCCTTGTCAAACTTTCTGAAATTCAAAGAAGAATCAACCTAACCTTGCTCCTTTATAACTGTCATGATTTTTCCACACAATATCAATTCAACCAATAAAATCAAAGTTCATATGGTGGGGTAAAATCCCGGCAAAACTTTCTTCATGAAAATACAATCGCTACAGGATGTATTTTAGCAGTTTCCCAAATTTATTATAAGGAAACTGAGAATGACAAATGCAGCTTGTGCACACAGATTCACATCTCTTCTTGTTCTCAAAAGGCAAGAGAAATTAGCGGTCGCTAATTGGTCGAAACAAGTAACCAATCAAATACGTCATCCTTCCTCTCACGTTACTTTCGATTTGTACCTGGATGTAAATTTCTGCTTACTTTTATTACTATCCAACGTTTACACTTCGTAGACGAGACAGACGCAACGAATTTGAGCGTGTCTGGTTTTTGTATTTTCCTGCTATCTTGAAACTAGAATGATATATTACCGCTTTTGAGGTCTTTAAAAGCTTAGAGTTGTACCAGAGGCTTATTTCGAAGTTTGCATTTATAATGTAAAAGCTACTTGGTTGCTTTAAAGTTGGTTACAAGCAAAGCGATGTTATTTACATTCCTTTTTTCAAAAACCAATTCAGTAACAATACAGACAGATTCCATTGATATACACTAAATAGCAAACTACTTTACAATCCAAATACGATAAACGACTACGTTTGGGAGAGAGCAAGAGAAAAATTTATCCTCGTGCTGCCTTGGCACGTTTTGGGTGAAGCGTAAATAAAAAAGTCACCCACTCAGCTTCATCTCCCGTGCAGTCAAAAAAAACACAAGGAAAAATATTTACAACACAATTAAAAGTTTTGGACATTTACGACATTGAACAGTACAAGATGATACCACAAAGGGTGTGTAAATGCACATCTCGTCTGAAGCCAAACAAGAAGAAACACAGGTTAACAAACACCAAAAAGATAATAAAAAGAAGAGGAACACGAGAAAGTGCAGTTTTCTGAACAGGTCTTGAGAAAGCATTCGATCGATTAGGCTAATACGCTTTATGGCATTGTTTGAAAAGTATGTACTTTTTCCTAACATCACTAAACTTGGGTTGCCATCCTAAAATGTCAGTTGGGGGATGTGCTGCAGGCAACATATAGAAGCCTATTGTCCCAACCAAAATATTGGAATTTGTGTTAAAAATCCTCTGCTGCGAATATGAAACCATTCAAACTATTCATCGACCGATAAGAAATTCTAGCATATGCCTAAGAAACAAAACAAATGTTCACTTGTTACAGAGGACTGAGCCCCCCACCACCCCCCCCCCCATTCTCTCTGAACCTTAACAAGGGGGCTTAACATGGCAGCCCACACTAATTCATATTCTTTGACCAGTTCAGAAAAATTGACATCTAAAGCCTGGTTCATAGTTCTGAACTTATTAGCTTACGCTAAATTCTGCACAAGGGTAAGCTTTGAAGCATACGCCTTTTCATCTTGCATTTCCAAAAAGCGTAAACACGTACGTTTTCCGCATGTCCATGCGGGAAGCTTGAGACGATACGCCATAAGCTTTTTCGGTTCATAGTTTCCAGACATGCCGTCGAGGAATGTTCCTCTTGCCCTTCTACTTGTACGGAGAAAAAATAAAAAGAACAGCAAACATGCTGGTATATTCTACCTACAAATACTTTACGAACCGTTTGCGGGGATTGTGCCGTTATTGTCAACGATTCGCGTTTGATGTCAATGATTCTTGTATAAATAGCCATTTTTCTTGCTCCTGTCCAATAATTTAATATTTGTCCCGATTTCTTACCCTGGGTTCCAGACCGACGGTCCTCTAGCAAGGAATCATACATGTGGGGGTATTTGTGTATCTCTTCACAAAGTTTTCCTTCAAAATCAGCCATTGCTAAGAAATTTTCCGTACGGAAGGCAAAAAAAGTTGAAGATTTCTCAACTCGATAAGTTATTTTACGTGCAAAATGACAAAACTCTGAATCTTCTCTATCTAAAGAATTTGAGCACAATTAAAGTGTATTTCGGCTTTAGAGACTAAATTTTAGATCAAAATTACATTGTAGCTTTGTAAGCATTGAATTGAATTTATCTTTTATTTCTGTTCATTAACGCAAATGGCAAAAGGTTCCTGAAGGAGGGTAAAGGGCGGGTCTCACTTCCTTCATTGAGTTAATCTTGCCTTTTCTTTAAAATACCTAGTAGTTCTAGGTACCTAAATATTCCATTAAATATCCCCCGCTCTATCAATTCAAACGAAAATTAAAAGCTCATTTGAAGAGCTCGGGAAACCCGAATTAAAACACGCCTCCCAGGAAGATCAGACGTCAAATTCAATTCACACATATTATTAAATTATCTTTAAAAAATTTTGTCTTCCATTATTAGTTTTTTAGCTTATCATAACTTGTATTTAGGTTTCTGATGGGATATCGTGTTGAAATAAGAATTTAATATAAAAACAAAAATGAAAAAAAAAATAAACTTGCTTTAGGGCAAGGCATTTTGCCATTCCATCTCTTTCAAATCAGGGAGATGTAATAGTAGGATTCAACGATTTAAGTTAGTTTGTATAAGAATTTTGAATGGCATTCTTGTAAAATGCGAGAGACAAGTAATGGCGTTCGAACAGGGGCACAAGGAGCACAAGCTCCGCTAACTTCTGGAAAAGTGCAATTAATGTTAAGGTCACGGTACCAAAATTGCTTGACAGACTCCCAAAATGATACTTGCGGCGAACTAGATAAAATAAACAAGGTTAAGAGCACCGCAAAACGCCGAGATATACTTCCCATGGGTGTAGCAAATAGGGTAAGTGAGGGCTATAGCGCCTCTCGAGTACCAAATTTACCAGAAAAGTTATCAAATTCAGCTACTTTATTGTAAATTGCCGGAAACGTATCGTCTCTTAAAAGTAAACGAGCGTCGACTGCTTCTCTTTGCAAGCCATGTTTAGGAGCAGATAATGAGGTTTCTCCTAGATCTTATAGATATGGGGTAAAAATAAAACAGTGTTTTTGTTGATAATTAATGATTTACATATTGTGTTGTTAGAAGGCAATGGAAAACTTTTGTTATGAAGACTCTTTCTTCTAAACCAATGCAACTGTTCATTTTGCACCTGGGCATACTATTAAAACATCCTTGAGATGCTAGGCAACAAAGCGTCTTTGCCTGCATTGACATTGTCTTTTCTCTACCCCATTGTCGTTGAGCCAACCTGGCAATTTCCCGATCTTCCCTAATCTGGAGAGTCAAAGTTGAGCAAATTCTGATTTTGCATGATTTTGATTGGAATTGTCCTTCGGTTCACAATGAGTCATCAAATTTTCATGACTTATATAACTGTGATTATCTTTTATTCGTTTGTCTCATAATACCAAGAGTTCTGAGTGCAGAACAGCATGATGAATCTTCAATTGATTTGAAGTGCCAGCTTGGATTTCTCATCATCAAGTAACAGAAGGTTCACTATGATCCCCTATTGCTCTCCACAATTTACGATCTTGTACCATCATGCAGATTTCAGTGAAACCCTTTGCACTCATATTCTTTTTTATGTTGTCAGAAACCATAGTTTTCGGTCTTCCTCATCCACGCTTACAATAAACAGTTCCGGTCAGAAGATTTCTGTATAATGGTAAATACTGATATTTCTAACACTCAATGATAGTGGATCCCTACTGCTTCAATGGATTCCCCAGCAAAAACACGGGGAATCGTCAGTTGTTGATTTTTAGACTAACACGGGCATTGAATGAGATATCATGTAGAAAACCGTATATTTCAGCAATTTCAAAAAGGAAAAAACTGTTGATTTTTTCAGTACATTTTTATAGCAAAATCATCAACATATCAAAACGTACACATGGAATTGTAGTTTAAAATAGCTACACGAACAAAAGTTAAATGTGCAATCATAGAAACATATTACTAACAATGATAGAATAAAAAAGGTTACTTCCAAACAGATGTGTACCGTGTTGATATTTGAGAAAGTAAGATCCTACAAGACTCACAGTTAGGTCCGTTTGTAGGCCCGCAATATCCATCGCAATTCCTGTTACATGGCATCACGCGCCTTCCGCAGTACATTGTTCCTGTCTCACTACCAATTCTACAAACTGCTCCATCTCTATTTACAAACCAGTTTTTAGGAAGTTTTCTTGTTTTCACATCTTCCTTCATGCAGGCACTACAATTGCATCCATTCGTCGGACCACAACCTCCGTCACAGCAAGTGCATCTGATGAATATGAAACAGTCATACATTAGGTATAAAACTCCAAGTAACAGTGAACATAGATCATCTTTGATTCAACATCTAATAGTTCAATTGCTCTGTAACTTCGTGCATCAAGCGCTGCTATGTCAGAAACAATAAATTTTATGCTCAAAAGCCTCTCAATTTCCACACCCTCCCGGATCCTTCTACCCAAACGTGAGCTGAATCTTTTAAACAGTTTGCGCAAATTGACACCTTCAAAAGCATTTTCGAGTTAAAAAAATTAAGCATGTACATTTTTAACATGTTCAGAGGACCTTTACTCAAAAACCAAATGAAGGCTACTGTTTCTCGCTTCGGGTTACTTCTCTTCAAGTTACCAATAGAGTACAAAAGCGATGATGTCAAATTAATTTTTTTTCGAACTTTTCAATTTTGTCAAAAGAGCATTATGAAAAACCTCTAAATGTGCAAAATTAGTTGAATGTGTTACCAATTGACTGAGTTATGCCCGCATGAGTACAGGCTCTGACCCATCAAACCTCTGTTGGAAATTGGTCTTTGTTCACAGTAATCCATTGGCAGAAAATTCTTTCAATTGCCATACCTCATCCAATTTTGAATACATCTAACTGATTTTGCATATTGAAAGGTATTTTATGCCGTTGGTTCAGATTATGTGGTCAGAATTAAGAAATTTATAAAAATTGATCTTATAGGACGTCACACTTTGGTACTCTTTTGAACATCTCCTCACTCTAGCAATCCTCACTCTTAAGTGGAAGTTTGGTGGTATCAGGGTTTCATACCCCATACTTCTGGATCTGTAGTCGGCTACCTTAACCACCGAGGCATACTCGCACACGAAGTGAAAAATATACAGGCATGTTAATATGGCTCAGATTCCTGCCAAAATTTTCTTCTCTCGAATGTGCTCTCATATGCATCTTTGGTTACTTTTGGTTACAGATTTATCGCTGCCGTGTATGCGGCAAACTAAAAACCAAGGTTGGTTGTATGGGGTGTCATAAAAGGGGGTTGTGACGTCACTGCCATTCTACAAATAGCACCCAATTCAATAAAATGGCACTTGACAAAGAATAAAATTATGTTTTTAAATGATTTGGTAAATCTAGCATCTTTCTTGTGAGGTTTTTACCATGACAAATTCTTGTGAGGTTTTCATTTGCTACCTCTTGCCACGATTGTATTTTCATATGGATACATATTCTTGTAAATTGGGACTTGTTCAGCTTCAAAAAGCGCATTGGCTGCTTCCGGAAGGACTGGGAATTTTCTGAACGAAATATTTATTATAACTCACCTTGGCCCATCTAATCGCTGCCCACAATAATATTTGCCACTTGACCCAAGCCGACATGTAAATCCCCTCGAATTAGTTCTGGTAGCAACAAGATCAACATCATCTTTGACTTCAACATCTCGTCTACGTCCGGACTGGGTTAAAATCGCTTCAGCATTCCGTACCAAGCTTTCTTCGTGTGTCAAGGCAATGTGAGCAGCGAAATCTGGACGTAGACCTTCGTACTTGCAACTGGAAACGGGGCAATTGTAAATGCGATGCTCGCATGCTTTCTCGTGGTGCTTTAGCTCTGATTTTGACAATTTTACGTTGCAGCCTGGAAAAGGGCAGCTACGCGGCATTGTATCTATCAAGCGACGGGTGATGTGGGAAACAAAGGTTTCAAACGGTTTGCGACATTTTGGACAACAGTCGCGAGAAACAGAAAGAATACATCTGTCGCAGAATACTTGATGGCAACAACTTGCTTCAACCGCATCTTCTACCAGCTCCAAACATATTGGACATGTCAGTGACTCAATAAAGTGTGAATCCATGATCCCTGTATTGACAAAACACACTCAACTTTAGAGGAACAATTTATCTTGGAGTCATGAAGGGGCAGAAAAATAGCTCAATGGAATTCTTCTCAAGTTTCCAGAAAAGATGATAAAAATCAAAGCTCCGGGGGAAGACGATCTAAAATCAAGGTCAATATTGATAAAGGAGGTCACATCAACTTAATTCACCCGGAATGAAGCTCCTATGCTCTCAAAGTAAATAATAATTTAAGTTTATCTATTTCCCTCCAAAAGTTTTGTTTCTACGTTGTTTATAATAAATATTCCCCAGAGACAGCGGACTTCGTATCCACAGTTTGATTTGAGCAACAGAAAGCAAGATGATTTGAGCACTAAGAAGGCTCCCAATCAAGAAGAACTGTTATCTCTTAGAATATGTCAGAGTTAACTTTCCAAAGTTGCGTTAGAGTGAACTTTCCAAAATTTTCTAACCTACTATTGCAAAAAAAGTGAGGGGACTTTACCCCCTGCCTTCCTCAAATTTTTTACAAATAATAACAACATACAAACAATAAAACAAGGTAATCATAAAGAATTTAACACAATTTCACTAACTGTAAATCACTCAGACATAAAGCGTTGATTTGATGTTGCTTCCACTTGGAATGTGACATTATTGCGAGGGGAAACTTTAATAAAAGAATAGCAGCTGAAGGAAAACAGTAAAGTTGATGATTTTCTATGGGAGTTGCAAATTTTGCATCCTCTTGATTGCAACCCGTTGATAGGCATCAGGGCCATCCCAGATTATTTTGCCCAAGGTGGGTATACAAACCCATTTGATGACAATTTGATGACTATCCTATATTTCCTGTCAAGTCTGGAAACTTGCAGACAAAGTACCCCTACCTGGCAAAAACTCCTACCTTCACAATGATTTTTTTCCAAAGGGAAGTCAGACCCCTATATGCCCCACCATAGTGACAGCTCTGGATGCTTCCCCAGATCGAATAAACATGATCTTTTATTGAAGAGCCCCTAAGCTTTAAGCTTTTGGGCAAAACGATTATGTTATTTAATTTATCAAGTTGCTTGTGCCAAAAAAATTGAACAAGTGCTAGACTTCTTCTTTTTGAAAACACCACACTGTGCTAGGCTTGCAAATGGATGTTCCAACAGCCACAAGAAAGAAAAAGCTTTTGCCATGTTCAGCATATCAACAACGAAGAAATCAAGAAATACACTATGCTTGATATCAAAAGGGGACAGAGGGACAGGAGAATTTCCTGAACGGACTTATTATCAAATTATCATATTAAGTCTTATTCCAACCAAGTATGCAGAGCACGACAATGGCACACCCAAGTTGCCAACATATTTTTTTGAAGGCTCACCAAAAAACTAGATATACCACATTTCCTCTTAAGAATACAGTGGCATTTATAAAAAAATCCAACTTTTGAATGTGGCGTTTAATTGAAGGCAGTGTTTATCAGAGGGCTATGTTTAATGCAAAATGTGTGAGGTGAAAAGTGACAAGACAAAGTTGCGATACAAAAATATAAAAACAGACTTTTAACAATGTTTTCTTAGTCTCAAATGCTTTAAGCCAAGGAATATCACTTGTCCTTGACTCTATAACATTAAAATTTTAAAAGCTCCTAAATAGTCAGCATATAAACAAATTGTTATTTCTTGCTTGGTCTGTTTTCTAATGAACCCTACTTGCCTTATTTGCCTTTGGCCTTATTTCCAGCAAGCACGGCATGAATAGTATTGCAAGCCTGTTTCTAAATTATTGCGAGATATGCAAAGGCAAGGCTGGAGTAACCGAAAGGTCAACTAGGCCATGGCCTAGGGCCCTGCACCAAAGAAAATTGTTTGACCTATTAAGAAAAATTTGTCCTAAAGTAAATTTTTTGATCCATTATCCATAATGACAACTTCTGGAATAGGACATAAACCAGCACCATTGGCACAAGTTAGGAAAGTTTGTGTATGAAATATGTATTCATATAATGTGCAAAAGTTAAATTGTTTCAAACATTGTTCTTTCTACTATTGGTCATGAGACAAGCTGTGTTACCCGTTTCTCTTGCAATAAAACCCAACTTGAGCAATAAAGTCACAAAATATTGACATCAAACCATAAAGATTTATTTCTTAATCTTCAATTTTGCATGCTTGAGTTGAAAAGAAAGAGCATGCTAAAATATCTCTAGATGCAGTCCTTTTCGTTTAGCGCGTGCGATCGCACCCGCACACGCCTGCACACGCGCAAGTTAAATTGCGCGTGCTTTTGACCACACGCGCAAACAGGTGTTTTTGCAGTTTTCTGTTAAAGGGCCTCTCCAGCCAAATTTTGCACTTGCATTTTATTGGCAATTTTTATAAAGAAGTTGAGCCTGCTGATCACGAATTCGTTATTTGTTTTTCGATATTTTTTTACAGTTTGTGAGATATAAGCTCTTGCATTTCGATAATTTAATTGAATTAACGGACAAAAATTTTTGGTTTGGTGACACTGTGACGCAATTTTGACGTCACAGTGTATTTCGGATAGTCTCGCCTCAAACCGAATCGAACGACGGCGATTCGCAAATTGAACACTGCAAGTGATGGTACTCTCAGTTCTGTTCCACCAGCTTTTAGTTTGAGCACTTCAGACACCAATTCTGAAGCCTTTAGTTGTTCATCGTTTCTGGAGAACAACTGAAGTGACAATTTCGATTAATTATACGCGAGGGAAGAGCTGGAACAGGAACTGGAACTGGATGCAGTTATCAACGCGTGATCATGACTCCTTCACGATTCGGTGGAAGATATACGAAATTCATGGCGAACGAGAGCCGCACATTGTGACGTCAGAATGTCACCAAACTGATTCGGCTTTTGTCGTTTTTTTTCTCGGAAAGGTGCAACTGTAAAGCCTTACAACTTCTAAACTAATTGGAATTTTTCAAAAACAATGACTTTGTCATAATACACGCACCAGATGCTAACTTTTAAGTCATTAAAAAAATTTTTTTTTTGCTGGAGAGGCCCTTTAACATCAATTTCCCATGGTCTCATGATTGTTTATCCTTTCCCTTGTTACTTGATTCGCACTTTTGACCACAATATGATTTTTCCAATTTTCGGAAGTGATGTTTGGCTTTTGACTGAGTGCTCGATTCAACTTAGCGTCTCGTCTTTCAGCTAAGTCGCCATTAACATGTTAAGTGTAATAACTGATTTCCTGTCAAAATGTAATTAGGCCCTGAAAGCAGTTGCTGTTGGAAACAATTTTTACTTGCTCTTGTAACTTTGGAGAGTGACGACGACTTTTAAAAGATGGCTGCTAAGGGCAACAACAACTGTTATGTATTGATTAATTTTGAGTTTTGCTCTTGAACGTATTCGAGTGGCTTTTTCCTTTCTTGCTCCTTTTACCAATTTTATCAGGTTTGTACTTCAAATTTTCTTACAAGTGCGATCGCACGCGCAAATTTGTTTACATGTGCGATTTGCCACACACGCGTAATTTTGCTCACGAAAAGGACTGTAGATGTGTTAAATCTGTTCCATATTTTATGTAATATGGCCATTTGGTGTTTGGTAATGGATTACTGTTAATTTGGTATGGTTGAAAGATTTTAAAGCTGATGCAGGTCCTTTGTTTTCATAACTTCCATGACTGCCTTAAAACAGAATAAATTATAGTTTGGCATAAAAAAATAAATTATACAGAATCTAATGACCCAAACACCTCAAGGACCTGAATAAATACCTAGTATCTTACACTGCAGTTTCCAATAGGCAATTCTCAGTGCCCTTTACAACATTATTGCTAGTTGAAAAGACTATATCAATGTTATCTTCTATAGTATTTCTTGTAAGAGTTATCATTGTAATTAATGTTATTGAATCAATGAAATCTAAATCTGAATTACATAAATGTTGGAACCATGACAAAAGTATAATGGTTTAATAATAGGGGACAACAGCAAACAAAACATTCCATTCAACAGCAAACAATGCCCTTTGGTCTCTTATCAAATAAAATCAGTCCTATTTCCTCTGACAGAAATTGGTGCTTAAGTTGCTAAAAACTTCTTGCAATGTAGTTTAGTCTCAAATCAATTTAACACAAAATTAAAAAATTGAATAAGGGCTTCACAGAGAAGGATTTGTTTACCAACTGGTTAGGCTACTGAGAGAAATCTCGGCAGAGGGCTTTGAAAATACAAATCCAAGTACTTCTATGATTTACAATTATTGATTTAAAGCTTTTGTTATACTTGTAGTTCCTTGTTTTTATTGTCGGGTAGTGGGATTTTAAAATCAATATCAATACCTAACCGGGTTGATTGAACTGTTCCGTTTTCGCTAGGCGAGTTCAATCTTCCTTCCCAGAAATAAGTCCAGGCAGAGAACCTTTACATAAAAATTTTCGAACAATAAATTTGTGTGTCTGGCAACATACCCTGTCAATTTCTGTACTTTTGTTCTATCGTTGAGCGTTGAAACCACAAAATATATCGAACAGCCGACCAGACGGGAAAATTGCTACCGGATCGTAAGTTCCTCTGCTACAACTGCAACAACAGTGTCAGCTGACTGGTGAGGTATTTCTCAAGTTCCGGGTTGATATCGTCGATTTTTCTCAAAAACGGACTCAAAAATGAAGTTATGGGTTATGTTATGAGATAAAGCTAGATGCATTGTCTGATGATCGCATTAAGCGTGAAATTTGGAGTAGCAACATAAAACCGTCATGTTCTATACACCAAATAGCTTAATACTAGATCTATAATAGCTAAATAAGAGTATAAAATTTTGAAATAACTTCAACCAAGAGGACTAAAACCGGGGGGGGGGGGGGGTTTAGGCCTACGATTTTCCGACAAGATAACATCACGGACCATGTATAATTTCAAAGAAACTGCACATTTTGATAAAAATAGTTGATTTTTTGACGGAACTCTTTAAAAATCTTTATTGACCACGCCATTTTTAAGTAGCAAGAAGAACAATCCATTTATGATTTTTGATATCAAGATTGATATCTCAACTAAGACGATTGAGGATACAAGAGGTAGACCGATAACACTTTTGACAAGTCGTACGTTCATTTTATGCATCTTATCTTGTTTTCGTCAGTGAGAAATACGTTTGAAAATAACTTTTGTTCAGAAGAATCCCATAGAAATTTTTTATACACAATTGAAATTAAATACACAATTCACAAGCAGTTTTGATTTTGGTCATATAATGTTTGATTGATTATTTGGTAATGGCTAATATTTTATCAGCTATGCTATGTTCAAATTTTGCAGAAAGGGCACAGAGAGGTTATAAAGGCCCCTGGGATAAAAAAAAGGAAACGTGGATCACCTGCAAGAGAAGCAAGCAGAAAATTTGGCAATCACGCCCCTTAGATTAGCTTAAAATTCCTTTTCAGAACGTTTTCTTGGAGTAATTTAGACACGTTAAGCGGTTGTCAATTATCCGACGAAAGCCTGAATTTTCCGATGACGTCGCTGATTGGGGGGGGCCCGAG